AATTATTTTTGATTAGTTAAATAAATGTGTGTAATCTGTTCCATGATAAACTATAAAAAAACTTTATTCAATTTGTTGTCAATCTTTTTAAAATGATGAGGTAGGAAACATTCTAGGTTATAAATAGAGGATGTCCTTTAAAATCTTATTACATTAATCAGGTTAATGAATCCTATTCACATTTATTTACTTCAATAATGTTGTACAATTTAAACCTATAATTTTTCAGAAACATATGTTTTTTTTTTTATTTCATTATATCTCTCTAGAATCTTTACCAATAGTTCTATTAAAAAAGGATGATTTTACTTTTACAATTATATGTATTTACTTATTTTTTGAAACTTGAATTTAACTTGTTTAGCATTTTTGCTCTTCACTCTGATTGCTAAGTGATATGTAATTTAAGAATTGTCATTTGAGTAATTAAATCATTTATCATTAATTGTGGGTTGATGGTTGACTGTAGTAAATAATGAAGAGAAGGATAGTTGGGGTGATCAGTCAAAATAAAAATGTTTAAAAAAAATAATAATATATATTTTAACATCTGCCGACGTTTCGACCCGAAGTTCAGGCCTTCATCAGGGCTGATCGAATTTATTTATTTATTAGTTTATTATTATTATTATTTATAGTGACCTCTTTGATCAGCCCTGATGAAGGCCTGAACTTCGGGTCGAAACGTCAGCAAATGTTAAAATAAATATTATTATTTATTTTTGCCATTTTTATTTTGACTGATCACCTCAACTATCCTTCTCTTCACTTACCATTAATTTATTGCCGAACTTTATAAACTTTTGTAATTGTTACTACTCTGTTTAACCAGATGATAATTCTTTAGATATTTTATATTTATTTCCTTTTCAATTCTTTATTTATTATAGATCTTATCTTTTGCACATTTTTGCTGGGCTGTCACTGACACTAAGATGAAACTGTTTGAATTTGAAAAAATTGTACATTAAATAATTAATCAAAACAGTGGACAGGGTTGGAATATACCTTGTTAACATTTTTTTCTTTACTATTCTAGTTTACTATATTCATGGATTTAACTTAAATAACAGTTAATGCAAGCCATACAATGCCTACTACATACGGTTAAGCTCTGCACTATTTATACAAGGCATACAATGCCCACTATATACAGACACGCTCTGCACTATTTTAGCACTGTTTTTCACTGACCCTGCTGTCCTGTTAACCCTGGATCCTTCCATATTCATCTTCACATTTCTGAGATATGACACAATTCCTGCTTATTTCCGTGAATGCTTGCATAATAACCTGACAATTTTTCTAGTCTTATCTGAAGCTTTTGCTTTACTGTTCTGTGCATGTGCTTATTTTTTAACTTTTTTTTCTCTCTCTTTTTTAAATATAATTTTAATTAAAATAAAATCACATTTCTCACCATTGTCGACAATAAATTGGCTGATCTTTGATAAGATGCTTGGCTACTGCGCTGGTGTTTTGGCTTATTTAGGCAATGGACTGGAACCTCAGTTCATTCGTTTGTAATAAAAATTCGTAATTTTATTTAATTCCCGAAGCAAGTGTTGTTGTTGTCCAAGTATAGGATAAACCGGTTGTCTTTTAAGGAAAAATAAATAACACAAAACTACCAGAAAGGTTTTTATTTTTATTTGTGTGGATCTTTTTTATTTGTTATCTATAAATATTTTTAACAGCATGGATTGCAACAACTTTGCTTGAGGAATTTAACTTATTATATTTATGGCCCTAATTTTTCATTTAAACTAGGCTGCTCTATAGTTTAATTGGCAATCTTTTAATTTTACTAGTTTCACAATTTATATATTTTGATGAAGAACTTTATTTTGTAAGTATTCAACGATTTATTCATATATGCATTTATTATTTACACTCTTAATATTAAAATAAAAATACAACACAAAATAAAGAAAAGCATTGCAGTGCATGAATTTTGAGGATATACTTATTGCATGTTTCAGAATTCAGTTATAATTATAAAAAACAATCTACATTGGGACTGTAAGATATGTATAACATTGCTCATGATATGATTATAAACATTGGGAGTGTAATTAACTTCTTTTCTGGTTATGATTATTTAAAAAAAGTTAAATTAAATTACCATATTAGATGGGAGTTATAATTTGAAAAGCTTAGCAAATTAATAAAAAACATTATTTTAAGTACTTTCAGGTAAGGATTACAAATTTTGGTGAGTTTGTATGGTCTTACTCAGTAAAAGAAAGATCTTAATTCCTTTTTACTTTCCATATTTCAAGCCTTTCATGTAGTTTGTAGGTTATACAAACCTCATTGGTTAATAAGTGAAAAAAAAAAAACCATCTATCAGCCTGATTTTCAATAAACTAATAACATATTTAGCTAAGGTAAGGCAACTCTTAAGTGTGAAACTTTATTTAAAGAAATTAACATTATTTGGCCTTGGAAATTAACATTATGATTTTGTAAAATAGTTTATTGAGATTAATGATGCTACTTTTTCCAAGCCCCAAAACAATTTTAGATAGGTACAGTGAAAACCGGAATGATGTTACAAACATTATAACTTCAAATTTATAATGTTTATTAATATTAACATTATTTTTATTAATGAAAGAAATCCATAAAATGCAATGCAATAACTAAACGTTTGTACCAATTTCACTTACATTTCAATATAGCACACCTATAATAGCTTTTAATTAATTGCATTTAGAACTTCATCAGTTTCAATTGAGTGAAAATGAGCTTGAAATATAAGATTAAAAACTTAATTTTTATCCTATGAACCAAATATAATGAATTAAGTAATAACATTGGTAATTTCAATTATTTTTTTACGAATGGAGGATTTACTACAAAAAGGAGGTAGCTCTATTTTTTTTAGTTTTTGAAAAACTTCAAAAAGTATGAATATTCAAAATTATAAATTTTGTGTAAAAATTATTTTTGATTGATTCCTTAAAATGTCACAATGCATTGGGACAATATTTTAAGTTAAGAATATAACTTCTACTCAAGTTTGATTGTTGGAGCTACTTCTATTTTGCTACAAAATAGATGTTCTATCTAATTGTGATAAAAAAATTTACCAAAAATACTAAACAGAATATAAAGCAGTACCATTGTACTTTATTTATTTAACTTCTAAGTAAAAAACAATAATATATATATATATATATATATATATATATATATATATATATATATATATATATATTGCCTTATACAGAAATTTAACTACATTTAAAAAAATCTCGGTATAAAATTAAAATAGAGTACATTTTCTTGACAAAAGGTCTTTTTCCTATTGGCTATAGTTTTGGATATAGGACTGACAGAAATTTTAAGATTTTTTTTTTAAAAACATATGTTTTGCCACTCCCTCCCTGTCCAGGCTCGATGAAGATGTTACTAGTTACTGTTATTTACTAATTTAGCACAACATGGCCCAAGGGGAAGCTCATGCCTGGCCAAGTTGAAACTAACATTTTGTTTTTTCGCTAACTGTTCCATATTACTTACAAAATATTTTAAAATATATATATATATATATATATATATATATATATATATATATACACTGAAAAATGATATAATAATTTTCTAATCTATTTATATATTTGTAAATATTTTGTAAGTAATAAAGAAGGTTTAAAAAAAAAGTATTAATTTCAATCTAGTGCCTCATGAGTTCGCTCACGAGGTGCCTACTAATCACTATTTGTTGATCAGAGAGCTTCAGTAGAACCTTCCTTTGTGCCAATATATAATATGAGTGTTTTGGATTTCCTTACCATTAAATAAATAATGATAAATGAAATAAGAAACTTGTTCTAAAATATTAAATATCAAAATAAAATTTATTTTGCGAATGTTAGAAAAGAATAATTAATGATAGAAGAGAAGAAACAAAACATTTAGCAATGATAACAAATGAAAATTAATTTAGAAATATATGTATTATTGAAAAATTAACAAAATAAAATCCCTGTTTCCTCCTTTATTACTTATAAAATATTTTTAAATATATAAACAGATTAGAAAATTACAATATCATCTTGTAATAAAATCAATAGTAGTTCTAGAGAAATACTAGTGCAAAAAATGTTTAGATAAGATACTAACCTAAAATAAACCACTAAATAATTTGAGGTATTGATGACCTGAGAATTTTATGGGTCCAAGCAACAAATAACAAACTTTAGGAAAATAAAAATTGAATCATAAAAATCAGGAATGTTTATACACTTAAAAAATAAATAAATAAGGATTTTTGACTAAAAAAAAAAATAATAATTGCCTTTGTACAGATTCAAATTTTAATTTATTTATAAAAAAAAACCTCTATATAGTTTTGGCCTATAATAATGAAAATTTTATGTTGTTATTAAAAAAAAATTACAATGGTGTCTATTGGCATGCACTCACTGTGTAAATGTTCTAATCAATTTAAATCTCATTATGGGTGTAACAATAACATTGGCTCCTGGGGAATAGACAATGCAGATTTCTCCGAGAATTAAATTATCTCTCCTTCACATTTGACGTCCAACCCTAAGACTTTAACTATGTCGCACATGTTTTTTTTCTCATATTTTGAAAATTAATGGCTAGTTTGAGCAGACTATCATAAAGTACCTGTTGAGGATCTGTGGTTATTACAATAATTAAGGAGTAATTTTGCAATATTATGGAAATTAAAAATATTTTTTTTTTTTTTAGCTATCTAATTGAAGTGTGTGGTTCACTCCCAATGTTTTTTTATTTCTTTATTTATTCAGCTATAGAGAAAAATACATATTTTATAGACTTCGCATTTTTATTTTTATAGACATTTTTTATATGTCTTGTATCAAATAGCATTAGTAATTTAGAATTTAAATTTTAATAAAATTTGCTACAGTCATATTGCTGTGCCATCAATAATTTTTTTTTCAATTATTTTCTTTTATTTGATTCAGTTACATAGATACTTATAAAGGCTTATTTTGCAGACAAGCTAGACAGTTCCTTTTCACGATCAAGAAGTTCCAGTATGTCAAGTTTGGAAAATATCAGTGCGGAAGCTATACAGTGTATTGCTTTTGCTGATACATACACGAAAAAATCAGGTATAATGAATGGTCTCATTGGATTAAAAGCAATCATTAAAATAAAAACATTGCCATGGGTGAGAAACAAGTAATGTACCATTTTTCAAAGTTGATTTATTGGTGTTTTAAAAAAGATGTGGAAAAATACACAATCCTATCAAGTTAAATATGTAAATGAATAGTTCTAACCTGTTAAAATTTTATATACATAGATTAAAGGCTAAAAAGGCTCAACATAAAATTTGTCTTTCTCTTATTTCGGTTTTTTGGACAAAGGCTGTTTTTCCCTCATGGTTTTTACTTCTTTTTTTTTTTCTGAAACTCCTTTCAAAATAAATAAAAAGGTTAACATTTTATTTTGATTACCAAACTTTTCTGAAATTCTTACTGTTTCTATTTTAATATAGAAAGAAATAGTGAAACCTAGAGCTAGTTATTAATCTTTACACAGTAATCAGAGAAGTTCACAAGTTCTTGCTGTTTGCCATTACCTGTTTCATCACTAATTAAGTATTTCATGAGAAGGTACTGTTTCTAGGCCAACAGTTATACAAGAAGGTGATTTGGCCAAGATTACACTTAGCCAAAGGGTTTTCCCCTATTCAAAGTTACTCACCTACTCAGGCGGATCTACGGGGGGGAGGGGGAAGCTTTCGGGCTAAAGCCTCTCCCTCCCCCTAAATGGTAAAACAACCATGTTCTATAAAAAAAAAAAATTATTTCTTAAACCGTTATTGTTCGTGTAATTACATTTAATAGGACTCCAAGAATCACTTAAACACCATTTCATACAGCTAGTTAGTTTATTTAATATTTTTTTTAAAGTAATTATTGTTATATATATGAAAAAAAAAAAAAAACTCGGGCTGAAGCCCCCATCCAAAATTAAATCCTAGATCCGCTAATGCTGACGTAGAGAGTACCTCAGGATCCACCCATATATACATACTGAAGTTTCGTTATTGTATGTTTAAATTAATAGATGAGTGGAAATTTTCTAACTTTCTTGCATAAGCATATTTTATTCATACTCTACTGTGATTAGAGTTCCAATTTACACTCTAAACTTTCAGCTTCGGATGTGTTATAGTGGTGGTGTATTTATAAAATGGTTTATCTTTTCCAAAGGATTAAACTAATTTGAGCAGGAAAAATACTGTAAATTATAATAATTGATTATAGCGATGAATTTTACTCAATCTAATAATATCCATCAAATTAATAATTCTCTGCCTATTAATTAAATATGTATTTTTATTTGTGCTTAGAATCAGCTTCAACCTTTCCAACTCTCTGGTTTGGAACAAGTCTTGGTTCTGTCCTTACTGTAATGCTGAATGTGCCAACATCAGATATCAGGTCTTCTCATCCAGTTGCTATTGGTCCTTTTGGTAAATTTATATATTCATTTTTTTCCTTTTTTTATTAATGTTATGGAAATAGTTGACTGTATTTCTAATTTGGGGAGAAGTTAGTCGGAAGTTCAGACAATAGACTCATACTATATACTGTAGTAGTATTTATTTCAATTGTCAATGTTTCGACCTACTTTGTAGGTCTTCAACAAGACCTAAAATGTAGGTCAAAACGTTAGATAATGAAATAAACACTACTATAATATATAGTATTTGTCTATTGACCGTATCCCTGACCAACTCCACCTTACCTTTTTTTTTATTATTATTATTTGTGTAGTATTAAAAATATAATGAATCAATGAATCCTGCCATAACTTCTTCTCTTAAATTGAGATATCATCACCATTATTGTCTTATTAAGCAGGCGATAACCTTCAAATCTATATTACATATTTACCATTTATTCCATCGGAAATTCAATAAAGTTACTGAAAAAAAGTTTTGTTCAATTCCAAGGTTTTTTTTTTAATAATGATTCGTAATTCAAGGAATATTATTTGGATAATTTTTAATAAAATAATAATATAAAAATCATGAAAAGCTTATACATGAAAATTATATACAAAAATTATGTGGGTTTTTGTAATAAAATTATTTTTTGAAAATCCACCTCCATCCAAAATGGTAATTAGCTGCATACTAAAATCTTTGAAATGGTTAGTAGATTTTACAATTTAAATACTCTAAAATAAAACCAGCATGTAATAATAAACTACCAGTATATAATAATAATAATTATATACATTAATAAGAAAAATCAGATTATTATTATAAATCATACTAGTCAAAGAACAGTTGACAAAGCACGTACGTCATTAGGATGCTATATTTTTTTATGCTAAATATAATATTTTCTATGATTTTAATATTTTTATTTATCCCGAATGATGTTTCACAATAAAATATTTCAATCTACTTAATATGCTCGAAAATGTATAAGAATATTTTATTTTATTCGTTTTACTAAATATACCTTCTTTTTTTTTGTACATTAGGGATTCTCTTATTTGTTGTTAAACATAAAAAGTAAACAACAGGTATTCTTTATTTTTAATAAATTATTCTATTCTTAACTAAAGAATAGTCGATATGAGTAATATTCATTTTGAAAACCAACAATTGTTTAAGACTTTACTCAATTTTAATCCAGTAGTATTAGGTTTAACAAAGGAAAGACATCAAGATATTATCGCGAGAATGAGTAGTCGAGTGTCTTGGCAACTCCAATCTCAATTAGATATCGCCGATGCAGTTGGTGTCTCCCAAGTTTTGGTCTCCTGAGCTTTAACCAGATTCAGAAAACCTGTTAAGTCAGGAGACCTGTTAGTGGATCTGAACACATTACCTCACCAATGGATGACAGAAATATTGGTATTACTGCAGAAGCAATCCTTTTCATAGTGTCCGACAGAGCCTAAATGAAATGTTGAATGTTTTACCAAGGCCCATACCAACACAAACCATTCGTAATCGTTTGTAGAAAGTCGCTCTAACATCTTATGCCCCTTTAAGACTACCTGCATTAACAGTGCATCACCAATAACTCCACAAATTATTGTGCAGCTAGTGCCTAAAGTTGCATAGTTTTGGAAAGGACATAGATCCCCTACCCCACTTGCGGAGTACCGGAGACTGCTGAGCATTTCATAGTCAACTGCACCGTCTTTGATGGACTAAGGGCCGGAATGATGAAAAAAAATTGGGGTCTATGGCCTCACGGAGGATGAATTTCCACAGTTAGTGACGGAGCAGAACTACCCGTGTTACAAAGATTTTGTGTACGGGTGGAAAACTGCTCTGGGGCCCTCACACTTTAATCTGGGAAGAAGAGCACCTGCAAATGGAAGGCTGCCAAACTGATATTGTGAAAAGAAAATGATGGAAAAAGAAGAGTTTTGAAAAACAAAACGAAATCGGTCAAGTGCTTGCCGTTTAATAGCAGGAATGAAATACACGTTGTGATATGCCATCCCTGCAAAATCCCATGTAGCCGAAAGGCAAGGAAGGGAAGAATAAATAAATAAATAAAATAAATAGTGCCTAAATGAGGATACAAATTGGAATGCTGTTATGAGTCTAGCAAGAACAGGGGATGGGTAGACCGCCATAGTTTGTGCTTTTTTCAATGTCAATCTCCACTCCTATTTTGGAAGGTAATCTCATTGCAGTTGGTTATGTTCAAGAAATGATAGAGGAGTATATTCATCAAACCAGGGCCATAATTGGAACAGCTTTCCTTTTCCTTGATGACAATACATGACCTCATAGGGGAAAAGTTGTTCATCAATGTCTTGAAAATCTGGATATTTCACATCTGCCCCTTCTCGTATTGTCTTCAGATCTCAATCACATTGAGGACATGTGTGATACACTTCAGAGAAGGCTTTTTGACCATCATTTACAGCTTCAACAAATGAGAGTGGTATTACCATGTTTATGGTATGAAATTAGCGATAACATTATAAACAGTATGCTCAATAGGTGCAGAGAGGTGGTGTGTAACACAGGACATTACAAAAATTATTGAATTTCACAAAATGTTTACAATTTGCAAACGATATCATTTTTAATCATTTCTTATCCATCCAGTCCTCATAAAATTGTAAATAGCTACTACTGTAAATATGTATGTAAATTATTAGATCGTTTTTCATTATTTTTACTTCATGTTTATTTTCAATTTTTTATTTTTATTATTAATTGATTTAAATTAGAAAGTAACTTATAATTTATTTTAATATTTTGACTGTTTAATCAATCTATATTCTTGTTTATGTATCTCTGAGGCTCCTTAGCCCACATTTTTGTCTTTCTGTATTATTCTAAAGGTACTCCTCCCAGAATAAATAAAGCATTATTATTATTATTATAAAAACAAGGTCGCATAAACCTTTAATTTTATTGTTTTTTAAAAACACCTTATATAAAATTTCCCGAGGTTAAATACAATCTTATTATATTAATTTTCAATGTATTTTATGATAAAAATTCTAGAGAAAATAAATTATTCATAACTAAATATAATAACTAACTAATTATCCCTATTAATTTTTTAGCAGTATATTTGTGTATTATATATTTAATGTATATTATTAAATTATTTTTCATTTTTAATTCATTTATTTTCCAGGTACAATGTTTAGATTAAAGGGATGTATTTTGACAATGTCCTTTCTGGATTGTAATGGCGCGCTTATTCCTTATACATTTGAAAGTTGGAAAGATGACAGCAAAGACAAACGTATGTGTAATAATCAAAACAATATCAGCTATTAAATACAGTTTATATTTTTACTTTTAAGGCCACTTTGGGTGAAAGTGTTGGGGCCAGAACTCTAGCACTCTTGACCCAGAAGAGATAGTGAATTCAATTTTAGCCTGTGAAGGTTGATTTATTTTATGGAATACCCATTTAATAAATCTTAACCTTTACAATTTGGCTGGAAAAAATTAGTTACCTCTAGAATCACATTCCACCCTTGCTATACTTACAGGGTGTACTTAAGAACTTAAGAGCATTGAACCTAGTAAACAATGAGCAATATATACTAGAACAGTTGATTACAAGAACCACATATCAGATATTTTTAATTTGAGAAATAAAAAGAATGTCAACCTCTAAATTAGCTTAACCTACAGTAAAGTACCTAATTTGCTTTTACTAGGTAATTATAAAATCAAACCCTAGCCTTGATTTTTTCTGAAGGTGACAAGAGAAAAACTAAGTTTCTTATTTTCTATTATGCAATAACAAATTCAAAATCTAAACTTGAAACGATAATATTTAATTTGTCTGGTTTTTGTAATCAATCATTTATTTATTTTAATTATACTGATTTTTTCTTACTATATTTCTATTTTTAATTTTATTTATCATTAACTATTTCAATTTAGATTATTTAAACGCTCTGATATAAATAATTATTGTTGAGTAATTCCTTGCTTTGTTTCCTAAAACTTCTTTTTACACAATAAAATATGCACCTATAGAAACCTAAACTTAATTTTATTATAGAGATATTTAACAATAAAGAAACATATAGTTAATATTAGAAATGATTTCAATAATTTTTTTTCTTTGTTTTCTGTTGGGTTTACAGACCTGCAAAATAGACAGAGGTGGAACAGACTGGCTAAGGCGGCGAAAGATTTACAAGGTCTGTAAAGCCAACAAAACAGAGATTAAAAAATAAATAAATATTACCTTTTAGTTTTTAGTGACATAGTATGGTGCTAAATTACAATAAATGAAGTTGGGGAGAAAGAATCTCGTCTTTGTAAATCTGAAGAACCTCATAGTTTTCTAATTATTTTTTTGATGATTGATTCATATAGACTGAGGTGCTTTTGCCCAATCATGTTTTAACTAAGTTGCTGTTTTATATATATATAGTACATCTATTGGCCAATTGAATCACTATCAACCTTCAACCTGTATTCTAATTTTAATTATTTCTTCAGCATATTTTGTCATTGGAATAATAAGTATTATGTAAAAATTTTATCCTGTGTTGAGTGAAGTGAATGACCTTAATAGCCAGGTAGGTAGAAAATAATTTTATTTACACTGATAGTAGCTGACAAAAATAGAGGGCACAGTTTCATCCTCTGTAAATTTTCAAATGCTTATAGGAGAAAAAAAAAATATATATATGTATATATAGCTAGCCTTGATAGCATTGCGGTTTGACTTAAGACTATTTTTATGATTTGAATTCTATGTTGCTTATTTTGATTGTTCAGATATTTATCATGTTTCTATTTCATATAAATAGAGCTTGGTACAATCCATATTCTTTATTTTTTACTGATTGTACTAATGCAAATATTTAAAAATTTTCTCTCAAATCGAGCATTTATGATTTATTAAAGTTTTTATTTAAATAAATTAGTTTAAGTGTTATTCACATTGGTTTGAGAGAGCTGTGAAAATTATTATTATTATTTTTGTTTAGTAAAGTTTATATTAAATAAATTAGTTTAAATGTAATTCACATAGGTTTCAGAGATATGTGAAAATTATTATTATTATTTTTGTGTTAGTAAAAGCATAATGGTGGTGATAATTTAAGTTACAAAAAGTTGTTTTCTTTTGCAGGTACTTCTCGAACAAATAGCAATAGTAGTAGAATGTCTCCACCTGGTTCGGTTAGCAGTGAGATAAACTGCGACAGGCAGTTTGTAGCGATAGTAAGTGAGAAACAAGCAATGGTTGCTGCGCTTCCATCTCACAACGTAGTTTATAGGCAACAAATTACTGAAGCAGATTTTGTCGTCAAGGCAGAAATAATTTCTCTTAAAGGTAAGTGTACATACAGTGATACCAAAATTCTAGACATAATTAAGTTTCTTCTTTTTCTTTAGCTTCTTCCTTTCGTGCCTCTCAGCGTAAGGGGGTAAGCAGCCACAAACTCCAATCTTCTGTGTTCTTTGCTAGGTTCCTGGCTTGACTGAGATCTTTACCTCTTCCTTTGCAGAGTCTATCGATGTACTCCAGATATGATATTCTTGGGCGTCCTCGAGGTCTTTTGCCATCCGGAGCGTCTAAGCTAGTCTATCATCTTCAATGGGTCCCTATGTTCCTCCATCCTAACCACATGACCAAACCATTTCAATTGTCGAATTTGCAGAACCTCCTTCAATGAGGCGACCACCAGCTCCTTGCGTATACTTTCGTTACGGACCCAGTCCCTCTAGCTAGCAGTGACTCTGCTCTCTTGCCTATCTGTCAATATCCAGCTTTCAACTCCATATAGAAGTATTGGCAGGTACACAGGTTTAAATATATGGAGCTTGACGTTCTTATTTACCTCTCGCTTTCTAATAATGGTGTTGCAAATCTGGTAGTAGCCTGCATTTGCTTTGCTTATTCTATTAGATATTTCTAAGTCCACTTTTCCCGATCTTTCTATGACAGTTCCTAAACAGGTAAAGTCTGAGGCCACTTCTACTTGCTCTCCATTGCAGTATAAATGTGTCTCTTCATTTTGCCTTCCTACTTTTAGTACCTTACTTTTTCTGGTATTGATCTGCATTCCTTTCCAGTAGAGTTCCTCATACCATTCAGTCATCGCCTGCTGCAACATTTTAGCCGAATCAGCGACATTGACATCATCGGCATATAGCTGCATCACCACCAAAGGTAGGTTTCTTCCCCCCAGGAAAATCCTTTCTGTTCTTCTTTTACAGATAGCCTCCATCTCATCCATATAAATTAAAAATAGTAATGGGTTCAAACTATCTCCTTGTTTGACGCCCCTTGCCATGTCAAAGCATCTTGACTCCAATCTGTTCAGCCTAACAACTCCCTTTTGGTGTTGGTAAATGGAGCCTCCAGCCTCCACTAAGTTCCTTGGGACGTTTTTAGCTCTAAGAGCCTCCCATATTTCATGCCTAGGAACCCTTTCAAATGCTGCTTTCAGGTCAAGGAAAGCCAAGTACATGTTATCCTGGTCCCAAGATTTCTGTAGAACATTTCTTATGGAGAATATATGATCCTGAGTTTGCCGTCCTGGTCTAAATGCAGCTTGTTCTTCCCCAATAAGGTATTCGACTGAGGGCCTTATTTTTTCTTCCAGGACTATAAAGCTTGTAGGCCACTAGTGAGAGGCTTTTAGGACAATAGTTAGAGCATTCGGCCTGGAATCCTTTCTTGCGAATGGGTATGATGACATTGTATTCCCAATCAATTGGGATCCTCTTCTCATCAAGGCTTTTTGATAGAGTACTTGTAGAGCTCTCACCATCTCAGGACCATTATATTTCACAAATTCTGCCATTATATTATCTCGTCCTGGCACTTTCCCATTCTTCATTCTTGAGATAGCTCTTTCTATTTCATCCTCTCCTATCGCCTTGACAAACTAAGTCTCATTCCATGGTTCTTCTGGGATTACTGGGCACAAATAATCTGCACCAAATTGCTTGGTGTAATATTTACGCCAGACTTCCAAAATGGCTTTATCCTCCATGATCACCTTCCCATTCTCATTCTTTACATTTCTTATGGGTTTACTTTTGCAACCTCTTAATACTTTAATTTTCCTCTAGAATAGTTTAATATTCTCTGCATGATCTAGGTTTACTTTCTCTCCAAATTCCTTCCACTATTTTTGCTTTGCTCTTCTTACAGCTTCCTTTGTCCTATTTCGAGCCATTACATATATTCGCCATTTATCGGGTGATTTATCTTACCAGCAGTACTTCCATGCAGTTTCCTTTTCCCTGACCTGCGCCCTCAGCTCTTCACTCCACCATGAAGTTTGCTTACCCTTTGAGTATATCCTCTGTATTCCACAAACTAGAGAAGCTGCCTGCAAGATACTACTTTTTATAAAACCCGACATCTCATCTAGACTTATGTCTGCATCAATTTCTTGGAACCCTCTCTTCAATTCCTCTTCATATTCAGCTCTCTTCTGGGAGTCCTGCAGCTTACCTACTTCTATCCTTTCATACGCTTTTGTCTTTATTCTGCGCTCCTTTAGTATCCGATATCTGCTATAAGAAGCATGTGGTCCCTTCCTATTTCTGCACCTCTAATAATTTTCACATCTCTGAAATGCCTCCTCATATCACTGCTATAAATAAAATAGTCTTTTACACTATTGGCGCCTCTCTCAGTGGCGGAGAAAGTTATTTTATGGATCCGCTTGTGAGGGAAGAATGAGTTTCCTAGAAGCAGGTCATTCTCAATACAGAACTGAAGTAGGTTCTGTCCACTTTCATTCTTATTGTGCTTTCCACCATGTGGGCCATTCACTCCATATACATCCAAGCAGTCACTGCCCGTTGTGGCATTGAGATCTCCCATATTATTAAAATGCTTCTGTTGCTATCCCTCACTTTAACCACTGCTCGCTATAGAAATGTTCCTTCTCCAGGATATTAGAATCGTTTGTGGGGGCATAGACTTGGATTAGACCCCATTCTCCAATCTGTATTAATCTAATCTCTTAAAGGTAGGTTTATATACAGTGATACCAAAATTCTGGACATAATTAAGTTTCACTGGTCCTTAATACCAGTAATGCGGCTGTGTGAGAGGTGCTGGGATCTTCAAAAGTCCTGCCTTTCCTCCCACGAGTGGAGAGAAAGGCTTGGCTCAGAGATCTCGAATGTGTGTATTTAAGTAGTTATTTTGATTTGTTTAATTTCTTTTATATACATTTGCTTTTAGTACTATTATTTTGCTGTTTATTTATTTTTATTTATTGTACATAGAGAGTGAATGAGCTACTCTTATATCGCTATTATTAGTGTCATTAGATGTGACAGATTGTAATATATCTCGATAAAGAATTTTCAAAAGTTTACAAAATAAAAATTTAATTTAATACTATTTTTTTTTAAATTATTATTATGATAAGATATTCTAATCAGTATAGAATGTGTAAGACAAACAACTATACAAGTTACCTCACTTCAGAGACATAACTAAACTTCAAGATTGTTGAACTTACCACAATCCTAGATTATATGCTTCCAAACCATTCCACTAATATGAACAATTAAAATATATATATATATATATATTTTTAGGTTTTATAAACCTTAAAATTTAACATATTGTTGTTAGTACAAAAATCAAATTTATTAGAATCTATGGACATCATACTCTGAAGATGTTTAGAGGTAATTATAGGATTAATGGCCAACATTGATCAGCTATGATGTATGCACTACGGCGATATAGAGTCTGGGTCTGTTGCGATGTCTGTGAGTGACTCCTCTTCACCACTGATACATTTCTTTAAACTTATCTAATTTTCTAATTAACCTGACAGATGCTCTATTTCAGACAATTTTTCTGTGTTGGGGTAAAATTCAAATGTGTGCTGATCTATCGGGCATCGACATAGAAGCACTGTTAAGAAAGTTAGGCAGTAACTGAAGGAAAAGTCTTTTGAGGATTGGAGCAAATGCTAGTGACAAGGAATTGTTGTACCTCATTTTAAATCAAATCAGTGGGTTAATCAGTTCATACATGATAGAAAAAAACTAAGTTTCAATTATAGTCCTCTCTGTGAAGTTCCAGAAAACAGAGGCAAGGTGAATAGATATGTTGGTATCCCTCTCCTTTAAATGAGGCCGAGAGCTCTTCTATTGAGCAAAGGTGTGAACAACATGTTCCTAGTAATTCATTGCCACAATAATTTTTAAAAATACAAATGCTTAACTTCAGGAGATGAAAAATTATTGATGTTTTCTTAAGGTTTATTGCACATGCTTAACAAAATTCATTGATATTTCAGCATTTAGTGCAACTGAAAACAACAACTAATAATAAATAAAACAGATAAATAGAATGTCTTTACAAAATCCATTCCCTATTTGCAAGAAAACTATATAAGGAAATTTGATGAGAGAAAATTTACAGAGCTTTGATTCGGAAGTAGGGGAGCCATCCCTCTTATATCAGGAAATTTTTTGGGAAATCCTTTTATCACCACCAGTACTTTAGACAAAGTACCTTAAGAATGACAAAATTGAACTAAAACAAAATGTTACATCTGGCCAAAAGGTTTGATACATTAAATAAAAAAAACATAAAGTAAACTAGCTTTATACAAAACAAATACAACTATGTACAAAACACTTAAAACTGCTTACAAAATCCATCAAAAATGGTACAAAGAATACATATTCATTTCTAAGAAAAAATAAATTAAATTGTTCAAATAAACAAGCACCATTTTTTTACTAAGAAAAAGAAGGTTGGATTGAAAATTTAAAAAGCAAAAAGAAGAGAAAGAAAGATAGTAATCCTAGTATAGGAATATTTATCGGATAAAGACAGCATATCTATGTAAATATAACATGTAAATACATCGTATGAAGAGCATAATGATTTGTTGATTTAAGATTAATAAGAATTTAATCACACATAAAAAAAAAATAACAATAATATATAAGAGTGAAATTTTGCATATTAATATTAATATTATAAGTTTTATTTCATTAGTTTTCAATTTACTATCATTTTATTATTATTTTTTTCAGAGAGCGTCTGCCTCGTTTGCTACATTTCAAATGGGCACGTTTGTGCCTATAGCCTTCCAAGCCTCCGGCCACTTATTGATACTGATTTTCTTCCTTTGGCTGACCTTAGGTAAATACCAGCTTAATTCTGATTATGTATTTGCCTTTAAATTAAATAAATTTAAGATACTTGGCATGCCCACCAGTTATTTATTAGCACTAACAGTTAGCATGCTTTACTCACATCGTATTAAAAACACATAAATTTTCGACCACTCTTTCTTTGCACAAATGGCTTTGTATGTTTGTTTTTAACAAATGGATTCAATGACATTTTGTAGGTGAGAAATACAAAGATTGGTTGAAAAAGCTATTATCAATTATAATTAATTTTATAATCTTATCGTTTTTGGTTTTTTTTTATATATTTAAAATTTTAAGGATTTGATATTTTTCAATTATGCATATTCAGTTTTAATGTAATTTGATTTATTTTAATATGTCATGGCTCAAAGCATTATCAATAATAAATAGTCATATTTTAGAAAAGTTAAATTGTATATTGCTAGTAGATATGAGTTTACCTGAATTAGTCTACTTTATGCTTTGCCAGTGGCTTAACAAGCTCTCTTAATCTGATCAAGCATAAAAATATATATATAAATTTGAATTTCTTTAGTGATAGAGCCGCTTATCAACTATTGTACATGTAGATTAAGAAATATTTTTTATTTATTTATATTGTTTTTGTTAAGCCATTGGATTATAGTGTCTAATGTGAGACCGTGCAGAAAAATGTTTCTGTGGCCTCGGGAAAGATAACAAAGGTTGGATTTAGTTTTCAGACTCGGAAACCAGGCATTGTTGACCCAATGTTATCCATTTGGGGACAACAGATGTTTGTCAATGAAGACACAGATCAGTAAGTGGGCCACACTCTACAGTACTTAAACAGCATACACGTGCTTTATTTACAGTTACTTAAAAAGTTCAAAGTCACTGAGCAACATGTACATATATAATTAAATAATTTTTAATTTTAAATATTCAATTCAACTGACCTTAAAGTTAATTTTTATTGAAATGGAACACTAGATTTATAAGACCTTTTTATTCTTTGGATTTTCATGCTAAACGTTTCGGAAGTTATAATTATTATTATAGTACTACTTGTACTTATGTTACTTTAGTAATATAATAAAGGCATATTATATCTATTTTTCCTTTGTATCTAATGTAATTGTCGTTGTGATGGCTTTCAGTAAAAAAGGTATACAATAAATCTCTGCAAATCTAGTGTTAACTACCTTAAAGATGTTTCCTGTTTAGTACTACTACAAAATAACAGTAAGCAGTTAGAAGAGTCATAAAGAATTTCTTAATTTAATAAAAAAAATAAAAATAATAATTCTCTTTGAGACTAACTACAAAAGCGGAAGAATTATTTTTCAAAAGGTATTAAGTACCAATGGAATAAAGTAGAGTTTTATCTTTGTTACTTATATTGTTATTTTATTTTTTTAGAAATAACATATATTCTTGTAGTACCTATTGAATTTGAATTGTTTTAGCAATAAAAAAATATCATTGTTTTAAAATTTTGTGTTTGTTTGCAAATGATCATTTACGATAATTAATTACTTGCAGTCTGTGAATTAAATTATTCTAATCATTTATTTTTTTGTGTTAGATTTTATAAACTGGTTTTGATAACATGTTTTATAAAACTACTAAGTATATTAAATAAGGCGCACGTGTATGCTTACTTGTACATACAATTACACTACAATATAAATACATACAGCAACTAACCTCAACCCGCTTCTTACTTTTTGTTTAAATTTCTATATTTGTTGCTCACCTCTGCTTTTTTAATCTACTGTTACTGTTTTTTTTAATTTTAGTATTATTTTATGGTTATATTGATAACATCTTTTACAAAATTGTTGTCATATTTTCGTTATAGTATTGCAATAAAGTTGGGTTTGGATTTTTCTTTTTTTTTTTTTTTCTGTTCATTCTTCTTCATATAGTACACTATACTTCCTCAAGAAATTATATTTAAAACATGGATCCATGAATGGTCTTTTCAACATTGTTTGTTTCAATTGGAAAAAAATTTAGAATTTGAAATTTATTTTTTATTAAAATATATTATTAAATAATTTTCTTGCTCTCTTTTGTACTTCTATACTAATATAAAAGTCGTATACTCTTTCTTGATTCTTTTCATTGAAAAATGTAATACCTGGGCATCTTTAGTTCTACATGCTACTTTATGTGATGAGAGATGTTTGTTTGAATAATGTTATGTATCTGTAAGGAAACAGTTGCCTGATGTTTAATATTTTTTTCTTCATAATTTTGTTTAAAAAATTCTTTATAGTTTAGTGAGTGTATGTGTAGGTGTATGAGTAGCCTCATATTAAAGGTGGACATCTGTAACTTTAGAAGAGACCAATTTTTTTTTAACAAAAATTAACTTTTTCTTCACAGTCAGAAAATGAGAGATGTCTTTGATATGAGGCCACTGATATATTGTAAAACAATATAATTTGTATATGTACATAATCTATTTTTCCATTTGTGTCAATTAGTGTGTGAAAAGTGAATACTTTAGTAGCTACTTATTTTTAAAACAGCATGTATTATTTTGTTTTTTATTTTCTGTTTTCCAACTGTAATAAAATTTGTTACCAACATTATTCCTGAAAAAGAAAAAAATATATGCTATGCCTATGCCTTACAATCCATTTAGCTTTTTTTTCCATTTTTGATATGCCATTGTGATATATGTGAGCCACAATGAATAAAGAACTTATCTCAATGGATGTTTGAGAACTATTTCACTATAGTCCAATAGAACTTTTTCGTGACTGAAGCAAATTATTGTTTATTTGTTTTCTTTTATTTATTCTAAATAATAATATCTCCTGCATGATGATGGTTTGATCATTTAACCATTTCAACCTGATCCTAAGAAAATCAGTGTTGAGATTAATGAGGTTTGCTCTTCTTGCAAAGTTGCAGTCTCTCAGATGACTTTGTTCACTATTAGATCAAAAAGTACATTGTACGACAGTACCATCAAAATCAATTAAATTTTATTTATTATAATTATCTTAATGTTTTTTTGTTTTCCTCTGGAAGGTTTATTATCTTCTTTCTGATATTTCGGAAGACTTTTGTTGAGAGACTGTCCGTCAAAGAAATTTAAAACTAAATTTTACTTGTTATTTTTTCTGTTATAGGTTTTTCTAATTATAATTAGTCATATTTCACTTTTAGTGTGGTGGAATAATTGTTTTCATTTTTAAAAAATGCATGCTTGATTAATATAATGTAAAATGGATCTAATTATCATATTTCACTTTTTTTCTCAACATCTCCAGTAATACAAATAAGAGGGGATTAGTAATCCATTTTTATTCTCCCAATTATCTCATTAGTCCTTAAGAAAGAGTAGATTGTGAAATGTGATCATGCTGGCATTTTTAATTCATAAAAAAAAAAAATTAGTCTTCAAATTCTTCTGAAGTCCCTCTCCCTCTCCCCCCCCAAAAAAAAATATATATATATTAATTAAATAAAGGATAAATTTATTTCTAAAAAAATAAATGTGGGGACTTTTTTTTCTCCTGCTCTCCAATCATTAAAAAAAAAAATTGTAAAATTCATGAAAAATGGATGTTCAGAAATCTTTTGCTTTCTTATAATTCTCTCTCTCTCTCTCTCTCTCTCTCTCTCTCTCTCTCTCTCATTTTATTTATTTTTATTGATCTTTGATATTATTTTTTCTGGTATTGCAAATTTCAGTGATTCTATCTGTGTTTATATTTTATATGCATTCTATCTTGTCAAACAATGCAGAATTTGGTAATAAAAATCATTTCATGATGAATATTTTTATAAACAATAGTTTATATCATATTATCTTGAATAAAATAATATAATAATGAAGAATTAGTATCAGCAACCAACAAACTTAAAAAATTTCTTAACTGCACATATTAGTGCTGTTTAATATCAGATCATAGTTGAGAAATTTATTTTTTTCAAATATATTTTTAGTAATTTTTTCTTGCATTGTTTACAATAGTAAATGCTAGTGTTATGGTTGTTCAAAAGTTGAATAAATACTTAGTCATTAAATTTTATTCGCTTTTCTTACTCTTTTTGCATTGTTTTTGTTGCATGAACTAAAAACAATATAAAATATTTTTATTATTACTTTTATTTAATCAATTATTTTATATCTGTAGGATTAAATCAGTAATGAACCAGAAAAGCAATTTTTAGTTTTAAGATCATGTGTTATTTTATAAAATGGATGTAATGATAAATGGCTTATTTAAAATAAATTAAGAAATCTAGATATGTGTTGGCTTACAACCACTTACTTTATTTTTACTTTTTTCTTTTCTTTTCTCAATATATTATTTCATAAAATAATATTGCTTCATTCAAAGATTTTTCAAATTTCATTTTTTTTAAATTCTTCCACTTTTTACTGACTGCAATTCATCAATATCTTTTATCACTTTATGATGATGTTATTTCAAATATGCATGGAATAAGCCTGTTTCTTGGACAGAATAATAATAACAAGGAAAAAAATTTATTTAAGGATCGGGCATGAATTTAATCTTAACTGAATGCCTTTTTATTCTACTTGAAATATGCCCTATCTTTCATTGAAGTTTCATTTTTAAAAAAGCACTTGTTCGGTCTTAAAGAGCACAATGCTTCTTTCTTTCAACAGTCAAAATATTTCTATGAAAATTGCATATCTAATACGCTAACAGTTAACACAGTATCTACAAAACACAAGGCCCCCTAAAAAAAATAATTGTTATGAATATTTACTTATCTCTTAAAAGTTAATTTAAGTTCATATCACTCAAAGGGCGAATCGGACTTGGAACCTTTAGCCTGTTGCAATATTTTTATTTGACAAGTAAAAATTGATTTTGATTTATTTTTTGTATTGATTATTTTAGGATAGCCAGAACATTCTGCTTTAGTAACCATGGTAATGGATTGTATTTATGTTCACCTACAGAAGTTCAAAAGTTTACGGTATCTGCTGACTTTTGGTAAGTCTTCTCTCTTAGTTCCTTTTTTTTTCTATAAATTTAAAAGACAATTATTTTGCCCGTGGTTATTACAATGATACATGGTTATTCACAAAATTGATCAAACTGTAGCATTTTTATTTTTAAATGATTGTATAAAAAAAAATTAAATCTTAAATAGCTGTTGTATTTTTTAATCATCTTAAAGAGTAGATCAAGTTCCATCAAAGAACGAGGCCACAAAAATCCATACCTATATTAATTTTGAAAAATGGCTCCAAAATTGAATCATTCGCAAAAAATGAGAGATAATGTTGAAATAACATATTTTAAAACTCATAATATTTTGAACAGCTTCATTGTGTCCCTTTAAAATCAAAGAAGACAATCATACAGTAATAAAGTCTGTACATACAATAATATATTTTTTATAATAATTTAAAATCTTTATGTTGTCAATTCTAAATCAATCTGAATGGAATAAATATCAGCTGTGACGGTTATCAGGATTCAATATGCAAGTATTTTCATGCTCGAGTGGGTGCTTATCCATTGCCGAGAATGTATAATTTTTATAGAATCCGCTATTCAATCACAAGTGATAATTCTTTTCAGTAAATTTTTGTTTTTAGCTTCATTCAACAGAGTTTTGAGCAAACTTCAACTGATTAATTTTTCAGTGGCCATTAAATTTATGAAGTACCGATTTTTTAGTCTTGTTCAAAATGCACTGTTGATTTGCCAGATAAAGTTTCTTCAACTCTCAAACAACTGTTCTTTTATTTTATTATTTTTGTTTTAAACTAACATATCAACAAAAAGAGAATTTGTTTTAAATATTCAAAATATTTTAAACAATTGTTAAGTACATTTCCCATTTTTATATTGTCATTAGTATCGATATAATTTAGGTTGGAAATGGAAATAAACAAAAAAATTACTTGTCTAACATAAAAAAGTTATTCTAAAGTAGAAAAACTAATAAGTAAACATAAATTAATTTTTAAAACATTGATTGCTGTTGATCATATTTTAGAATAATTGATCTACATATTTTATAATAAACAAGACAACTTTTGTTTCATTAGTTCAAATGATTTAGTTATTAGGGCTATCCATGCAACCAGTGATAAATATTGTAATTCTTTAAAATGTGTTAAAGTCAAGAAACTTATTTAAGATCTGTGTATTAAATATGACCGCTGGCCTGGCGCACTTGATTTTAACACTAAGGTTTAACAAATTTAACTGTCTAAGATCTGTTAAAATTTACTATTGTCATAAATGTGCAGGTAATTGTGAGGTCCTTATCTTCTGTGTAATACTTTTGTTTTAAGTGAAATGGATTGTAAAAAAAAAAAAAAAAAAGGCTCGGGAAGTCACCCGGAAAAGGATGGGCAAAAGAGGACAAAAATATGTATTCCATACTGATAGAAAATTTTATTAAGTTCGGAGCAAAATCATTTTTTTTTTTTTTTTAATTCCTTTTAAATTTATTGTTGCCATACTTTGGGTAGTAAAAAGTGTTCAAATAAAATAAAAATGAGCTCTTAAACATTCAAATCAACAAGGGAAACCAAAGTTACCGCAAGTGGAGCTTTCAATTTTCTATAGTTAAATAATACTTTAGCTAGTTAGCACTGAGGGTTCGTTCATTCAAGATTCATGATTACTGTTGAGCAATATTACACATTAAGCATTCATCACCAGTTGAGTGAATGCCACAGTTGTGAAGACTGAAATATTTTAGGCCTTAAAGTGATAGATAGTGATCTCTCCATCGTTAAGAACATTATCTTGAATATTGCTTTTTATTTATTTTATATAATTATTTTAAAATTAGTTCCAGCTTGGGTGAAATCGTAGGAGACTTATTTCTTCCTCATGACATGCCAGAACCACCTAAAGAGAGTTTCTTCAGGGGCCTCTTTGGAGGAGGTGCAAGATCTTTAGATAGAGAAGAACTATGTATGTAATTTTTTATTCTATATTGTCAGTTTATTGCAAAAAGTCACTAAATACATTTTTGATAAAGCTGGACTTTCAATTCAGTTTTTGTGAATTTCAAACCTTATTAATCGATAAAAAAAACAACGAAAGTTCACTAAAATGACACAAATGTATTTATATATCGAATGTAGTTACAACAAATACATAATTTTCTGATTGCACAAAGAGAAAATTCATTAATGTTCTTAAGTCATTAATGAAGTGTCACTTAATGACTTTTTGCAATTAACTGGATATATATAAATATTTTTTCAAGAACATTTTCTGACTGTAGGAGCAATCTCATTAGTCCAATTTTGTCAATTTCCTAGGAGACCAAAAATTGCTGTATTTTTCTTATGTTTTCTTTTAAACATATTTACTTATTTGGTTATATTTTTGATACTGTGTGCAACTATATAAGTTAGAGGCACCAGTACTTCTGTCCTACGGGGTCAGGACGGAAACTCCCTTCTTTTCTTATCTTACAACATGGAACCTCGATTCTTATTCCATGTAAGCTCTTATCATTCCATTACATGTGCGTTATTCCATTGTTTATTTGTTGCTAATTTTGTCATCTGTTCAAATGGATATTATTACACTTCGGGAATTGCCATCTTCAAAATAAGAAGCTATCAGATATTTTCATAAGGTCGGGGTAATTCCAAAGGTGAAATTATGTTAAGAAGTTCATGAAATAAAGTTTGACAGGAAGACCAAATAGAGATGTTTTAAGCAGTTGTAAGAAAAACTTATCAATAAGAAAAGAAACATGGTTAGAAGGATCAGAGATTACCTTTTCAACGGCTTTAAAATTTATTTATGGCTGGTTTCATAATTTAACAACAACACAGTGGGACAAAGAGCAGCTGAAAATATCCAACAAAAGTGTGGTAATCTGGAACAAGTTTTTAAGAGAGGTTTGTGCCCACAGCATGTTATACAGGTCAACAAAAAAATTGTAGTCTGGAAAAGTCGTTAAAGCAGACATGAGTTTTTTTTCTAAAAGAAAAATCATGTAGGGAGATTTCTCCCTGAACAACGGATGTTTGGCTGAGTTTGCCAAGAAACAGACAAGTGCAAGGACAGAAATGCAACAACTTTATTAGAATGAATTAAAAATAATGTAGAAGAGATAAGCACGATTTATTCTGACGGTTGGTAAGGATACAACATCCAACAACTGAATGGAGCAAATTATAATCATTTTCAGGTGAATTACCGATGCAACTTTGTTAATCCTTCAAGTGGGGTCCATACTCAACACATAGAAGATTATGGGGCTCAGCTAAATGGAGAAATAAAAACATCGAGGAACTGCGAGATAGCACTTTGATTCTTATTTATGTAAACTTTTGTGGTGGTGGGCTCACAGAGAAGAGGACTAATTCCCTCATATCATTAAAAATGTTTTCCATTTTGTTAGTACAAGGAACCTTCGAGCGATAGCAGTGCCAGGCTCAGTAATGCTTTATTGAAATCATAGAGCGCTATGTTAGTGTCAGATGCTGGAAGTATGATCGATCAGCCAGTTCAATACTTGGTATTCCTGTATGGCTGGGGACCCTCAGAAATATTATAGTTTTGTTTGTTAGTTGAATGATTCGTATGATATTGAATACTATGTGGTTGTTGCAAAATTTAAAGTTTTTTATTAGCTTGAGGTCTCAGTAAAAATCACAGGGGGATCTACGGAGGGGAAAGGGGGGACGTATGGGCTGAAGGCCCTCCCCAAAAAATTAACCATGTTTTATGAAAAAAATTATCTGTAAAAATATTATTGTTTGTCTGATTACATTTAATAGAATAAAGCATAGGATTTAAAGAATCACTTAAATACCATTTCATTTAGGTACTTAGTTTCTTTCTTTCTTCTGAAGTAATTATCGTAATATAAAAAAAAAAAAAATCTTTTGGGCTGAAGCCCTCAAAATAAAATCCTGAATTCATTTGTGGTAAGAATCACTAAGAATTAGAATATAGTTACTGTTAATTTCATTTATTATTATACCTAAGGCTAAATAGATGGCAAAGAGCACGTGGGAGAGCACCGAGTAAGTGAAAGGTAGAGAATAGCGATAGTCTCTGTAGGTAAAACCGTGGAACGAACATCCAACATGTTCTGATCATTTTGACCCATTGGCTTATATGTATGTGTAGCCTTTGTAGTTATTTATAAGAGCTCAGAAGTGTTGTTTTAGTACTCCAGGTAGGTTAGCTGATTTTGTTGCATTTTTTAGGCAGTAATGAAAACATTCTTTACTGCCTGTCCAAGGAGGTAATGGGGTTACTGTTGATTTGAATAGATTTGGTAATATCTAGGAATTGGATATTGGCAGATACTCTTAAACGTAAAGAAATAAAGTTTTTTTTTCAAATAAGTCAATACATTTTTTACAATTCAAAACAATAACATATTTATCATTAAAAACATTTCAAACTCCCCTCCTCCTGTTTTCCAGATTTTTTTTCAAATCTTAATTCATATTATGTTTTTTCATTTAATTTTTCTGTGAGATAATTTGTGTCCCATTTTAATCTAGAATTTTATTTTTAAGAGTCCTTTTCGTTTCCTTGTATGTTTTAACAGAAAAAGATATTTATCATTACATTTCATATGATGAGAATACAAGGGTACAAAATTTTCCAATGTAAGAGATGTTAATAGTTGGATCCCATTATTCCAAAGAGTAGTTATCCTCACATACAGACCTAACTAACTTGTACAATAGGTGATGTGATGTACGCAATGTATCAGCAACATCTATTTGAGTAAACCACCTCAGGACTTATATTTTTCTAATATTTGTTGTAAAAAAAGTTTCTTTTGTCTTATGTCCCTTCCATTCTCACAGTATGATTTATACATCCAATATTTCTTAGCTTTGTTTGTAGAATCTGAATAAATGATAAACTAAAATCTCTTTCTTCCTCTCTCTGAAGTGTGTTGATAAAGAGTGGCCACTTTTTCATGTTATCAGATAAGTTATAAAATGTTTAAATTTATGATTTCAGTCGGAGAGTCTAGTGGTAAAGCTTCAAAGGCCGTTGCCAAGCACATTCCAGGAACCGCTGGTTTGGACCAAAGTGCCCAGAAAGCATGTAGCGAAATTTCCAGAGCACATCAGCTTGCTGTTGAAAGAGGAGAGAAGCTTTCTCAGCTCGAAGAAAGGACTGCTAGAATGATGAGTGAAGCTGAAAATTTTTCTTCATCTGCTCATGGTCTCATGCTCAAATACAAAGATAAAAAGTGGTATCAGCTGTGAAATTTAACAGTACACATATTATTTTTTATTTACAATTGAATAATTGTACTACCTCTTATTAATTAAAAAAAATCTTGTGATACCACTGTTCAAAAAATATTGTGTCCCTTCCTTAGGGTCTGCCTAGTAGTGGTGTTGAGTAAGTGAAAACAATTTGGAGTCTGAATCATATTTTGTCTAAGCATTCAAGAAACCCCTACTTTGTCTTCGTTAGGTGGTTTAGAAAAGTAGATAAAAGTTTTTTATAAAACATATTTGTTATATACAAAGTAATTACTATTCTTTTAAAGTTGAGGCTCAACAAATTTTAAAGTTGTAGTGTGTATATGTAACTACATATATATACATACACAAATACACATAGTTAGTACCTAGATGAATAATATTTGATGGATCATTATCACTGTTGAATTTCTGAAGCAAATATTTTTATTAGCAGAATGCCTTGTAAATTTATGTAATTTTAATGTATAATTAAAAACATTACTTTCTAGATCAGAAATTTTAACTATCATTATTTAAGTTGAAAATTTGTTTCCTGATAGTACTTGATACAGTTATTTGTTACATGATGACTATATATATCTCTAAAGTGCACTGATTATGTCTTTTAAGTATATGAGCACAATCGATATAGAATTAACTCTAATTTGTGCTTTGGGTAATTAATAGATAATTCAAAATTTCTCTGAGAAATTGAAACAAATAATCACATTATTACAAAGAGGTACTAAGCAAAATAAGACTACAAACGAGCATGTGTTTGATTTCATAAGCTAAAAATACATCACAGATAGGTAGGAGAAATATGTTTGAGCTAAAAAAAAAAATCATTTGTATATAGTTTTCATTAAGATGTGACATAATATTACTATGTACATAGATTATGTGTTTTCTTCTATAATTGATTGCCAATCATAAATAATTTTATTTCTATCAGGTGATATTATTTTAATGAAGCCTCTCATTTTTTAAAATTGATTTTTTTTTTTAATTTAAATTGCATTAGCGTATAGCTAATAACCCAGTATTAAGTAGGTTTATTTTTAATAAAAGTGACAATAATGTTTATTTAACTGATTTAACAATACTTTTAATCCTGAGCACAATAAGCATTATTATTTAACTTGTTTTCTAGTCAAACTTTCTATTCCCCTCCTAGGGTTGTATATATTTAGCTTCTCTATTGTCTTCCCATTTCTTTAGCCATGCCACTACGTTCAATCATCTCTCTTCTTAAGACATATATATTTACCCCGCTCTTCTACTAACTATGAGGATGTAGGCATGGCTAGGCTGTACTCTTTATTTAGAGGCGCTAATGATGATTATTCCGTTAAATTTTTTTGTGATAATGTTGGTATTTATTGGAACGTCATGTATATAACAAAATGACTTTGTTTTATTAACATTTGTGTACATGGTGTCATTAGCTCATAATTGTTAGGTGGTGGATTGTCTATGAAAATTTAACTTCAGATTATTGGGAATTTACAGTAAACTCTCCTTCTGTTGACACTAGTACTTATATTTTTTTTAAACTTATCATTACCCAATTTTTTCAAAACATGTGTGATATAAAATGGCTGTGTATAATTACATCGGTAAGATTTTTATCTCTGGTCATCTATTTAATGTTATTTCCTTTGAGAGGGTTGTGAATTATTGTTTTGTTATTCAGCTAAAACTGAAATTGAATGATCTAAATCAATTTTTTCTTCTTTTTTTTTTTTTTTAAATTTCAATTCTATTTTGAATTATTTAAATGCCATCTAAGCCCTTCTTAACACATTAATGTACATGCCCTATTTGTTGGTATACAAATACTGCATAATTTAAAAAAAAAAAAGTACAGAATGTTAATCCATCACCCTAGAATATGAGTTTTAGATTGTAAGTAAAAATGTACAGAAAAGGTTTGATGCTTTTTAAACAAGCACTGCCTTATAGTTAATGTGAATTGTAAACTTTATATATATATATATATACATTTAAATGTTTACACAGACATATACATATGCAGTTACCTTTTGTTGTCATAACATAAATATTGTTTGTATAGGTGTATGAAAGTACATAATCTGCAACTAATGTAATTTTATTATGTTAATTTGTTATGTTTTTAAATTTTATCCTCATGTTTTATGTGGCTTATTTTGATTGTTATTCCAAAATTTGAATCTAACTTGTATATATGATTGTTAACATATTTATAGGTATACCTGATATAAAAAGAAGACTAAATAGACTTCAGATATATCTTAAATGTGAAAATAAAATGATTTGTATTTGTATATTTTTAGCTAGTTTATAAAAGAAGCAAATTTGGAATGAAACTTGAAATTGCAAGACATGTACTTTAATGACCATAATCTGATATGATGAAAAAAATCTGTTCTGTGTTTAAATAGGATTGTGGAAAATGAACTATATTTTCTATTGTATATCTGATGGTAATAAAAAATGAAAATTAAGAAAATAAAATCATATTTTAAGACTTTATTATATTACAGTTTGAAATTATTAAATAAAAAATATCATAACATTTTGTACTGAACGACACATAGACACTCTGTACCTTAATGATAAATACAAATAAAAGGTTGATCAGATTTGAATTCGAACTCCTTTAAGGATATAATAAATTTTATTCGGAATATTTCATTATATTTTTACAATTACTATAGTCATTGGACTACAAATGCTACAAAAAATTTAAGCTTTAGCTGCAAGAGATTGAAGATCAGACAAACATTTTTTGATAGTTTCTTTTTCCTGTTGAGCTGAAAGTGACTTGAGTACGTTTGATACAACCCATTGCACCATATGTTTCTGCGCAACCATTTGTTCAACCCTCTGCTTCTCAACTTGGTAATCTAAACGTTTCTTAACCTAAAAACAAATAAAAAAATCAGTATGAGTAGATAAATCAAAAAGAAACAATACCTAAAGAAATAGATCAATTAGACGAATTCAAATTTTGAAAGGTCTTTACTATTCAAATAATTCAATTTCAAGATACACGTTGACTTCATAAATTAAAGTCTCCAATCTGAATGCAAGCCACAAGTGCTAAGAACAATGAATCATGAACAGGAAACTAATTAAATAATAATAAAACAAGACTTGTTGGCTCACATCTGTACAATATAAAAAAAAATGTTCCTTTAAATTCTTAATTTTCATATCTCGCCCATAATGAATTTCAGTTTAACTAATCAAATCTGAAAATGTAGGGAAAATATTTCTGAACAAGTAAACTGCGGCATGGGCAAGCATTAACCTTTTCCCAGGGCTGAAATTTATTAAAATAAATTATCCCACAAAACCCACGTGGAAGGCTAAGTATTATGAAATTCGCTTTCTAACATTTTTCTTTTATAAATGTAGCTTAAATCATAATTATACCATCAGCACGTAAGATCAGGCATATGACATCTAGGAATTTTTCTGAATCTTTAAAGCCGACCTTACACGATCAGTCATTACTGACCATTTTAGCTCGGTTGATATAGAGATAACAGGCAGCATGGATCTGGTGGATTGTCAGCTTATAATTACGTGTTTAATTTAAAAATCTTATTTGGACTTTGTCCTTTACAGTATTGGACATCAAGAGAAAAATGGAGGTATAATAATTACTTCCTAGTCCCTGAAAATCGTTTAGACCAAAGTTAGAAAAATATAAGTCAATTACTTACAAAAATTTAAGAAAAGTATTGTGAAAATAATCAATTTGTTAATAAGAAAAATGAAAAAATTAATGACAAATGAACACAACAGTTAAAGATTTTTTTTCTATAAGTAAATTGTGAAGTTTCCACTTCTTTTTTTTTTTTTAATTGATTGCCCGCTTGACTATTTAAAGAAAAACTAGTTGAAAATGGTTTATAAAAAAATAAACTAGGGATATAAAAAAACAATTTACTTAAAAATCAGGAATGTACAATGATTGTGAGGCCTAGGTAAACCAACCTATCTATTTAGTAGTAAGCTTAGTCTCATAGAATATCGGTTTGACAAAAGTTAATAAAATATAAGTCTCCAACTAACAAAAATTAAGGAAAGGTATTGCGAAAATAATTAATTTTTTTCTTTAAGTAAATTGTGAAGTTTCCAGTTTTTTTTTAATTTGTTGCCCACTTGACTATTTAAAAAAAATGAAGATGGTTTATAAAGTATAAACAATGGATATAAAAAAACTATTTACTTTTAATGAAAATTGGGAATTTATAATGGTTGTGAAGCCTAGGTAAACTAACTTATCTAGTAATATGGTTAGTCTCCCTACTACTTTTACCTCAGTCCTCTCTCCACTTCTCGAGAATGAACCTTGGATTTTCGGAAATCCGCCAGACACGTCCATCAGTACTTCATTCACTACCTTATACGATCATTCGGAATGTCATTAGTGGCTCGGAATGCAATTCTGGATGACCGTGTATGGTCCTCTTAAATGAACTATACACATGAGTGTTGCAAAAAAAAAAAAAAAAAAAAAAAAAATTGATACAAAAAGATTTTACGTCTTCTACAATTTTAAATACACATTTCAATGTGAAAGTAATAATAGTGAATTATTATTAAAGTACAATAATTTTTTCCCATAATTTAAGTAAAATGAAATAAGGTACGTTCTCGGTGACTGACTTTAACGACTTCTATAATGTCTCACCATAGATAGAAACATGTCTATATTAATGCAGGGCTTTCAAGGTATCATGTAAAAAACCCTTCAACATTAGCATCAAGGAAGAGTAATTGAATGACAAAGCATGTTGAACAACAGCACGCAACATATTAAAATAACGAACAGCAGGTGCCCTGTATCCAGGATACTTTAAAACAACATAAAGCGTTAGGAATCATAATACAAACTGAATTAAAAATTCAAAACAACTAGATCCCAAATCCATTACTTAAAATTTTTTTTTTCATTAAAAGATAATCAATATGATAATTTATTAACACAATTTCACATACCTCAGAATAGACCTGCATAGCTCGTTCCCTATATGCAGCTTCCAATTGTAAAAGTACATTTTCCCTTTTAGCCGCCAATAACAACTCCTGACCATCAGCCCTCCATTGTGCCAGTTCTTCCTCTTTGATAGTGTCAGCAAGCATTTGAAGTTCATTCTGTCTACCTTCGTTAGCATCGCTTTCTGCTTTCTGCAACCACATTAATTTTATAGTACACATTTATTTACCTCGGATTAATGGAGAGGAAGAGATAAATAAAAGACAGAAAGACTTTAGCTTCTTTCTTTGCTTTACAAAAACACTGGTAACAGTTATGAAAATGAATAAAAAAAAAGATAAATACGTTTGTTAATTTGGTAAGCATATTGAACAAAAATCTTATATTAATATGATTTATCAAAATGAAATATTAATATTAAAATTTATCAAAATGAAATATTAATATTAAAATTTATCAAAATGAAATATTAATACAAACACAGTATTAACAGAGTTCATATACCTGATCCATGCTCACACAAATAGGGTACTTAAATATTAAGAAATTAATGATACCATGTAACTTAGAAAGAAGTGTGGTTAAATTCTAAATAAACACATAATGAATACTTACGTCAACTTCCTTGTCAAGATAACTAGCTATTTGAGGGCCAAACTGCCTGTTCATTATATATACAATACCAAAAAATGCAAAAAGGAAATAGAAGTCATGTTCCATAACCCATATTTCCTTGCTCAGCAAGTAAGTAGTGAGACCTCCACCAAATACATACGGTCCTGAAAGAAAATCACAATCTTAATGCTCAATAATTAGAAATTTTTTTATTCAAGAATGAAACTACCAGATTTTTTGTAATAAGAAAGGATACTTGAATAAATGATAGGAGATGTAATGAACTCCCAACAATATTTGATTTTTTAGCACAATGTGAAAAAGTCTAATAATTTTAAAAAAAGAGCTTTGCGAAGTTTATTATTTATATTTTTAAATCTATAGATACATTAAAGTTGGGCAAAACATACATAAACAAAAAAGAAAAACTTCAATATTAAAAAAACAGCTTTGTTAAATCATGGTCAAACTATTTTTGATTAAAGAATTAATTCAATAAGATGTTTGCGGGAAAAGATCAAAGAAAAAAAAACTCATAGATCATTCTAAAACTTATTCCTTTTATTTTTATTAAAGTAAAAACGTTCATTTTGAACTAACCATTAATTTTATTTGCTTAGTAAGAACACGTTATATTCCGTAATGTTTATAAAAGTAATGTTTTGAGAATTGAACCTCACTAATAAACAAAAAGATCTTTACTTTAAAACTATAGTGAATACAATAATTTCCTAATATTTCATTTCTAGCACAGTACATCAAATTTGAAAAAAAAAATTATTGTTGTTTTTTTTTTATTATTTTAATGGAATTTACAACTGTATTACATAGAAAATACAATAAGTAAATGTGAAATTGGTAACATGACATGTACAACATGAAGAGAAACTACCCATTGGTTTTATTAAGTATTAGATAGTATTGATGGTGAAGATTGATATCTACCGATGAGGGTACAAAATACGTAACACAAGTTCTTATTTGTATTATTTCATCGCTCACCAAACAATTTCTTCAGTAGAACAAAAAAGTTTGTTTAGAAAATAATAAGGGCCAACTTACACCATACTGTTGTCACTGAGTAGTAATTATATCAAAGACAGCACAGTCGAATTCAAAAGATTAATCATTAAATAACACTATTTGGTTATGCTGGCTTTGGCAATACTTTTATTTGTTACAAAAGCTGAAAATATTTAAATTTTTCGCATCTTTAATTTTCATTGAAACTTTTGATTTTTGTCTTAGTCTTAATAGTATTTGATTTTAGCCTTTATAGCAGAATTTAAAATCGATAAATAAAAAAATCAAATTGATCAAAATTTTTAAAAATCATTTGATGGTGTTTATTAAGAGCGATTTTTATTTTTATCACTAACGATAAAAATCATATCCTGATCATTATTTTTCAACAACATTTTTACAATTTAATAATTCTTGATTAATACTTTTTAAAATCAGAAATATAATTTTTTTGTAATCTCTATGATGTATTTTGAGTCTGAAGTAGTAGGTGGATAATATTGTTTTCAACTATTAGCAACAGAACATCTTTATTCTTTATTTCCGAAATTTACTAGAAATTTTGGCTAACAAAAACAATATATATATATATATATATATATATAAACGTATACATACATATTAATATTTTATTTAATTTGTCTGTAAAAGGTGATTTTTATTTTCTGATCAAAAATTTTTTTTCTATCACAATTTAATTATTATTCTTCATCGAATAAATAAACATCAAAGATTGATTCAAATTTTTATTAAGAAATTAGGACCGATTTTATTAATAAATAGATGTCTACTTAAACGACCTCCTTACAGAATAAAGTAAGTTAAATAAAAAAATAAAATAAAATAATAAATGTTAAAGAAAATTGTTTAATTTTTTTTTTATAATTAAATGATTGCATTATTATTTATTCGTCAATAAAACCAATATAATGTACCAAAAACATTATTATATCACTATAACTAAGCCATTTATGTGTAGAGAATGGTGTGGTAAAGGCTTGTAGGCACCTACGCCGGCACCGCTTTTCTCATGCATAAGTGCATTTTCTACGGAACTGCTTCAAATATTTTAAAAAGTAATCAGTATTTTAGAAAGAGAAATATATTCTTATATTTATTTATTTATTATTAGAAATATATATTTGTGTTACTGTTGCCAGTTTCATTACAAAAAATGCTCTATTTCCAACTTGAAAATTTTTTTGTAACATTTTTGACTTTACTGTTATTTTTTATTGCCTAATCCAATTATTTTTTAATATTTGTTAATGTTTTATTATTCTCTGACTATTCAGCTTTAATAAAAGACCAACCATGAGGAAATTAAGCCAAGTGCTTATTCTCAGTGACCAAAAATCTAACTAAAGTCAAAGTCGTCAATCCGCCATCTTTGGAGGCCATTTTGGGGTAGTGCGTTCACTTTTTTTTGTGGGAACATTGGCTTTTTTTTAATAAATAGTTACAAGGAACACAACGATATGCAATTTATAGGGATGTGGGGGGGGAGGATGCACGATAGGGGGGGTGTGGCCCACCGTGTATAAAACAACTTGAGGGAATCTTGGTATATATATTTTTTTTTAATTTTAAAATACTCTAAAATATTATTTAATTAGTGTTTATATATGGTTTAATTATCATTTTCTTTTTCCTCTAATATCTATGCTTCCTTCAACAAAATGTTTCAGTCAGAAATATTACAAAAATTTGGGAAAATCAAGTTTTATTTTTCATTTAGTTTATTATATTTAATTAATTGATTTGGAAACAAAATTTAAAAATCCTCTTCAAAATCTGAGGTATAACATTTCAAGATACCTCCAAATTTTGATGGTTAAACTTAAATCAGTTTTTTAAAATGTATCTATCCAACACATTTCTCCAAGACTACCAGGTCAATTTTTTCAGATTTAATTAAAAGACTTAGGTCACACAAGACATTCCTCCAAACTTGACTTTACTATTCATCATTTTGTTTATAAAACAAAACATTGCATAATTGTTTGCACAAATTTTCCTTTATTGCACACCACAATATTTATAAATGGCAATAATTTAGTTTTAATAAATGCTCATATAACAATTATAATTTAATTTTAATTGCCATTTTTTTAATTTTTTAATTAACTGTGATTTCAATTAATTAAATTTAATTAATTACTGCAAATTAACTTTTGATTTCAATAATTACAATTATTTCTTGACGCAAAGTAATTACAAGTACAATGCAGATAAAGTAACATCCCACATATATTATTTGACTGCGATTCAAAATCAGTTTCGTATCAAATATAAGGTTCTATCATACTAAAATACTATGAATAGAGTACCATTGGATTCATAATTGCAAGGAAACATACTTAGCGAATTGCACTCACAGTTTTTGTTAACCTTTCAAGAATAAATTCGATCTTAACATTTGATTAGGCTTTAAAATTGGGACAATTATATGTCGCCGGTTGGAGATGGGTCAAATTGGGTTTTGAAGATTTTGATACAGACATCAAGACCCAGAATGTACATACGCTTTAAAGCCCTAAAATCTACTCTTTTTCGAAATAGTGTTAAGAATTTGAAACCACATAAGCTCACTCTAATTGTCATGTTGCCATAGGATTAATATTGTATGCCTTTTAAGTTCTCATTAATAGATTTTAAGATGAGTTCTGTATGCAGTTTGATTATCCTTTTGATAAGCAAGTGAAACATTCTTCCTACTAATATTTTTCACTGTTGTTATTATTATTTTTAATAATGAACCATTGTAAGCCCGACCGGCCACCAAAAGCAGCGTAGCTGAGTCAGCTTCCAAAACCAAAACAAAGGTTTTCAATGACAGGCCAGCCATCAGAAACGGAGCTGAGCTGGGCGCAGTTAAGCAGCATAGCAAGAGTCAGCTCAGCTCAGCTTTGGGTCAATCGAGGTTCGGTTTTGGAAGCTGACTCCACTTCTACTCACCACTGTTACAAAACCGAAGGGCTTTGTTCCTCAGTGTCATCCTTTTTTCCCGCTTGTTTTCACCGCAAAACCTCAAATTATTTTATTTTAGCTCAGTGTAAAATTTGCAACGTATGAGGAAGAATTCTTAATCGATTGTGTAAGGAAAAATATTAGATTTTTCTTTTCATGATTAACTTTGCTAATTTTTTAAAAATTTTATATATGCTAACTGTGTGTGTGTGTGTGTGAGCGCGTGTGCGTGTGCGTGTGGGTGTGTGTGTGTACATATTTTAAAATGTTATCCGCTTGTTTTCACTGCACAACCTCTCAAATTATTTTATTTTGGTTCAGTGTAAAATATACTATGGATGTGGAAGAATTCCTAAATAGAATCCAACGTGTAAGGGAAAATAATCGCTTTTTTCTTTTCAATTCCGACATGATCAACTTTGCTATTTTAAAAAAATGTTATATATGCTATATATACACTTTTTTTAAAATTGTATACGGAATATGAGAAGGGTACCGATGTAAGGCAAGTTGCTGACTGAGTTGAGCTCCACTTTGCAATAGGTTGCTGGCCCCATCTTGCTATGCTCAGCTCAGCTGCGCTTTCGGTGGCCGGTCAGCCTAAAGGTACTATTTCACTGATGCTGCTCGGCAGTCTAGGTATGACGTCATATCTAAGCTGCTCCTATCTGACTGCTCTTGAAGGTGTTGGCGGTTTGGTAGTTTTAGGTTATGTTATCATATCAGAGCATTGTTTTGATGATAACAATCATGTTGATACGTTTTATTTCCGATGTTTCTTTCAAGTATGGCAAAATTATAAGAAATATTGTTTAAAATTTAAACAATGCAATAGTAAATTATTTTTTTAAGGTTGAAGTAACAAGATTATTTATTTATTTATTCCACCAAAAATATTTGACAGCGAAATTCAAATATACCTAAATCCAAACGATATTAAATAAATTAAAGAATCCAACAAATTTTAACGTCAGGTAAATACTAAAATCCACTCATTGAAAAATCGATTTGTATTTTTTAATTAAAGTGGGGATTTACTGATTATTATTGATAAAACATCGCCTGCTGTGATTTAATTACAAATATATCATATTTATTACTAATCAATTATGTAATAATTACTATTACTTTTCAAACTAATAATATCTAATATCAGAGGGACTATTGTTGTTAGTATGGCGTTTCCCACCTTTTTGTTCTTTTTTGGTTGTTCATCTAGACAATAGCAAACAATGTCCAAGAAGGGATTTGATGATTTGGATGATGAGCATCTCATTGAAATACTAATATTCCTTCTCCTAATGAACAACATTTCCTTTTCTTCTTCTTCCTCCTCAAATAAAAAAGCGGTAATCAGAGATAGGACATCCATTTTTTTTATCTTCGAAGATAAAGCGAAATGTTCGAAGATTATAGACATGTTATAACAACCCCAGTGAGCAGTTTCAACGAAATAGCTATGCAACAGTGGTTGGCAGCGTGGAATTGCAGTCTGTGTCGTGGGCCGCACCAGCAAAATTATACTTTAAGGAATGAAGAAAAATATATCACCATTACTTCATGGAACATTATTAATATACTGTGCAAATTATAATTACGACCACCAATTATATTTAATTTCTAACTTAAATTTATTTCGATTTTTTACTCATTATCATAAAGTATTTATCTAATAATCATTGTAACATTACTTCAGTTTTAGATATGATTTAATTGCAGCTAGCAATTAAAAATCATTAATTATAGAAAACAATTACATAAAATTTTAGTTGTTAACATCAATTACTACTACTCAAATAGTAATTGTAAACAGAATTAAAATTACAGGTTTCCATGAAGTAACCAAAAAATAATAACATTTGAAAGTGTTATCACAAGATTATATTATCAGGCACACTCTTAATATTTTGAACATTCGATGAAGTGTGATCAATATAATGTTAGCCCAAGTATCATCCATATGTGACACTTCTGAACTAGCATCTAATGATCTTTAACTTGATTATATCCAATGCAATGTCTATGGCATAATGGATGTGACCCATATCAGATTATCAGTCTAAATGGCTGATAATCTCATAAACAAATTTTTAAATATTTCACTTTTTATCATCTTAATGTTCTTGGTTTGTAAAATAAATAAATGGCAATAAATTGAAATTTTCAACTAAGTAAAAAACCATCATTACAGCTCTATACCTGTAACTCCTGTCTTCTTGTAAAAAAACTCAAACCATTCTTCAGGTACACAACAATATCTAACTTTCGATGGAAATTCTGCCCTTACAGGCCTAGGAAAATTCACAAGATCTCTCTCAGGTCCTTCAGTGGTTGAGGCAAACCTGGCAGAACCAATGATAGAAGGGACAACTGATTTGAGATCAAGAGCTGAAAATCAAATAAAAATATTATGAGAATGAAAAATAATAACGAAATAAGGAATATAAAAGCAAAATGTATTCTTTACCTTTCTTAAATGCCAGCCTAGAAATCATCTTGTAGGTGATAAAGGACCGACAGGGTTAGGAAAATTATCAGCTGATGAAAAGATGTCTAGGTTATAAGAATTAGTTCAAATTATACCCACTATGTCGCTATCTTCATTGCATTTATAAAATAGGAGAATTAATCACTTTATTAATTATTAATTCCAAAAATATTAGTTTTTAACAATATATTTATCAAAATTAAAACACGTGTTTTGATGGAACTTATAAATTCGATGTGACATTAATTTTGAGAAGCAATATTAAAAAATATATTTTATTTCCTTTAGAATTTATGCTGCAGATTAAATATTTTCTGAAGTTTTAATCCAATTAGTGGTAATATTAGTTAGCCCACAGCGATAAACTTGGATGAATAATTCGTCTGTTTCAGAGGAAAACTATGTAATTAACAAAGTTTTGATTCAGTTATTTCATTTCTTTTTTATTAGTTGGACAATTTTTTTCTGCGTGACTCAATATCACTTCCAATTACTTACTATTTAAAAAAGTAAACATATCTCTTTATGATAATTTTTATTTTCATTTATATGAAATACATTGTGAGGGAAAGTATTGCGATCGTGAAAATTTTTGAATCTCAGTTTTCAACAGAAATATATGCTTTGAGGTTCCCTGAGTCGAAATAATCTGTCTTGCAAAATGGTGTGAATGCGTGCGTGCGTGCGAATTTTAAATCTGAGTTTTAAACGGAAATACATTTTTTGAGGTCTCCTGAGTTCAAATAACCAAGTCCCGCATAAGGATCTGTGTGTGTGTGTCTGTGTGCACTAGCGGATTCTGAATTTAATTTTTAGTGGGGGGAGGAGCTTCAGCCCGAAGCTTTCTTTTCATAAAAATAACGATAATTACATTGGAAAAAGAGAAAGAAACAAACTACCTATATGAAATGGTGTTTAAGTGATTCCTAAAGTCCTCTTAAATGTAATTACATGAACAATAATACTTTAAAAGATAATTTTTAAATATTTTTATCGATATTGGTTATATTTTGCCATTTTGGAGGGGAGGAGGCTTCAGTCCCAAAGCCCCCCCCGTATATCCGCCCGCGTGTGTGTGTGCGCGCGCGCGTGTGTATGTGTGTGAACAGCCTACCTCAAAAAGGAAAAGTCGTATGAAACTTAAATTGCGTATTTAAGGTTTTTATATGCTTCGGATGTGACAGCAACTTTTTTGTTAAAATTAGCTAACTGGAAGTGCCACTTTATATCAACGTTGATATACATTTTTACGATTTTCTGAAAAACGGCTCAAACACAGTATGTCAGTGTATAATTAAGTTATTTTCAATATCAGCTGGGTTGTATCCACATTTATGCCACTTTACAGAGCTTAAATATCTTCCTCTAAAGTAACTTTAATTTGGTTTATTTTTAAAAAAATAACTTTCTTTTATACTATAGTAACTAAAAAAATGGTTAAATATAACTTTTGAAAGAATTTGATAATTGAATAAAGGAGAAAAAAAGAAAGAAAAATGATTATTCAGGTCGAAAATGAATCTCTGGAAATAATAGTGAGAAGGTATACCAACAATATATCGTTGGAAAGCGGAGAATTTTAGAAAAAAATAATATCTAATAAATAAAGTTGTAGAAGATAACGGAGAGTGATGAAAAAATGTCTGAAAACTAACATTATTTAACGTTTTTTTTTTTTTTTTTTTCTCCTACGCCTAAGTAACGCCTGCTTCGTTAGCCATGCGTGCTCTTGCAGTCCAATACAATTTTGCTCTCCGAGCATAATAGCTGTCCATTTCATTAAAGCAACATCTTATGTCCTGTAATGCAGGGCATGTATCCAGATGTTCTCCTGTCATTATGTCTAAGGAACATAGAGGGCATGTCGGGCTATCTTTTACACCGATGCGGTGGAGGTGCTTCTGAAGGAAATCGTGGCCTGTCAGCATTCTAAAGCATGCCACGGCTTGCCCTCTAGGGAGGTCTCTAGGGATCCTGCCACTTTCTTCCAGCAATCCACTCCATCGTTTCCCTTCAATTGTTTGTACATATTTCTCTTTCAGTGAACTTTGGAGGGTCTGCTTTATGATTCTTTTTGTTGAATCCATGGTCAGAGGAATATCGGGTTGGATCATTCCAGAACCTATTCTGGCCAGTTTATCAGCTTCATCATTTCCGTGGAGCCCGCAATGGCCTGGTATCCACTGGAAAGCGACTTCTGTCCCATTATTTAACGTAAATCACACGTTTCTAAGGAAATTAAATGGGATTTTATTACTAAATGTAAACGTTTAATTTTTTTTTTTTATGTTTGGAAAAAAGTATTTAAAATCCTCCGAATCAAGGCAATGACATTGTTTAAAATACTATTTCATTGTATTTGTGTGAAAGAAAAGGTGAAATATTTAATGGATATATGTATAACCTTAAATACATTTGATGTAGTTTAATAACTCTAGATCTGATATTATATTTAAATAATTAGGTATCTATCGTCCGTTTATTCTGAAAAATCATCATGTAAACTTTTAGAAAATTAAATTAGTGAATAATTTGTTGAATTTTCCCTTTGTGATATCCCAACAGTATCCACTTACAATTAGTGTAGCAACTTTTGACCTATCTATGACAGGCAATGCAAATCTCGTAATTCCATTTTAGTAAACTTTGCAATGGGAAAAAAGATTTTAATATTTAATAATCGTACAAACCATAATCAACCGATATAATAAATAGGATTTTTGTTATTTTAATGGTATTAATGATTTGTTAACTGTAAGCCTTATGCTTTAGCTTGGTTAGAAATGCACTTCAAAAATTTTATAATAGCCCAACATTGCCAGAAAATAATTTATATTCAACTAGAGCGGTAAGTGAAAGTTGTGTATTGCGCGCACCAGATTTTTTTAAAAATTATTATTTTATTTTATTTTTATTGTTTTGTTTCTGCTGAAAAGTAAAGATTTGACAGTTCATTGGTTCCATATTGAGACCAATGTGACCGCGGCAATTGCCCTAGGCGCGCTCGTCGGGAGAGCCGATATTCAGAGGCACTCGCCACTTGCAGGAATTTAGAAAACAATAAACTTAAGAGAATTGTTTTGCTGTATTAGTAGCTGGCACTATTTGATTTGAAATGTTTCTAGCAGACTGACAGGGATGAGACATAGGATTTAATTAAGGGAAATTTTATATTCTTCACTTTAAAATTACCAAAACTTACCTTTAATTTATTATAAAACTAACTTTTTGCGTTTCCCGACTTAAATTTATCAATAAATTCTGGTCACTGTCAAGAACCTGTTTTTGGCAATAGAAAAACCTATTTTTGTTTTATATTTAATCCAAATCATTATCATTTTTTTTTTTTTAGCGAGACAGTAGTGAATGCTCCCATTTTTAAGACCCATTATATTGAGTATATCTTTTTGAATTTATGAATGTACAGGCCTGTCAACTACAGGTGAAAGTTCCTATTATAAGGCTCCAGTAACTGACAACCATTAAATATGCTATTCCCTCATGAAGATAAGTTAAAAATAGATAAAAAAAAATAACTTAAAAACACTCCAAAAATCAATCAAACAAAAATGTTGGGATAAATCTGAGTAGTTAAAGAGAAAAGACAAACCTAAGGTATGCTGCTCTTACTAACGTCTTGGATCTAACACTAAATGGACCCTGAGGGACCTTCCTAATTTGCAACTTAATATTCCGGCAAGACTAAAGTAAAGCTGACAAAAATACAAGGAGAAAATATAGAAACTAAAAATATATGAAATAGAGGTCTAAGAGGTCTTGAAATTTTATTATTCGCATTTTTCGAGGAGTGTGTCAGGTATTGGTACACTGTCAGCTATTCGTGCTTTTACCCTAAACCCGAGCTCTGTTAAATTTTAGTATAGAATAGAAAATAATTTTATTCTGGGACAAAATCTCTTTAGAATAACAAAAAAGTACAAAATTAAAATATTATATCTGGGCTAAATAAAAACAAACAAAGACTAAAAAGAAAGAGAAATAAGTAAGAAAAACATTAGTTAAAATACTACAAATAAAGAAAAATTTAGACAAAACACTTTAAACTATGCCAATACACTTAAATCTATGTATAGTGTTAAAACATAAATATAGACTTTTATAAGAAAAAAAAATAAAGAAAAAATAAAAAATAAATTACATTCTTCTTAGAAATAAACTATGTGTTTATGTAGAAAAAAATAAAGTCGAATCTGATAGTAAGTTTTTTTTTTTTTTTTTTTTAATATACGTTTGTTTTTGAGGTGCAAACTAATATGAACTTAATTTTTCCTTCTAAAATTCTTTACTATAACACTGGGTCGGTTAGCCAAAATATTATATCTTGCAGACAACTATCGTATGCGAACGAATTTGACCAACCAACATAACAAATTGTGATTAAATATTGTTTTATGAAACCAAAGATATAAAATAAAAATATTTGAGAAGTTTTTCTGAATTTCTATCTTAAAAAGGAAAAGAAATCAAAAACATTTTTATGTAGTTTAGAAGAGCAGTAATTCAGCTTTTCAACTGTTGAATTTGGGAGAAAACTTCAGAAGTTATGAATGTTTTAAGTCACAACCAGAAAAAGTATCCACCTAGATTATCAAGTACTAAAATTTGCAATTTATTTATCTATAAAAATTCGTATTTATGTATTTAAGAAACACTAAAATCTAATTTAACTTTCTATTTCATAACAAATATTTGCAGAGTCTACTGTACTGGAAGCGACTTTTGGTTTTTTTCATTTAAGATACTTTATAACTCATTTAATACCATATCTAATATTTGTCCTTATTCTGCACAAAAAAAGAAATCCATTGATATATAATAACCTAGAAGCAAAGGAAAAAATTAATAACATAAATTTAGTTTGAAATTATATAAAATATTATTTTTTCACAGCTCCTAGCGAGCATTGGGAAGAATCCTCCTAAATGGGTCTAACATTTTTCGACCTAGTATCACCAAAAAGTTTCAGTGAAATCAGTGGCCCCACTTTTGTAACATTCTCTTGTTAAATGTTTATCTAGAAGAAGTGAAGGTTGGGAGCCATGGTCACCCAGTAGCTCTTTAAACATTCTAAGCTTTTATTTTAATTTAATTTAAGCTTTTATTTTTAATTATATATTTTATGATTACTATTTAGGCATTATTAAAGATCATCAGTATTTGATAGATTTTGATGAAGACAGATATCAGGTAAATCCCAGAGATAATAGAGGTACCAGACAATATTATTATTTATTAAAGTGTATTTAACTTACAGTCAGAAACTTGACATCTTCTTTAATGTTTATTATTTTAAAATATATTTGCAACTCATTTTACAGATCAAATTTTTATTTATAAGGTATCAATGGCATACACAATGGAGTCAAGGGTTGTGAGTGACTAACGCTTGGTGAAAGGTAAATCAACCTTATAATTGGATTAATCATTTCATTAACTAACAAATTCCTCTCAATATTTTATCCAAATCATTGAATTTAATATTTAAATTTGTATTAGATGAATGTAACTGAATAACATAAAACTTCTATCTAGCATTCATAACTCTTCCTCTTGCGTTCTTGGAGGTTCATATATTGCCTGTTGTCTGCTTATCATCGAAATAGCTCTGCTCAACCTTACTTTCAAGGTCATGGGTTCTTCTAAAAAAAAAAAAAAAAAAGTATAAAAGTATTCAATTATCTTCTAATGCTGGTAAATTATGTTTAAGAAAAGCTAAAAATATATTATTACCGGCCAATCTTCTGTCCCTTTCTGTTACAGTATAATGAGGTGTAGTGAATGTGTATAATATTGGGTTAACAGCAGAGTTGATTGGAAGAACAAAAACTGCAAGCCAACCATTTAACTCTCCTATAAAAAAGTAAATTCACTACCCAACAAAAACCCAGTAGAAGAATTAATTTTATGAAGCAAATTTAAAACACTACTATAGATTAGATACCCAATTCTTGAATATTGTAAAATGTATTATTTAATCTCTTGTTGAGTAACCATAGACAGTAGGAAAAACATAAAAGAATGCAATATTTTTTTTAAGGATTGAGATACATTTCTGATTGATTTTGGAAAGATATTATTATCCACTTCAGTATTAATCACATTAGAAGTTAAAAATATGTGGTTAAAAAAAACCATCTGAAGAATATTAGTGATTTTTTTTTTGGGATTGATGAGGTTTGAAAATGTTAAGAAATGGTGATTTTAAAGTCCAGGTTTAGGTTTTGTATGAAATACCCTAATTTTAGTCTTTACTTGACAATCTTGCGTCCCAATAGGAATTCAGTTCGTCAAAGCAGCATTTGACTTTTTCATTAACTTTGAATACAGACATGACTTCAAAGTCTTTTATAAATACTCTAAAAATATCCTAGGTTAGGCAAGGGATCCTTGATTATGAAATATCTCATGAAAGGAAAGAGCAAGTTTTGGCTTGCGCTGTCATTAGACTTGCTCTAGCTATTTGTACAATTTTAAGTAAGATGGCTTGAAGAAATAGCCAGAATGGAAAACTTACTGGAAAGATAATACCTATTACGGGAAGCATTATACCTAAGGAAAGAGGGAAACTTGGCTTGAATTATTTTTCAGTAGACTTTTATATATTAGTGAAAATGGAAATTGGTTTAAGTCGGAAGCCATGAATAGGGAAGCAACTTCATTAAAGAAGACACTCAAAGATTTTTCTTCAAAGTGTGGATAAATTACATTTTAAAGGAAAGAAAAGTTGAATACTGAATTTAACTATGTCAATCTGTTTTTTATTTTTAAGATTGGAATAAAGTTACATGAAAGGATTTAAGGGTGGGATTCAATTTAGCTTAGATAGAGAATATCACTTTTAAGTTAAGGAAAATAGTCATAACACAATAATGTTCCCAATGAAATGAAAGAAGCAGGCTCTGATTAGAGTTACCTGATTATAAATAACATAACATTCTTGGGATATTTTTTCATTAAATTGTTTACAAAATCTTTTTTCCTTTCTCCATGTTAATCAATATTATTGGGTCGTTTTTAATTTTTTTTTAAATTATTAGTCTTTCCAAAATAATTTCTATTTAATCATTAATTAATTTTTATATAATTTCAAACATAATACTGTCACCTACCTGATAATTCAATTCTGAGAAATGCTAAAACTTTAAGGATTATTACAGGCACCCAGCAGCAAGCATTAGTCAATACAATGAAGAAAAATCTCATAACGAATTCTGTATCTCGAACATTTAAAGTTGTTTCCCTCCTTGTTTTATTTATACTCAATAAAACACCATAATAAAGAAAACCAATGGCAAGCATCCTGTCAAAAAATATTATAAATAACTATTACATTATATTGTAAATATAACTAAAAACTGTATAACCTAAATAAATACTTACCCCAAAGAGTTTAAGCCAATAAAAATAAATGTGGAGTAATGCCACCCAATACGATAGGGCTCATCAATGTGAAGAGGAAAACAGAATGTGTTTGTTCCATAAAATCTACTGGAATCTCTCCAATTCAAAACTGCAAAAATATGCATAAAAATTTAATTATTTCTTCAACAAATTCCAAGTCTTATATGGCTATGAATTTCTTGATTACTTTATGTTGAGATTTCTTTTAAATCCAAATATCTAAATTACCATTTGTTTATAATATGAAAAATCTGCTGTCCATTAAAGTAATTCAAGTTTCTGGAAATTATTATCAATAATTATGAAATATATTAAATTATGGAGTTGAATATAGACTCGCCAGTCTTTTGGTAGTTGATGGTCCAGTATTTGTGAATCTGACAAGACTATTAGAGAGATTTTGACTGGCCAGAGTAGGAAAATTTGAAGGAATGAATATATTTTGCTGTTGTTATAACATGTTTGTCATTTTTAGTAAGAAAATTACAGTATTTATTAGTTGTGTTTATTACGTTGTCTTGAACTGAAAAGAACTGTCGAGAAAACAAATTTAGCTTTGCATTATTTCAATATTAATTTTAATATTAATTGGAAATTCATATTCATCAAGCCACTCACTGGAAAATGGTACTCCTCAAGACTCTCCACTTAGCGCTACCCTTTTCTTAATAGCCATCAATGAACTGGCATCAATTTTCAAAAGACCAATCAAAGTCGTCTTATTTTCTGATGATATTGCACTATTTTTATGCAGCAAATCAATCTGATTTATCAAGTGGAAAATGCAAGAAGCATTAAAAAGAGCAGAGGAATGGTCGAAAAAACTGGTTTTGTTATCTCTGTATAACTGTATAAAAAGTAACGTGATGCATATATGTCGCATGAAAAGTTGCACTCAGACAGAACCCTCAACCTTCAATGGAAATGAATAATACAGCATTTACTGGCGAGCGAAAATACTTACAAATATATATCTGGATAGGCGTTTATCGTGAACCAGCCACATCAAACGTCTCAAGGATGACTGCTTAAAAGGATTGAGCTTATTAAAGTGTCTTTCACACTTAAGATGGGGAGCTGATAGGCTGAGCCTCGTGAGGATATACCAAACTACAACAAGAACTAAGCTGGACTATGGCTCAGTAGTCTACGGATGCTGGATGTAGTTCGCAATGCTGCACATAAGATATGCACTGGGGCTAACAGAACATCACCTGTTCAAAGCATTTATATTGAAAGTGCAGAATCTCCATTGAAACTAAGAAGAGCATTTCTCTCGGCTCGATATATAACAAAGTTAGCCTCACAACCAAACCACCCATTAAACCCAACTAGAAGTGAGCCATGATGAGGAGTTGCATGATTACAAAATCGTGTACACTGACGTATCTAAATGTGAGGACTCACCTGTAGGATGTGTGGTGATAGCAGAAAGTGAACAGTTCCTTTTTAGATTGCCTGGAGCCTGTTCCGTTTTGACGAAAGAAGCGACCACCATCAAGGAAGATCTTCTATATTGCCAAGGGGCCAACTACCGGAAGATAGCTACTGTGACTGAATCGAAGGGTGTCCTATTGGCACTTATCGACCAGAGACCAAAACACTCAGCAATAGCTGAAATTTTTAACATAATGTGGGAAGTTGAAGAAAAAGACTGTGATGTAGCTTTCATTTTGGCCCTATCGCATTATGGGATTAAAGGGAATGAAAAAGCAGATATCGCTTCTCGGACAGCCCGAATTGTCGACAGCAGTGAAATAAAAATCTTAAATTTTGTCCCTTGGGAAGATTAGGTAAGGAAGTTAAAATTTTTGTTGGTGGCCCAGTGGAGTGAGGCCTGGAGGAGCTGCACCTTGAAACTACTCCAGATAAAAAAAAACGGTTCAAAATGGAGTACTTGCTGCAGGGATCAAGCAAGAGGAATTAATATTATGCCGCCTCAGGATCGGCCATTGCGAGTTCTCTCAAGGATATCTTCTCTGTGGTCTGGAAGCACCTAGCTGTGTCAGGTGTGGTGCTCCTAGAACAGTCACTCACTTATTGGTTGAATGCCAGCAGTATGCAACAATCAGAAAAAAAACTTCAGTTTTTTCATTTACAGTTCAGTTTTCAGAAAAAATTTCAGTTTCAATATACGAGAAGTCATAGAAGACTCAGAAACTGGTGTCCAATCTCTTATGAAATTCTTAAAAGAAATTAAGTTTTACCATCGAGTTTAGAAATATAGGAAATGCCAATGAACCTTCGGGGTAGAGGCTTTACTACAATTTAAATATTTTGCAGAATATCGAGATTAGACGGTACTGGATCTCTACTGCATTCTATTTACTTTTACAGATCATTGTTCACCATTAATATTTGCTGATTCACCTATTCATTGAAATTTCTCATTTGAAATTCAATTCGAAGTTGGTAGAAATTTAAGACCAATAACTTATACAATTATATATTTAAAAAAAAAAATCATAGCTAACTATCCCCATGAAGGTGGCTTGAATAGGTTTACAATTGATGTTGAATAATATTAATAAATATATTTTTAATAAAATAGATGAAAAATAAAAAATAAGTAAACAAATAGAATTATATTAAACTACTATATTACCTGGTAATGAAGATATGATTAATCCAATCATCCAAACAGCTGATACTGAGAGAAAAGCTACTCGAGGTTTTAAAGTTTTTTTCCTCCTCAAAGGTGCTGCTATCAGGAGGTATCTTTCAGCACTGATGAGGAATAGCAACAAAACTGTAACCTATGATTAATAATGAGTATTGTATTTATTTATATCTGGTTTTAAATTACATTGTATTTCAGTTTTTAGAGTGGCTTTAATCAATTTACTCAGTATTAATTAGAACAAAACCATTATCCATGTGTAGAATAATAATTAACCATTTTGTGATCACTATCCGAAATCTTTGAGACTTAAAAATTGAGTTCAAGGACTTTTAAAAATAATAATGAAAAATAAAATGTATTCAGATTTTTTTTCTTTTCTTTTTTTTTTTTTTTTATACAGACCGGTATTTTTCCTAATTTCAAGATTAAAAAAATATTATCCCTATTATTATTTCCATATTTACAAAGAACCTGGAAACGAACTACAAATAGTTTGAAGTCTAATTTTAAAAATATCTTTTCTGGCTTTATTTTACCTCAGATGATGTCATTGCTAATACCCCTGCTGTCGTGCATAGCCAAGATGACATCCATTCTCTGGCATGTGTTATAAAGATACCTTTGTATCTTAGATCTTGACAACCTATTATCAGCAAATAAAAACCCATTAAAAGATCAGACCCTAAAAAAAAAAGAATTATTATTTATGTAGGAAGCAAAATCATCTGTCATATTAATTTATAAACCATTTATTAAATAATTATTGAACTGCAAAAAATAAATTGTAAGAAATAGGTGTTACATATTTTTAAAAACAGTTTAATAAGTAACAAGTGAAAAAAAAAAAGCTTAATGATTACAATCATTCAATATTTTTCTTCTGTCTCCATGACAAAAAAATGGTCATACAAAACCTTTGTCAGTGGTTAATGTCAAGGTCCAAGGATGATCCTGAAGTGAACTATAACTTTGGTTTCAAATCTAAAAAAAATCATCCAAGTAGTCTCAGAGAAAATGAAGGGCAGATAATAATTTTTTCTTTTAGCCGATTTTTTAATTTCATCTTTATCTTTATCTTAAAATACAAAACTCAAATTATAAATTTTATTTTGCCTTGGTCAATTACATATTTTCTTAACTGAAAATAGGAGGGTGATGTAACTCAATGAGTAAGACACAGACATGCTTACAAATGTTTTAATTTAAAATGGCATACCATGGCGCACGATAGGCCTATTAAACCTATGTGCATCAGGCCACCAAAAAAACAGATACTCTGCTCCTGTGCTTGAGTCCAGCTGTAATCCGGAATCATCTATTTTGTGAATTCAGCCGTGGATCAACTCAGAGTTCTAGAGACCCTCCTGGGGCAAATCGATACTTTATTAATTAAACTCTTGATTAAATATATATTAAGGGGAAAATCTGGCAGTTGAGTGTGATCTCAGTCAAGTTACTATCACTAGCACAACAGTTAACCAAGTACTGTCCTTACAAATTACTGAACCCAAGACGCTCTAACAGTTATAGTGATACAGGTTTTCATAATTAAAAATAATAAACCACAAAACATTATCTATTGGTAAACTATATCTCTATGTTTTTTAAAGAGATCTCCCTATAAACTTAACATATCAACACAGTAGTATTTAGATAAAATATTTGTCAACCTTTCAGATATTTTCAATAGGAATGGAAAAGGCATATAAATATGCACTGAGGTAAAGATGCATGGCTGAAATCTGACCCTCTAAAAATAACACAAAGGCTTGTCAGAATCAGGTGAGGGCTTAAAAAACAAATGACAAGCCCTCCATCTGACATTAATAAACCCGATATTGAAATAGGTCTGCCAAGAATTCATCTAGAGTCAAAAGAAATATTGGTTACACTAAGGCAGAAAAATAAGCTAACATTTAATCAGAGGACAGCTCTGCTTCGGTTCACCAAAGCATATACAATCGCATGAAGCCTCTCGACCTCCTCCCGCGAGAAGAAGTGACCAAGCATGATTTTACAAGAAGGAGGGCTCAACAGGTCTCTTGTGGAATCTTTGAATTAAGATCATTGTAAACTCTTCTAAATGGAAAAATATAATCTGGAAGGAAACAATTGAAGAGTGCAACAGACAGTGAGTGATGACTCTGAAAGGGGTACTTCAAGAAAATACTTCCCCACTATTCAATCTCCATTACAAGCAAAATGTGTCCTCACAGACTATTGGGTTTCACAATTCCTAACAGGACATGGGGGTTTTAGGGCTAAGTTACATGGCCTTGGACAGTATATAGATCTCCAATGTCCTGCTTGTGGTGTTCCGGAGATTCTTGAGCATGTGGTCATGGCCTGTACTGCTTCCAACAGATTGTGAGCTACCTTGATGAGAACTATGGGAATTTGCTCATCAGTTATTGAGAGAGGAAAACTTTCTGTGGTTCAATGACTTCATAAATGGCTGGAAGATGGCAGTGGGTCCAGTTGACTTCAATCTAGGGGCCTGCAGTTGGAAAAGAGAACATGAGCTGGGAAGATCACCAGATTCTGGAAGCCACTCTGAATTTATTGAAGGCTTGAAAAGAAAAAAAAGCTAGCCTGAAAATTATATACTGTTATAATTATAGTACTGTGTTATTGTGCAATGTTATAATGCTTAACATCATACTACTGCATACACCTGAATAGCCATAGTATAGTGGCATGGTAGGGTGGAAATAAATAAATAAGGTAAAAGATTAGTCTTCCAGAGCAACAATCTAGAGAAATCGGTGAAAGTAGGTGGATTAATAAATACACTTTTTAGAACTTTGCGCTACTGTTGCAAGTCTGCATTGGTTGAAAATACTTATAAAATTACTATAATAATTCATTTTTCTAAGACAATTCTTCATTATTCACTCAAATGTTCAAACAAAAAATCAGAAAATTCATTGAATACCTGCTAAATTTGTTATAATAAGATTAAGAGGTGAAGTAAATACAGATGAAACCATTCTGTGCCAAAGGACAATACCATTGGTTATTAAAGTAAACATAACAACTATCCACAGTGTTCCACGCAGTAACTCATTCACAAGTAAATCAGCAGTCGATGAGGTCCCTGAAATAGTTAGTTATGGAGAAATTAAAATACTTAATATTTAAAATAATACGTGGATCATTCCATGTCACATCAACCAGGGTCTGACCCAGAGGGTCTTGGATTTTGATAATTTGTTGAATGCATTAACATTAAGAAAAGTAAAAAATTTTAGATTTTTGAGTTATACATTTTTAAGTAATAAAAAACCTCATAAAACGGAGCATTTTTTTATACTTTCTGAGTTATTTCTCTAGAACTATTTAACTTAGAAAGCTGAAACTGGTGTCATATATTTCGGTTGATGATACTCTTTCTTTTGATATATGAAATGACTATATTCTATTAATTAAATATTTTTCCAAGAAAACCAAAACATTTATTTTTGAAAAAAGAGCTTTTGATTTTTAATAAAAAATTATGTTATTCTAACATATGGTAGCTAAAGGTGTGCCAAAATTCAAAGTGAGGAAAAATGTTGAACTATAATAGATACACTAAAAACCTGTCAAGGGCCAATATTAAAATATAGACATTTTTAAATTTAAATTTATGCATATATATTTTTATTTAAATGTTACTTACATGTTTATTGAAATAAATAAAAAAACTTGAATACAATATTTACAAATCACTGTTCAAGTATCTCTTATTTTATATATATATATATATATATATATATATATATATATATATATATATATATATGTATATATATTTTTTTTTTTTTTTTTTTTTTTTTTAATTAGGACAACCAGCTTATGTTTTGAAGCTCCTTTTTGACGTTTGAAGGTCCTCATCTATACAGTCATAATTCCTCTGGCTTTGTTGTAGGGTGCACCACTGACTGAGCATGTCAGCAAAACAACTGGAAAGAGGTTCCAATAACTTCTGAATGGAATAATAAGAAAAACAGTTAGAGGAACCTCAAAGCAATGATTAAAAACATTGGGTATCAAGTCAATTCTAAAATTACCTTCAGTTAGAGAATTCTTGAATAACTGTAAGAAACTCACAAAAATATATACACCTTATAATCCTTTTAGCAGTAAAAGGGTTATAAAGTATACAGAAAATTTACTAGAACTCAAGAAAAATATAAAAGAGAGTATATGGTGAAAAAAAAAAAAAAAATATATATATATATATATATATATATACATTTTGAATTCTGTATGCCTTTTAATCTTACTGTTTTAATTTTTCTGTCAAAATTTCTTGTAAATTTTAAATGCCTGTCGAAGTGTATACCTAGATATGTCCAATTTGTCGATAATTTCATGCTTTTAATGTTAATTCTAAATTCTCATGGAATTTTCTTTATCTACTAAAATAGGTATCTCAAGGATTGCGACTGGGAAGACATATAATATACACTACCCAGTGAAAAAATAAATTAACCAACCATCATTTTGCAAAATAAAAAAAAAGATACATACAAAATAAGAGACACTTGAACAGGGATTCGAAAATATTGTATGTACACGTAAGTAACATATATATGCATAATATATGTGCATAAATTTAAAAATGTGTATATTTTAATATTGGTGGAACTTGGCGGCGATTTTAGTTTACATATTGAAGGTCAACAATTTTTATCTTGCGAATCCATTGTTTCTTCACTTTGAAATTTGGCACACCTTTAGCTACCATATGTTAGAATGACATATAATTTTTTTTAAAAAAATCAAAATGAGTTTTTTTTTCATAATTCAAAAATAAAGGTTTTGGTTTTCTTGGAAAAATATTATATTTATATAATATAGTCATGTCATATATCAGCATAAAAAAAGAGCATAAAAAAAAATATATACGACACTGGTTTCAGCTTTCTAGGTCAAATAGTTCTTGAGAAATAACCCAGAGCCTATTCAAAAAATGACCCGGTTTTTAGATTTTTTATTATTTAAAAATTTATATAAACAATTTTAAGTCCAAAAAAATCTAAAATTTTGTATTTTTCTTTATATTAATGCATTCAATAAATAATAACAAAATTATCAAAATCCAAGACTCTCTGGGTCAGACCCTAGTTGATTTGAAATGGAATGATCCATGTGAAATGAATAGGACTCAAAAAATTAATTAATATATTAATTACGTACATTTTTCAAGAAAATAGTACAAAAAAAATTATTACAAATATTCTATTAACAACAGAATAAATCTTTTTAATGATAAATCTCACAAATGAGATGTTTTTAGAAAATGTGAAAGGAAGGTATTAAAGACGGACAAAGGCACTGGTAGATATATGAAATTACAAATAAATTCTGATGTGTGAGTTCACACATTTGTACACATTAATAATATGGATGATATATAATTATCTTTAGGATAACATTAAATGTGACTGACAGGTCTGAAAAACGTGAACATTATTTTACACATATTCGGAAGATCGTCTGCTGAGGAGATGGATACATAAATTATGTTTAAATGAGGTCAAGGATGAGGTTGTGATTTGTGTATGGAGGTTGTTAGGGAATTCCAAAACAAGTTAGCAGGTATGGCAAAGGATGTTTTAAAGGATGTTCTATGAGAAGGAATAAAACAGTTGAGGGCTGGGATCTCGTGCTGAACGAATGGACAGAGGCACAAGGAGTAAACAAATTGAGAAGGTGAGAGGGTTTTTTGGTTGAAAAGGTTTGAAAAAGGAATACACCTAGGAAGCATTGCCGTCGGAAGACTGGATAGAGCCACTTCAACTCGGCATACCAACTGGAGACGTGGGAGCGCCTGGGAACTCCAAAGATTCCTACAATAATGGTAGGATAGTGAAAAAGGATTTATCTCAAAAAGGAAAGACACCTTTACTATTTGGTTTGGTATTTAGTATGTTAATGTCAACGTCCAGTACCTTCTGTTTCAACATATTACCTTATCCAATAACATATTTCTAGTACCATTCTCATTGCTAGGAAATATCTCGATACCTTAACATATCAATTTATTTTCTTTCCTAATTTTCCTACCTCCTTGAGCCCATCTGATTAAACAATGTTTTAAAATACGAAATTTACATTTTTAAATCATATTTTATACATGTTTAAATAATACTGTATTAATAAATTGCTTCAGCGCCCAGTTTTGCAAGCCTATGATCTAGATCAAGCACGCTTCTAATCCTCTTCAGTCTTGAAAATTATATTAAGTTAGAAACCATTCTCGAAGAACATAAATTAAAATGGTTTGGGCAACTTCCCCAGATGGATTGGTGCCAAGTCGGAAGGGAGACCTCTAAGACTTGTGTGCAGAGAAAAAGAGCAAGAGAAAGACCCCAAACCTCCTCCTTCCTTCGAAGAAGAAAGCGTGAGAGGGTTAGAATGGAACAGGAGACAAGGGTAGTGAATGAGAGGCCCTCCATAAAGTTAAATATACGGTCCAAACTGTTTAAAAGGCAATGTCACACTGCTTTAGCAGTAAATATGAAATAAATTGTGAAAAATTAATTTATATTTCTTGAATTTCAAATTTAATTATGAGGAATCACTTGCACTGCTGCCCTTGTACACCCCTTTAGGTAATGACCTTTAGTATCAATGTACCATAACTACCTGAAGTATTACCGCACTCTATCAACTAAAGACGAAAACTAACAGTAGCATACATATAATAAATTACCAATAATGTATTCAGACTAAGTTAATATTAATAAATAGCCATAAACGTAAACTATACCATCGTTACATATCTGTGAAAAACATCTATATCACCATAATGATTTTTTTTTAAATTTATCACAGTGTTCTGTTGGTATAATTTAGTGGCCTATTGCTATCTAACTTGTTTGTTAAATTTTAATCAGTTTTAATAATACTTACTACAAAACAACAAAATATTAATAAAGCTAAATAAAATTTTTGAATTAGAAAATACATAAGTATTTCTTGAAATTATTTCTTACCATCTGTAGAGGGGTAGCATTTTGGAACATTAGGCACGTACATACAATACTTAAATCTCTTAAAATAGCTGAAACATATAAAGGAAGCTTTTATTCAATTATGGTACATTTCCAAAGTTTATCAATTAAATTCGATCATTGGAAAACAAAATATTAATTTTTTAGTTATTATAATTGAAAAAAAAAGAAAATTAAATGCGACATTCATCCAGCACAGCTTCTTAATTATCCTCAGGAACTCTAAGGAGAAACCAATCCATTTTAAAAAATCTTCTGAGATTTTAGAAAGAAAATTTGTGCCTATATGATATGCAGTGAATATTTTTAATCATATTCTGGTGAATACTAGAGCGAGAATAGAAGATTATAATACAGAAATAGGCATAATCCAGCTTTGAAATAGATGTTCAAGGAAACAGGTTTTTCAAGAAAACTAAGAGAGAATCATTAACTTATTTTTTTACAATGAGGTCTATATTAGAATCTTTTACAAAAGTATTTAAATTATTTTATGGCCAAATAAAAAAACGAAGAAACTACTTTCAATTGTATCGATTCCAATAGTCAATTATATTGACTTCAAGAATGTCTTTAAAATTTAATTAGTTTAATACCTCAACCACTCTTGAAGCTTCTTTCCAAAACAGAGCCTTTTTAAGTTTCAATTAATATTGAAATAATAAGAGATTTTTGGAAATATGAGTGGCTTAATAACAAAGATCAACATCTGTAATTTTTAAGAAGGTGAGATAAAGCCAATTTCCTGTAAAATAGCTTCAACTTAAACAAATTCTAATGATTGTTTTTCATGATTCATCATGATCATTCTTAAATAAAGTCATCAGAAACAGTTTTAGTTGAACCTATAAAACAAAAATTGACTTTTTCTCTGCTTTCTGAAAATGACAGATGTCCATCTTTGATATGAAGCCACTCATATGTGTTACGAATAAAAAATTTTTTAATTTATTATTTAAAATATATTTGTTTTGATGTTTCATTATATCAGTATAAATTAAATAAAAACAAGAAAAAAATATTTTCTACATGGTTGTCAGAAATATATTTAAAACAGAAAGAAAAGAGGAATGAATAAAATAAAAACAAGAAAATATATATTTGTTATAAAAAATAAAATAAAATAATAATAAATAAATAAGAGAAAAAGAAAGATAAATTAATCTTATAATCAAAAATCATTTAAAAAATATTTAAATATGTTATTTAATTTTTAAATTTAATAATTATGAAGTAAAAAAAAAAAAAAAATTAAACGGGATAGTAATCTGTTTACAAAGATCTAGGCTGGAAATAAACCAAGTGAGGAGTACATATAATCTATATCAGTAAAAATGTATCACAGATCATAAATACCTAATAAAGTTACATCTTAATGAAAAGAAACCTTACAATATATATCTAAATGTCTAATATTTACATTATAACTAAAACTAAGAATAATTGTAAGTAATATTAATTTAATTTAAATAACAACAAAAATAATAATTCAATTTGCTGCATTTTATTTGTTTTAAGATTGTTTAAAACTAATATTTTATTAGTTAATGTTCAATTGAAAATATAAATTCATTTAGTCAATTTTTCGTTATAGTTATAGCTTAATGATCACTTTAGTAGTAAAATAACTCACTCATATATATTTTTTCAATACATGTTGTTCAATAATTCAAAATAAAGAAAAATTTATACTCACATAAATTCTAAATTTATCAGTAACGAAAACATTGTAGCATTATAATTATCAATGTCAATGCCTTCGAGATTCCTTTAAAAAAAATAAATGATAAAAATAACACTTCAAATAAAAAGAATAATGGAATGAAATCTTTTATGTAAGTAATTAATGTAGTGTACTTACAGAGATCTTAAGGATATTAGGTGCAGAAGAAGATTCTTGGAAACAACTAGGAAATTATTACCTCCAAGGTTTCTGACTCAACAAAAGTAAATAAATTGAAATGTCATTTTCTTGCGATAAGAAATGAAACATATTGTTTTAATTAAATATTTGATTATTTTATATAGTAATAATTACTAAATTTTATAAATACATTTAATTTTATAATGTTACTATGAAACAAGTTGCAGAATATTTAAGCTACTATCCTGAAATAATCATTCTTTTCATGTAATATTACTAAACTTTCATGTAATAACTAAACTAAAGGTAATAAATTCAGTAAGAGGTGATGATATGGTAATCAATAAATCTAAACATGACTACATTCTAATACGTGAGATTAAGGAATAGTCACAACACTGTTCTAATACAAGTACTTACAGCTTTTGTAAGTTCTTGTTATTAAAAAACATTGTTTCGCTCAGAAACGTTAGTTCATTGCTTCTTAGATTTCTAAAAAGTAAAGAAAATATTGTATTAAAGATTTTTTTTTATTATAAATTAATTTAATTTTTCAAAAATATATACTTACAGATCTTGCAACTGTTTTAAATTATGAAAAGCTATAGGATGAATTGAATTAATTTTATTCCAACTAATACTTCTGAAATAAAATAAATTTATAAAACTCTTTATATATATATATATATATATATATCTTTGTAATATATCTTAATAAATGATTAAAAAAAAACAATATTAAATAAATAACAAAAATATTTTAATAAAAATGTCTTACAAATCTATTAGCTCAGGTAGATCACAAAAAGTATTTTCAGTTATTTTTTCAATTAAATTCCAATCCAGATACCTGAAACAAAAATATTTTGTTAGAAGTAAAAATATGAGGTTAGTCATGCTCAATTTCAATTCAATATTAACTAATACTAACAAGAAAGAGAGGGATGGAAGGGCAGGAAAAACTTCTGTTTCTAAACTTATTTTGTTATGAGAAAGATCTCTAAAAAATAACAATCAAACTCAACCTAAGTTATTATATATTTTTAAATATCAATCCTCAGTATATAATTCAATAGATACATTACAGCCAAATTAAACTTCGAAAATCCCATTTTTCAAAATTCAGTTTGCTAATGTTGTTCTCATTAAGAAAAAGCCACGTCAAATTAGTTAATCCATAAAACAGACCTTCAGGTATCTCTGAGAGATAATTCCTAAATAAGAACCTGCAACATATAGTGATAATAATTATTATTGAGTCAAGCTCACGCACTTAAAAGCAGTAATCTATAATAGAAAATAAATAAGAAAAAGAGACACCTTGAATGGACTTTAAATATTTATTTTCTGTAGCACTGTAGCCTGTTTCTTCTTTAAAAAATTCCTGAGATATAGGTGTTCTACATTTTTAGAAATTATCATCCTGCTGTATTTTATTTAAATAAGTCCAGTTCTAATGATATTTGCTTCATTATAATATTTTATTTTCCTTTATCCTCCAATTTTATGCAAAAAAATATTTACAAATATATGCACTTACATATTCACAAATATAGAAGTTACAACAGGCTCTGCTAGGAGTGTTGACTTCTTTGGGGCTTTACCATTTGTCTTTCTGTCATTGAACAGCATTATTCGGATACTTATTAATCTATTGAGAATGTTAAGTGAAAAACAAAATTGAAGGGAAAGCATTATTTCAAACAATAAATAAATAAAAGCTATCAATTAGTAAATGATGCAAGTTATTTCTAATCATTTTTTATTAATTATTGTTTATTTTGTGTATTAGAAATTAATTTAATTTTATTATTTAAAAATAATCCTTCATTTCACATCCCTTATAAATAAATAAATTCTGATCTTTAATTTTATATATATATATATATACCTGTATGTGTATGTGTGTGTATATATATTTTATATTAAATTAAGAAAACTTATACATTTATGCATTGATGTGATATTTACAATTTCATTAAATCCACTTGTCCATAAAATGTTTTCATTGGGAGACTCGAAATATTGTTGTCTGCAAGATTTCTAAAATAAATAATTATATATTATTTATTAGAAGATGGAAAAAAATATTTAGAGAAAGTTTATGTTGGTGATTTTTATTTTTTAGAAGTGATTAAATACAATTGTTTAAAAAATACAAGAATAATACTTACATTACATGGAATGAATAATTATGAAAATCTACCTCTTTTAGAGTTATATTATTTTTGGCAAGAATTCTAAAATCAAATATAACGATCAGTTAATATCAAGATTATACCTCACATATAACTCATATAATTATAAATAAAGGATAGAATGTTATTACAGTCGCTTTGTTCCTTCAGGTATATACGAAGGGACACTTTGTAGAGACATATCTGTACAAATCAATACTGTATAATCAGAGCAATTACAACCTTGTGGAATATCTTTTAAGTCTAAAAAAATAAAACACAAAAACAATAGATCTTACTTTAAAATTAATAATATTTCTTTTGTCTAAATTCATACTAACCACAAGTATCGTTGGGTGGTAAGTACTGCAAGTTATCAATTATTTCCCAAAATCCTCCATAAAGATCAGCTAATTTTTTAAGGAAATTTATAGAAATTAAAAAACTTTATAAGTATCATTGATTTAAAACTCTAAATAAAATTAGTATAAATAATAAGTTTATAGTTTATAATACTCATTTTCAATTCATAATAAATTTGTATTTCTTAAAAACAGTTGAACTTACCACAATACATAGGTTCCTCGTCATCTGCATTCGGACAATCTTTATGACCATCACAAATATGTTTCTGAATGATACATATATTACTTTTACCACATGAAAAATAACCCTCTGGGCAACTGCCTAAAAATGTATGTTCTATGATGCTAAATAATATTAATTTATGCTTCAATTTAGAATGTTGCTTTAATTGAATACCAAGACTAATGAAGAAAATAATTGAAATGAGTATTAGGAGAGAAGTTGAAAGTGGTATAATTATTATCATTGCACGTAAATACCACATCTACAAAAAGTAATTTATTTAGTATATAAATGATGAAACATATTAAATAAAATTAATTATAAAAATAATATTATAATATATTATGCAAAAATAATATCATTTCATTTTAGTTATGAAGTTTATAAATTTGTCATAAAACCAACATAGGTTGTTTAAGTTATTTTTATTTTTAAAAATAAAAAATATTAAACTGACTTTGACTAATATAAAGTAACTGCATATGTAGTTAAGGTAGTTCTTAGACTGGCTACCATGGCTGTTAGTATCAAGTTCTTTCAGAAAGTTAGTGGCAATGATTAGTAATAAATACTAATTTGACTAAAATATTTAATTGTCTTTAATAACAATCATTAAAAGTTTAATATTTCTTTGTTTTATTATCTTAACTTCAAAAATGATTTATTTTTCTTTATGATATGATTTCCTATGGTTGTTTCAGTTAATTTCTTTTACTTATATGTAATAGCAATAATTATATTATCGTTAGTTATTTGAAAATGTGGATTTTTTATTTAAAAAATAGTTTTTAAGTATGAAATTTGTTCTAAAATTTTAAAGCCAAAACATCTAGTCAGTAAATACTGTACTCTTTTCAAAAGACATATTGATGGCTTAAGCCCACCTTACACTGTCAATATTATCGAAGTAATATTCTTGAACGTGGTATACATATTACAAATGTCAATATAACTGTCACAATATATCCCTCAGACGGTCAATATATTTGGTATTGACTTTGTAAGGGCCCCTTTACTTCTAAAATCTTGTAAGCGTAATTCAGTTCCGCCATAACAATATTTTTGTACATAATTCTCACTTATTTCCTTTAATACTCGTAATGTTTGATGTTACACTTTCTTCAAATATTTGGATATATTTTTTCTTTAAATATAAGAATTTTTCAACAATTAAACAATTAAAATATTTTTTATGTTTCTTCAATAGAAATATAGTTATTTGATTTGTGAGTGTTTATTGCTATTGATTATTTTTTCCAGATATTTATGAAGCTTTTTTAACAATGCCATTAATGAAATCATGAATATATATTCTTTGATAGATTTCTTAGAAAAGAGTGGCCAATTAATGATGTTATAAACATATGTAAATAAATATAAAAAATTTATAAAAGAAACAATACAACAAAAAGTAATTTAAGAAAGAAAGAAAAAGAAATATTTCACGTTGTACTACCTCAATGCACACATTCATATTTCAAGAATGTAAAAATCACAACTTTTCTTAAGATAAAAAAATGTTTGCATTCATCTATATAAATTTACCTTCAATATTTAACTTTTTCTACTGGTAAATGCAATAGAAAAATATCAAATATCAATAATCAATATAAATTTTTGATATTAGAAAAATATCAAATATTAAGCAATACTCAAATGTGAAACATATATTTTTTTATTTCATTTCATTTCATGAAATTATTTTTTCGTTTACTTTCTTTTCATTTCATATAGTTTTTTTTTCTCCCCCGAAAAGTATTCATTTTTGTATCCATGATTTTATATGAGACTTGTAATTATATTTATTATGATGATTATATAAGAAGAAGTAGAGGTTTTGTAGTATGTAGGAACTTCATAGTGTGCTCCTAATTGGATGGCCTTAAGCCCACTTTGTCATATGCAATATTTCTTTATATCAATAATTTCTTATATTATTTCATTATTATTTGTTTCTCATTTTATAACTTATTTCTGTGAGATTCCCTACATAGTTAGGATATAAGTTTTCTATTCTCAAATATCTGTTAGATTTTTCCAGTTGATCAGCATCTGTTCTTGATAACCTCTTGTTCTCCTTTAGATCTTCTAGTCATATCATGGTTGTCTTCTTCTCATTTCTTCAACAATATCCTCCTGATCTATGTTGATAGCTGTACTATCTAGGCCTTTTATTGGTATCCTATAAAGCTTTACTTTCATCTATTTTATTATTTTTCGGTAACTTTCTGAAATATCATATCTTCAGAGCTTAATTAATTACTTGGGTACATGATTCAGATGTGAAAGAACATACAAATAAGTCTATCTGCTCTTATTATGTCCAGTAAGATACTTAAACTCCTTGATGTGTCTTCTTTATGATTTCATTCTTTGGTTTTATTTGGATTAAATGACATTGATTGTCTTCAACATTTCTTTAATTTATTTTTTAGATTTTCAGTTTATAGTGGTAGTAATATGGAGATCAATAGTAGTATATTACTTCTCAGAGATCATCTCTAGCTACAATCATAGGCATGCTAGAATCATAGCTCTCCAGCTTTTATCATTCACCATCCCTACCTTTAATTCCCTGAAGATCAAAGCCTGCAAACACAAATTTCCGACTTCTCTTCATTGTTGATGTACATGATACATAGATCTGCCCCTTCCAGCTTATACCCAATACAGCTTTGAATCAAAACTATACCTGGGTTCTCTTAAAAGCCCAAGATCGGCAATCGACCAGATGCTCAGCCTGAGGACTACTCTGGAGAAATCCATGGAGTACAGGATGACAACACATCATCTATTTGTCGATTTCAAGGGTGCTTACGACAGCATTAAAAGGTTCAAGCTATATGAAGCGCTATACAGTCTTGGGATACTTCCCAAACTTGTGCGCCTAATAAGGATCACAATGGATGAGGTGAAATGCATAGTTCGGATTCAGGGAGATCTCTAACCAGAATTTGAGTCCAGGAGGGGAGTGAGGCAGGGCGATGGCCTCGTGTGTCTCTTGTTTAATCTGGTCCTCGAAAAGGTAATTAGGGATTCTGGAATACAAACCTCTGGAGCAATCATTGACAGGCTGGTACCGGTGTGTGATTTGCCGATGACTTGGGCCTGGTGGTGAGATCCTTTCAGGCGCTGATGGAGGCATTCCTGAGGCTAGCTGAATCAGCAGAAGCAATGGGCATGACGGTGAACCAAAAGAAAACTAAATATATTCGAGCTGGACCTGGTGTAGTGGCTACTGTTGGAGGGAGGTGAAGATGGGTCCATTTCCGTTTGAATGTGGTAGACCAGTTCACCTATTTAGGCTCAGTGGTCAGCAGCAATAACATGATCACCCTGGAAATAAGCCAGCGCCTTGTGAAGGCCAACAGATGCTATTTTGTACTTAGGAAGCACTTGAGGAGTCGAGCTGTCACTCGCCGTACCAAATGCCAGCTCTACAACCACTAATTCGGCCAGTCCTCACTTATGGATCGGAAGCCTGGATTCTGACAAGTGCTGAAGAAAAGTAGATCTTGGTCTTCGAAAGAAAAAATCTGCGCCGAATATTTGGTGGTGTCAAGGTAGGCGAGAATTTACGAGCTGTTCGGTGAGAGAGTCGCTAAGCCTAGCAACTCGGGTCAAAGATAGTGGTAACCAATTCCTGCGGAGGACCTGGGTGGGTGACAAACGAGAGAGGGGGTCTTGACAGGGCGATCTGGGGGTAAGCTGGGTCCCGCCTGTCAGGATGGGGGCATGTCGGCAGCAGAGAATCTCCTGTCAAATCAAACAAAGGACGACGATGTCTCTCCTCCCCCCCCCCTTGACAAAGAGGAAATCATGGAAATTGTGCAAGGTTTGAAGAATTATAAGGCATAGACGGAATCCAGGCTGAACTTTTCAAATATGGCGGAGATGAAGTTTGGGATGAGCTCCATAAACTTATTTATGATGGAAAAAGAGGTTCCAGATGAGTGGAAAGAGTCAGTTCTATGTTAAATCTATAAGAAAGGAGACAAGCTAGAGTGCAGAAAATATCCAGGTATAGCACTGCTTGGCATAGCTTATAAAATACTATCCTTTGCCATTGGTAGGAGACTTATATCACACATGGAGAAGGAAGTAGGAGAATATCAGTGTGGCTTCAGGAAGGGTAGATCGACTATTGAATAGATCTTTACCGCCCGACAGGTGCTAGAGAAGTCACTGGAACCTGCTTCACCTCTATATTGATTTTCAGCAGGCATACGACTCAGTGGATAGGCAGGTTTTGATAAGGGATCTTCTCTCTCTGGGTGTGTCTAAGAATCTCAATCGCTTAGTAAAAATGACTATGGCAGATACCAGATGCAGAGTGAAACTACAAGGATTGATGTCTGAGGAGTTCTCTGTAGTTTCGGGAATAATGCAAGGAGACACCAAGGTTATTCCCCTTTTTAACATGGCTTGGAGAAGGTGGCAAGGGCCATAAGAACCAACCCGGGAGGTACCATCATTGACCGCTTCACACAACACATGGCGTACTCAGATGACGTAGAAATTGTGGCAAGGACGCTCCCAGCGCTGGCGGGTGCATTGAAAGAATTTGGGACCGCTGCAGCAGCTCGAGGTCTACAAATAAACGAGCAAAATATGATGTACATAAAGAGTTAAAGACATCGCCCTCATTAAGATCGGACCCTAAACGTAGGCCAACACGAATTCCCAGTATACAGAGAGTTCAAGTACCTGAGATCCCCAATGACGGCAGACAATGACATAGGAGCCAAGATTGCTGCGGAAAGCCGATGTTTTTATGCCATACAGTGACTACTCAAGTTTCGAAGACTATCAAGAAATGCCAGATTGACAATCTATAAAACAATGATTCGTCCGGTAGTCACATACGGAAGCGAGAAGTGGATTATCTCAGCAAAACATGAGAGGGCTCTTGGAGCGTAAGATCTTAGGAGAATTTATGGGTCTGTATGCGAAAAAGGCGTTTGGAGGTCCCAATACAATCGGGAGTTGCGATAACTCTACGGAACGCAGAACTAGTTAGCGTCATTAGGCAGGACGAATAAGATGGTTTGGGCATGTGGAAAGGATAGCACCGGACCGAGTACCGAGGAAAATATTATATGGACGACCTGGAGGAGAGGAAGGCCACCACTCCGTTGGCTGGAGGATGTTGAGGCGGATTTAAAACAGCTTGGTGTCAGGCGGTGGAAAGCTGTCGCATTGGAACGAGACGAGTGGCGACGTATTGTTGAAAAGGCCCAAGTCCCACGCGGACTATAGCGCCGAGGAGTAAGTAAGCTTCAGAAGCTATCTCACGGTATTGTAAATATAGTATAACTAGTAGACCCGTGCGAAAAATTAGCACAGCATATTGTTATCAAATGCCAGATTAATAAAAAAAAAATAATAATGCGACCTATCAAAAGAAAAAGAAATCAAATGTTACTTTATCGATAAATATGATCGACAAATAAAGCAAAAATTAATTTAAATCTTCATTTTTGTTTGGAACCAACATGTTAACAAATTTCAGTAAGCTGTATCTTCGCTAAAAATTGTCCGATTTCAACGATTTTTTTCCATTGTGTAGGGAATTTAGTAATCTTTTATATAACGACGGGCATAACCCAGGGAAAAGTGTGTAGTATTTTAGTTATTCGCAAAAAAGCTTGTTTTCTTTTATAACTTTTTTGCCTGAATTTTCGGGATGATTGGACTATTTTGTCCGCCTGAAGGAGAAGGAAGTCTTCGAAATTGGTGGCTCAATCTTGAGATTTGGTGAAAAATTGACGATGATATGGCTTGCCGATCAAAAAGACCATCGATAAATAATATAAACTCCTCCTCTCTAGATCATAGACTCAAGTCGACGAAATGAGACATGTATTCAATGACGGTACTAAAATTAATGTAAGGTTGTGTAGATGTGAACACTATGCCATGCGTTATCTCGAAAATAGTTCGTTTATGGGCTTAAAAACGCAGGATCCGATAGTTCCGGAGGAACTATCCGGGTCTTGCTGTACGCATCAAAATCTTCTAGATCCAATTTGTCCCGCATCGATCAACAGACCTACCACTATTCAGGTATTGAAGCCTAGCAAAATGTTTGTATCGACTTTATTTATTTTAGAAAGAAAAAAAAAAGTGGAGAATACGATTCGCTAACAACCCGTGAAATTCTGAATCCAACGGTACCCCATTCATGGTATTTGAGCATGACAGGAGATTATATTTGGTACAAAACCGATTTCGAGCCTTACTGTAACAATATATGTACGGATAATTTATACCTCTCTGGAAGCTATCGGTAGAATGAACTATTCTGGAATCAGACTTTGACACATGGAGGTTATAATATTGACAAAGTTGAGTGTTGCTGTTTATTTTATTAATATTATTTGCATTTCGATCAAATTGGATTTTAATGTAATAAAAATTACTAAATATTTTCCTCGTATATGTTTTTAACATTAAAAAGCTAGTAATGGCTGAGGATAATATATCCAAAGGTATGAAATTAATGTCTGAAGATGAAATCTGTGATTTAAGATTTATTTAACATTTATATTAAGGAACATTAAATTAATTTGTAGCTATCGGAGATCCAGGATGGAATGATCCTCCTTTATTCTCTTATGACTCAGTTAAAAACCACACTAAAAAGTCCTCTCTTAACAGAAGAATAAGCAATTCCTCCATGGTGTCCAATGACACTCAAAAAATAATTGCAAATGACGATAATGGTAAAATGGGACCTCCCAGATTAGCTCCTATGAAGTCCACAGGATCATCTGTTTCTACTGCTGCACCAGACATTTGTAATATTTCTCCTCAGCCAATTGAATTGTCCACTGTATTAGAAAACTTACAACTTACTATAAAGGAATTGTATCCAAATGATGATGAGGTAATTAAGTATCGTGTTTTATTATTTTGAGCGAAACACCAAAGCTATATTCATTTTATTTTTTATAGAAAGAAGTTAATGAAATTAAACGAAGATTAGGCCTTATGGAAAAGTTGTGGAATGAGGATAAATTTCCTACTGATATAAAATTGAAATTAGGTGATATTTCTAAAGGTATGTGTAATTAATCACCAGAATGTGTATTCAGTTTGTTTATTTAATTTATCTGCCTCTAATTTACTGAAGAAAACTTGTTTTTATTGTTGATTTTAGGTATATGTGTTTCTATCATGTTTGTATGCATTATTAATATTTTCTAAAGCCGTTTAGTAATGCTGTTTACTATTTCTAATCTACTATTTGTGAACTGGAACAATTCTTTAAATTTAGGAAGACTTGTTTAACATTGTCATGTTTTACATTCAATGAAAGACCACAAAAACTGAACATTACTATAATACTAAAAAATAGAAGCGATAAGCATTCTAGATGAAACAAAATAATGGTCAATATCATTTGTATAGGACCAAAATTTGGTGATGAAGCGCAGTTATCTCCATTAGCTTTAATTAATTATTTAAGTTTTATGCAGCTGTCATTTAATTCCTGATTCCATAAATCTCTCACTATAGAAATATATGTGTTTACTACCTGCACATCTGGTTCCCTGCAAATGTATCAGAGCTCTCGATTTGTTTGTCATCTGAATATTAATTATAGTGGAGAAGAAATAGTTGTCGGGTGAGAAAATGGTTGGAATGTTAATTGTCGGTTACAGTCACATTGAACACACCAGTGCTTTTTTACTTTCACTTATATATATATATGTAATATATAGTAAGGGTAAGTATTGCGATCGAGAAAATTTTTGAATCTGAGTTTTCAATGGATATACACGTTTTGAGTTACCTTGAGTCGAAATGACCAACTCCCGAAAAATGGTCTGTGTGTTTGTATGTTAGCAGTCTAGCTCAAAAACAAAAAGTCCTATGAAACTGATATTACGTATTTAAGATAGGTATATGCCTTAGATGTGACAGCAACTTTTTCCTTAAAATCGGCTAACCGGAAGTGCCACTTTATATCAACGCTGAAACACATTTCCACAATTTTCTCAAAAACTACTCTAATGATTTTGATTAAACTCAGTGTATAATTAAGTGGTCTTTAATATCAATTAGGTCTTATCCCCATTGATGTCACTTTACAGGGCTTAAATGCCCAATGTTCATATACGTCTTCCTCTAAAGTACCTTTAATATGGTTTATTTTAAAAAGTTAATCATTTCACATTATTCTAAGTTACGAAAAAATGCTAAATATAACTTTTGAAAGAATTTGATAAGTTAATAAAGGAGAAAAAAAATAAAAATGTAGAAAAACCTGCGTTGTTATAGACTGTAGCACCTAAACGAATGTACCGATTTCCATGAAACTTCGCTAAAGTCATTTTCTCGACACCCTTTAATTTTATCTATGTAACATACTTCAACGAAAAGAAGCTGGAAAAAAAGTTACGAGGGATGGTAAAATTAAATTCCGAATAACTCAAAAAGTATACAATTTGTTGGCAATATTGTATTGTTTTTTTAAAAGTTTATGGAATTTTCTAAAAAAAAAAAAAAAAATCGTTAAGATCGGACAATTAGGAGGAAAGATATGGTCTCTAGTTTTTTTTCCCTGATGAGGCGAAAATTTGGATAAATTTAAAAAATACTTTTTTAATTGTTGAGACTAAAAAAACCTTTTTTCTACAGATATTTAATAAAATATCTTTCCTAAGAACATTTTTCATAAGAATTAAGTACCTAAATTTATACCTTTATTCTCAGTTCTATATTTCAACACTGCAATCACCAACTCCGGAATCAACTTACTCATATTCTGCATAGATAACTTTTTCAACTAAAAATACCACTAAAATGACCTCACTCCAAAATGTTGAAATTGGAGTTAGTCATTCTGAGGTGTATAAAAGCAAAGAAAGTTGTGTGGTTTATAGAAGCATATGCAGTGACTAGATTTTTATTGCCTGTTGTCGATATATTAAATAGACATTTTGTAATTATAATGGTCTTAATGACTTGTTATCTGTAAGCTTTAAGCTTTAGCTCCATTTAAAATGCACTTCAAAAAAATTTATAATATTCCAGTATTGTGATGAATACTTTTGTTTGAAACCTATTTCCAAAAGATCTCACAAAAACTCCGTCATTTTTGTATATCACTCCATCCTCTTTTATATCCATATATCCTAACTTTTATATCCTCTTCCGATTCATCCAATCCCACCATCCTTCATACATCTCCGAGCTCCTTCAATTCAAATCCTTTGTCCACTCCTGCAAAACCCGTTTCCTGTCTACAGATTTGTATACGAGATCCCACCGTACTATTGCTTTCGACAGATCTTTCATTATTCGATCCACATCCCTATGGAATTCTATTGCATCCTACACCTGTCGCTCCAATACCCTCCCCACCTTTAAATCCTGCCTGTTCAATCACTTCTTATCCATTCAGTTTTCATAAAATTGTAAATATGTATTTAAATAATTAGTTTGTTTAAATACTTTTATTTTTTCTCTTAATTGAAGATAAATAATATTCTTTTATTTTACTTATTCAGTATATAAATTCGTTTATTTTGTAATTAATCTCTGAGGCTCCAAAGCCCACATTTCTATCTCTGTATATTATTCTACAGGGACTTGTCCCAGAATAAATAAAGCATTATTATTAACTTCTGTAACGGTAATCAGTAATTTGTTGAAAATCTATCAAGTGCAACAGAAAATCAAATAGAAACATAATTTCTTATTTTAATAAAATATCTATATTGACTTATGCTAATTAATTTCTTAATTTTCCATGATATTTAAATTTTGAGATATTTTAAATGTTCAGAACAGTCATTATTTCAATCTTGGCACTGTCTTTTTCCTTTTTCTACTCTCTAACTCTGCGTCACGTCAAAATATATTTTGATTTTTAACTCATTACGAAGAGGATGAAATGCTGAAAATTTACCTTGCTTGCAGTATGCTGATCCAATTTTTCGTTTCTCATATATTTTAATCCATATGTTCAACAAAACTCGTTATCATTTGTTTTTTGACACTTTTTTACCTTGTTGCCTCTCTAACAAGGCGTCGCATTAAGATACGCTTTTGAATAATAGCTCATAACAATGAAGATAACTGATGAACATTTCTCTCGTTTACAATATCCTGGACCAACTTTTAGTTGCTCAGATATTTTAATCCATATGCAAAACACTTCATTTAGTCTACTTGAGCCGACTTTATCTGAGAGCATTACACATCCGAGCCTGATGTAATTCACTACCCACAAAAAAGTGCTAACAATGTCAGAATCAATCTTTTTTTAAATTTATTCATTTTGATTTATTTATTTTAGGTCTTCTTGAAAATGACTTGATTAATTGTGATAACCTCCAAAGGAGTCTTATGGTTGATTATACAGCATTGTGTAGTACTTGGATGGCAGCCATTAGATCTTTGATTAATTCTAAAAGAAAAAATCAAGAGAAGCTTAATGAAAGTTAAGGTGTCTGTGATGAAATACAGTGTATTTTTTCTTTAAGAAGCTTTATATATTTTTTTTTTAATTGTCGATGGTAATAATAAAAAAAACAAACAACTTAACAATAAATGAAATAAAATACTTTACAAACTGTTTAGAAATTAAGTCAGCATTAAGATATTTATTTTGATGAATTTTATTATTTCAAATGAAAGAAATTAGTCATTTTTTTCACACTTTGTTATCATTTTTAGGGCTGTAAAAAGTGCTTTAACTCATATTTAGCTTTTTCTCTTGTCATGATTTTATTAGTAAAGACATACTGTGGTGTTTAAATAGTACTACTAAGTGAAAAATTGCAGTTAATAAATACCAAAAGTTCACTTGTAGTACATCATTTATCAAAATCATGACAAAACTATTTAGAAGCTTACAATGTGAAATTCTTCTAATCAAAGCACTTAAATTCTTTTTGACTTATTGTAGTTAAGATAATTTAAAGGTCTAAATACTGTCTTCATTAAAAGCTATCTTAGTGCTTTTGCGAGAATAATTTTATTTGGTGTCCTCATTTTAAATCTGATCAGTTTTTTAATGCTAGATAAAGATCTATTGTAAGTGGCCTTGAAAAAATTATATTTTTATATTACTTATACTTTAATGTAAGATTAATGAATTTAGCTAATAAACTTTTTATTCAAATATTGTTCTCTGATGACCTTTTTTTTTCTTTTAATTTTTAATTGTTACCACTTTTATTTTTTTAGTCAGTGTTTATTTTATTACAATGACTATCAAAACATGTGTTAATAAACTTGGAGATACATTTGTGATATTTGAGTCACTTTATGTTCTTCAGAAATGGAAATTAGTGCCTACTGAATGAAATATTCATTGATCAATTATTTTAATTTCAAAGAAGAAAACAAAGTTTTAAATGAATTGAAATTTCCAACATCATATTATCTTTAAATTTGTCCTGCAATTATTTGACGTTTTAAGATTACAGTGAAATTGTAAAATCCAGTGAGAACAAAATATAAGTTCTAGTTTGGATTAATCGTATACCTAGTTTGGGATACATCCAAATTTAAATTACACCACTAGATAGCCAAAGGGTTCAGCCATTTAATGAATTTAGTATGCTTTGTGGAGATTACAATGCCTTATGGAAGTAAGGATAACTAAAATTAAGAAAGTTCTGGCCCATTGTTTTTTTGTTTTTTTTTTGTTTATTGAGTTAAGAAAGGCATGACTTGTTTTGCCTGTTTCAAAAAATTATGCCCCTGAAGAAAAGATAAGAAAATAGACCTCTGCCAGAATACAGAATGAAGATAAATTAAATATGAATGTTTCAGATCTTAAGAAATTGATTTATAATTAAAACTATGGAACCATTTCTATTTTAAGAATGTAATTCTGCATCCAATAAGTAAAATTATAAATTTTGTATGAAATATCATAAAAAAAAACTAATTATTTTTATATAACTTAGTCAGTAAATTGAATGCTGAGATTCCTATATAGGAATCCTACTTCAGTATGTCAATTGGATCCTGATGATTAGGGATGGATCTTTCTGGTGAAAAAAAATGAGGAAGTTTACAATCATTCTCAAGTTTATCATTTATTTCAAATTCATTCATTCTGTCTTTTTGGTTATCATTATTTATGAACAGAATAATTCATCTCGTTCACAAGTTATTCCTTATTTCTTTTAAAGTCTTCACTCCCTGCTTTTCCGTGGTCCAAACGATAGTGATCCTATCTTTGAGCATGTAGCCTACACTAACGGGATGGTATTCTTGGTCAAAGAAAGTGTTTGATGCATCGCAGATGCTCGTGGAGCAACCATATACCTCAGTAAGGCGCATGGTGAAAGTAAAATTTAGTCAAAGGCACGTAGAGAGAATGAACTTCAGGAGACAGGGGTAAAATTGGATGGGATTATCATGTTGGTACAGAGTTGGAATATTAGAAGCAGTTTTAAGGAGGTGATTAGAACCTATTAATAGTATAACTCCAGATCATACAGGAACATATGATATCTTTAAATTTAAATATTTTGGAAATATCCAAAAAGTTTTAATACATTCTGGAAAATATTCCTTCAAATCTACTTTTGATTAGAACGCTATGTGACAAAGTGGTCTCATAGGGCTAATCACTTGACCACGGGTCTCCAAACAATGGTCCGTGGGTCGTAATTTAAGCCAAATATCAAAAATAATCTCCAAACAATAAATAAATTAATTTTAAGGTGCATGTAGACACTTCACAAACTACGGAAAACACAATTATCTAACTTTGCTAAAGGAAGGTATCCTTACTCAGTCATATCGAATATATTAACTGTCTAAGAGATGTATTGTGATAACTTCATTGGCATTTATAACATGTATTCCACAACAAATTGATTCAATAATAATACTGATTGTGTAAGGGGGCCTTAACAGTGGCATTATTGCTAAACCAAACTATTTATCATCCCAATTTCACTTCAGTCTTTCCCCCCCTCGTAGATCCGCCTGTGCGGACATATAAAAACTAAAATCCAAACTTTGGACACCTTGTAGCTAATCCTTGAAAGTAATGTTTAAAAATTCATTTATAAAATAATTATAAATTGTGTTCTTTTTAGTGATAGTTTAAATGATTGTTTGAAACTAATACACCTCTCTTTTATAGTAAGAAAATAAATCAAGGGAATTTCCCACCCATCAAGCATTCTATACAGTTGACCATAACATCCTTCTTTCCAAATTGCAAAATCTTCCTCTATCCAACAGTGTCCTGCATCGGTTCAAATCCTTCCTTTCCAATCAATCCCAGGATGTAGTAGTCCCAGATCAACCTCCTTCAAAGACACTTCAAACACACCACCTCTCCTATGGTGTCCCTCAGGGTTCCTCCTTATCTCCCACTTTGTTTGCTATTTACATTAATGACCTTCCCCACCTGATCCATCATACCCAATACCACATATATGCTGATTACCAAATATACCTGTTCTTCCCCCTTTTGACCTATTAGCCGCCCTTAAAAAAGCTTCCAGAAGACTTAAATAGAATATATGACTGGGCAGGACCTAACGAGCTGAACTTGAATGCGGAAAAGACCAAGGCAATCCTAAAAGGCTCCAATCACCTCCTCAAAACTGTTCCTAAAATTCCTACCCTGTTCCTACAAGATAATCCTATCAAATTTTATCCCATAATCAAAAATCTTGTAATAATCTTTGATCAAACTCTTTCCTCGAAAAAACACGCATCCAATATCTCCCGAAGTACCTTTTCCACTTTTAAACATTTAAATAGCCTCCGTCATCTTTTTCCTTTTGAAACCCGTAGATTCCTGGTCACCTTAATATTTTTCCACTTTGACTATTGCTGCAAGGTATGTGGAGGCGTCTCTGGGGATCTCGACTCGTAATTAAAGCGTTTGATAAAGCGCTTTGTACGATTAATCTTCGGGATCCCAAGGGACGTCCATGTTTCCTGTTTCTATGAAGAGTTGAAATGGCTTTATCCTTCCTACCGCCGTATTTCTTTCTATCCTTCCTCTTCCAAGTCATTCACTCTCGCCGTCCTTCATACATCTCCGAGCTCCTTCAATTTAAATCCTCTACCCGTTCCCGGTCTTCAGATTTATATTTGATGGTCCACCGAACCGCTGCTTTCGATAAATCGTTTATTATTCGATCATTATCCCAATGGAACTCCATCCTTCCTACAGGCGGATTTACGGAGAGCTTTCAGGCTGAAGCCCTCCCCAAAACGGTAAAATATAACCATGTTTTATAGAAAAAAATATTAAAAACTATCTCTTAAAGTGTAATTACATTTAATAGGACTTCAAGAATCACTTAAACACCATTTCATATAGGTAGTTCATTTCTTTCTTTTTTTTTTTCAAATTAATTATAGTTATATATATGAAAAAGGTCGAAACGTCGGCAAATGTCAAAATAAATATTATAATTTATTTTTGCCTTCTTATTTGACTGATCACCCCAACTATTCTTCTCTTCTTTATTACTAATATCTGTTTTAAGCTGTGGTAATGATCTGAGTGGAAGTAGATAGATTCCTATCTACAGGTACAAAGAACAATTAGCAGTTTGGAACCTCTCTGCCAATACTGCAGGTTACAAATGTGCTTGTTTACTTCGAAGATCTAAAATGCCTCTACGAATATAGTGAAATTTTAATTTGACATAGTGTCAATTTTCAATAATAAATAATGCCTGGGAAATTAAAAGTAAAAATCATTGCCGGAAGAAATTTGCCGGTAATGGATAGAAGCAGTGACACTACTGATGCTTTTGTTGAAATAAAATTGGGAACAGTAACTTATAAAACTGATGTTTGCCGTAAAACTTTAAATCCACAGTGGAATTCGGAATGGTATAAATTCGAGGTAATTTCAATTTTTTTAGGATGTTTGCTACCTAAATTTTGTTATAATTCAAAGAATGTACAGGATAATTCATTATTGTACCTAATAGAACTCGTTTTTTCTTGTGATGAATTTCATTATTCCTTAATTTTCTATTTTGATGTTAAATTCTGGTTTCTGCTTCTACTTCTACTTTAGAAAAAAGTAACTTTAAATCACTAGTAATTGATTTACATTATATATTTTTCCTAAAGGATTTGAGGTATAATCAACATCAGTGACACCTATTTATTCGTATATACTTTATAATATCATTAAGATATTATATTTAGTACATAACAATTGTTAAGGCTTTTTATTTCCCATGTCTGTCGAGTTGATAATTTACTTCATAAGTGCTTTTTCCATTGGAAAATATCCCTCTAGTTAAATAGTAAAGCAGTAAGACTCAGCTTTCCCTGTACTTATACTAATCCATTATTTTACTCATTCAAACCTATTTGTTTGGTTTAGAATAGAATAGTTTTGGTTTTTAATTCTCTCATTTACTAAGAGTATAGAAGATTATTACTGAGAGTCAAAAGTCTTTTTATCCTTAAAAATATCAAAAGATTTTTTTCTGTATTCTTTAAAGTGCTCTTGGGATCATAGAACTATTCTTGTTTATTCTCCATTTCAATAGATTTTTAGTTTGTCGAAGACTATCATAAATGGTACTATTTCAATTTATAAAAAGGAAAAAATTTAAAAAAGTACCTAAGAGGATTTCGGAAAGATTTAGGATTTATCTCGAAAATATTTCAGTTTTGGGCTTTCAACACAGGGTCTGGTTATATTATAGTTCCAAAAGAATGGAAACCAGGTCTTTAAATTGACAAAAAGTGTAGACATTTAAAACAATTTATGCTATCGCAAGCCAGTGACTTTGAAACTATCTGGGTTTTGAAACCTCTTTTTCAACAACTTTTATTGAGTTGCAATAAGGCTTTACGTTTTAATGAAATGAGAATTATCTCTTCTATATGAATTTCCTTCAAGTTTGATTCCTTATTCATCAAAATCCATCGCTCCTGAGAGGGGAGAAAAGGGATCTATGCTACCTTATTATATGTTGTGTTGATTGTAGTAAAGTATATATTTATTTCTTCGATATCCGTAAGATCTTTGATTTATTGTAATTATTTATTTTTCATTAAACTTTTCTCAATTTGATACAATATTACTGTATTATTCTGACAAAAAAATGAGAACTATTAAATAATAGTAATAAATATAAATTAAGTAGTGTTGCTCGTTTTAGCATCTTCATGCCTAGCGACACCAGTTCAAATTCCGCCCGGGAGGAGTAGACTTTTATTTCATGGTGGACTCACGGAATGAAACTACTGTTTCACTCTAGTTAGAATAGATTTGGTTGTACTTTTAGAACAATCCCCCATATGCCAGAAATAGTGGATTGGGAGTTATCAAAAGAAAAATATTTTATATTTTAGCCCTTGAGGCCGTGACTGCTGTGATTAATGTCATACACTTGAAATCCTTGAATCTAGCATATCCAAATTTGCATTCCGATTAGAAGAGGTTGGTTACCAAGTTACCTCCTCTCCTCTCGCTTTATGCCAAATATAGGCTGGTAATGGGTAAAAAAAAAGCAGTCATGGAGAATGGAATAAAAGATCATATAAGCAATCTGAAAAAGTATCTAACATTAAATGAAGTGAATGGCTAAAAATCTCAAGTATTAAATTTAAATTATTGGCTAGTACCACTCTCATGTATGTTTTTTTTATATCATCTAAAAAATTGTAATAATTAGTTTGTTAAATAGTAATAGCATATTTTTTTTCTATTATCCTAGAAAGTTTCTGTAGGGGGCTAAGTGGTAGGGTACTGATCTTCCAATGCTAATGATCCCAGGTTCGAATCCCGGCTCATGCCAGAAAAATTATTTATTCTGTTTCATTGGCCGTGGGGAGACCCTGAGTAGGTAGACCCTCCTGGGGCACATTCAGCTTCTATAAAGTGGGTACCCTTAATTAAAAATAAGGGGAAAAAGCTGGTGGTTGAGGGTGATATCGTTCAAATCACCTCCTAGCACAACCGTAGATCAAGAAACAGTTCATTCCCTAAATAGTACTGAAACCAAGACCCTTCATTAATTGTAGTGGTACAGGTTAAAAGAAGTTTCAAGAATATAAAAATGTCAGTTTTGAAAACTTTTAGAGACAAAACAGAAAAAGCCTGCAAGATAAAATAAAATTTATTTTATGATCGTATATTTATGTAAGAATAAAACATACCTAATCTCATTAAAATCTGGGGTGATGGGTGACAGGGTCTAGGTAAAGCAGTATGCAATGACACTTTTTTATTATGAGAAAGAAATATCACAATATTTTTCTGATTAGTTCTATAGATCTGGGAAAATAAATTTAGAGAGCTGGGGCTATTAGCCGTCTCTAAGACAAGGATTACTTCCATGGTTCAGCAGTAGGTTATCATTCTTGATAACTTGTCGCATTGGGGTCCATTTGACAGTATCCATTTAATCTATGTAAATGAATTTTTTTTTGGTTTAATGGAAGTGAGGAATCAGAAAAGAATAGAAATATAGAAACTGGCTCCACTAAAACCCATAAAGGTTTTGGTTTCAGTACCTTTTAAGGAAGTACTGTTTCTAGACCAATGGTTATGCAAGAAGGGACTTTGGCTGAGATCAGATCCAATTGCTTGGTTATTCCTCTTAATTTACTAATGGTGCTCAATTAATAGTAGCTGGATGTGCTACAGGATGGTTTTCCGAACCCAATGGTTGGTCCACAACAAATAAAATAAAATAAATAATTATCTGCCCCAGGTGGACTAGAACATAGGCGCAGTAGACAGAAGCACAATGCCTTATGCACAGCTATTATGCTTCCTTGTATAGTTAAATTAGTAACAGATTAAAAATGCAATCTAAGAATAAAGTAGAATCTGACTAGAACCTTGGATTTTGTATATATTTCTTTCTTTGAAACATTGTGCATATAAAAAAGTTCCAGGCTGTTGACATAACATCATGCAACCTCATTTCTTTTCCTGAATAAGATACTCAGGGTAAACTCTTGAACCTAATCAGTTCAAGTTGCCAACTCAAGATATATGTTGATGGTACTCATGTTTCTTTACTCCTATAAGCTGATGTTCCTCTTTCATACAAGAGTTAGTCTGCACTCTTCTATTATTAACTTCAATTATTTTTAGCCTATGTTTTTGTATATCTACTTGTTAAATTTTAAATATATTAAACAAAATTTTTAAACTTCCTCATTTTACTCATGTTAAAACCTTCATGGGGACTTTTTAGATGGAAGATGCTGAGCTGCAAGATGAACCTCTGCAAATACGATTGATGGATTATGATACTTATTCAGCTAATGATGCTATCGGAAAAGTCTATCTTAATTTAAATCCTTTATTATTACCCTCTTCTCTAGTTGTTTCTCAAGACTATTCAAATCTCCCTAACAATCAAGTTAAAGGTAAATATATTCATTTTCATCTGCAAAAAACATTCCTTTTCTACTTGTTTTCTCCTGTTTATTCATTCTAATATAATAATTTCAAGGTCCTTTTATTCTCTTTGTACATCATGATATTGTGAAGAAGTAAGAAAAAAATTAATATTTATGCCTTTGTACTGTTTATAGTATTTATTGTCTTTTTTTATGTATTACACTAAGGCATTATGGATGACTAACTAATGTATATTCAAAGGCTACTGGTTAAGTAGCCCTTGTCACTTTCAATTGAAACACTTATTTTATTTACATATTCATTATTGTTATAGCATTAAATTTATTATTTAGTTATTTTCAGGTTTAACTATTAGTGGTTGGCTTCCTGTTTATGATACCATGCACGGTATTCGAGGTGAAGTAAATATAGTTGTTAAATTAGATTTGTTTGAAGATTTCAATCGTTTTAGACAGTCGTCATGTGGGATTCAATTTTTTTCAAGTAAGGATATGGAAGATTTTTGCATGCTATAACTTAATATATTTATTGTCTATGTATTATTTTACTATGTCTTAGAGTTTAAAATATATATAATAGAAACAATAATGAATAACATTATAATGGATTTACAATATTATTTATAATAAGATTCGTATAATCTTAAGTAAATTGATATTATGATTGGTATTTATTAAATATCATCAATGGATTGATAACAGACTGGCACAGAAGCTTAGCTTTACAGCCTCGTGAGTTTCATAAAAAGAATAAACAAATGAAAATATTTAAAAAATGTAAGTTAACTTCTAACATTAATGAATTACAAACATAAAATACTTAAAAACAAACTAATAATTTATATACATGCTCGGGAACTCGATGGATAAGAAGTGATTGATAGATGGGATTTAGAGGTAGGTATATTATTGGAATGATTGATGTTGGGGGAGGGAGGTGGAATTCCATCGGGACGAGGATTGAATAATAAAAGATCTGTCAAAAGTTGCGGTTCGGTGAGTCATTATATCTAAATTTGAAGACTGTAATGGGTATTGCTGGAGCGAACAGTGGATTTGAATTGAAGGAACTTGGAAATGTATGAGGGGTGTTGGGATATGATGAATTGGAAAAGGAAGAATGCTAGGAAATATTTCAATATTTATGGTAGGAAGGATAAAACCACTTTAACTCTTCGTAAAAACAGGAAACAAAGGTGTCATTCGGGATCCCGAAGATGAATCATACAAAGCAGTTCTTCAGGCATTTAATTTTTACTTCGAGATCTCAAGATATGCCTCGATATACCTTACAACTGTTATCAAAATTGGGGGAATTTGAAGTTTATTGAAGGTTATTAAAGAAGTAACCAGGAGTATATAGCTTCTTATGGAAATAGTAGAAAAGGTAATTTTTAAGGTAGAAAAGGAACAGCGTAAGATATTGGATATATCGTTTTTTCAGAAGAGTGTTTGATTAAAGGTTATTCCAAGGTTTTTAATGGCAGAATAGAATTTGATGGGATCATCATTTGGGTACAGCGTTGGAATATTATCTGTGATTGGAGCCTATCACTATTGCCATCGTGTTCTCTGAAAAATTTAGCTTCAACTAGTTAGCTTCTGCAAGGTCACAGATTCTGTTTAAGTCTTCTTGAAGGTTTTTAGTGGCTATAATACTCCTATAGTAATATAATACTCCTATATTTGTATGAGTTCTAATTACTTGTATATGTTTAGCGTTTTTTCACTTTGTTTCGAAAATAACAAATTCTCAAGTCCATAGATGAATATTGTTTTCAAGATGTTTGTCTGTATTAAAACTTGACTAGCTTTCTTAGATTTTTAGTAAAACTTAATTCAAATGATAATAAGGTAAAAAAAATATAATTCTTTAATTTATAAATTAAGTATAAGTTTAACATTTGAATTAAATTTCCTGCTTAATAAAAGTCATACTTTATACAAAATAATATAATTTTTAGGCTCTATGATTCCTGAAGGTTACGAACTAAAAGCCATTCATGGATTTGTTGAAGAATTAGTTTTTGCTGATGATCCTGAATACCAATGGATTGACAAAATCCGAACTCCAAGATCCACTAATGAAGCTAGGCAGACATTATTTTTTAAACTTAATGGACAAGTTAAGAGGAAGATTGGACTAAAGGTTTATTTCATATTTATTTATAATTATATGAAATTAATATATCTGTACTTAGAGAGCTTAGAAACCGCCATTGTAAGTCGATAAACAATAAAAAAAATATAATTAGATGCTTTAAAAGTGTAATATGAAAATATTCCAGTGGTTCTAAAAACTACAGCATTTTTTATTGAAAAGTAACACAACAGCTGAGTGTATGGAAAAAGAACTAACTTAATTAATTTAAAAGATCAAGTTAAACTTTAAAGAAAAGCTTTAATGTATGGTCGCTGCCCATTGAAATTCTTGACGAATTTCATCTATCTATTCATCACTGTCACTGCCATTTTCTCCAGGCAGAAATAGGAAAAATAAGAATCAATGATTAAATTAATAAAACTTAATGACCACGCCAATTTTATACTTGATTCAATAGTATTATTAATATCGCAAAAATGTGACACAATTACCTGATTACAATCGTAATCGGAAACCTGATCATGTAATATCTTACTCAAAATCACTGTGATTGTAATCAAGAGAACAATAGTTGGGGTGAGCAGTCAAATAAGAAGGCAAAAATAAATGATAATATTTATTTATTTACTGTAATTGTAATTGTTGATTATGATTATTCCCACATATGTCTCTAGAATTGTTGAGTTAATTCATTTTTAGGAGAACAAAATTGTTCTTTGATTATTTCTGCCAATCTTTTATAAAATAATTGGTAACTTGGTATAGGTATTCAACAGTTTTTTTTTTTAAATGCATTTTTTAGGTTTTAGATATTGGTGCTAATTCAGTCGTTGGATATAAGCAGTGTTTTGATCTGGAAGGAGAATGTGGAGTTGTTGTCAGGGGTCTTGGAACTGCAGTCACCTTAGATCCTATCACATCATTGTAAGTTTAAGTTCAAAGGCCTTAGGGTCTTTATGCAATTATTTAATTTTAGGACATTAGAAATTATTATAACTTGGCCATGCGTATGGCCAGTAGTATAAATGAGCCTATGCTGAATCTATTTATAAGTTGATTCCGTACTGATCTCTTTGAAATTTATTTATATATTTAATTTGAATTTGTTTATAACTATTTAATATGATTTGTTTATGACTATCTATTTAAAATATTTTTATTTATTTCATTCATAATTATCATTTTATATATATATATATATATATATATATATATATATATATATATATATATATATATATATATATATATATAATGTATACACTCAGTGGCTCACATTTAAAATGATACATCAAGATATTGTTAGAAATTAGTGAATAAATAAAAGTTAAATTTATATTACATTGAAAACAATAATTTATTGTAATCAATAAACATCCTAGTAATATGTTCTTTGTGTATAAACAAATGAAAATGAACCAGTATTTAATAATAAAAATAAACACATTTGCTTACAATTGACTAATCTCACAGTGAAAATCACAAACCTTTGTTTTTCCCAATATTTGTTCAGCTTAAACTATTTTCTTTTAGTTAAACTCTTTGTATCGAAAGGGTTTGGCTCTTTTTAAAGGCAGTTTAATAATATTTGTCATATATTTAAACTTTTTCAATAATGGGAGCAAATACAACTTTTAAAGAGCATGAGTTGGTCATTCAACATCTTTGTTGGATAGTGAAATATTGTATACACATGTTGAATTTGTAACTGTTTGTTATAGTCATGAATAATTTAACTGTTATGTAACTTATGTTCTGTTACCCGCACATAGTGTTTTAAAAAAGCTCGGTGAAAAGACTATAATATAAGGCTTGAGCCGAAAAGGCTCAAGCTTTCCCAACTCGGCCAAGGAGTCGTGACTCGAACCTTACTTATTTTTTACCATATTTTTATTAATAGACTTTTTAAAATTTTTATAATAGAGTAAACTGTTCTACATGATGTTAGTTTGTAGTATTATATCTGGCGGTTCCTTGAATCATAGTTTTAACTGAAACAAAGTCTATTTTTTAGGTTTGTCATTCTTTTCTGTGTATCCTATTTATATATTTGTATAAATGTCGGTTTATTGAATAAAGACACTAATTACTTTTTTAATGGTGCTGAACTTTTAAGAACGTTTTGTGAATTTCGATCTTATTTATTGATGATAAAAAATCTTTTATATGTCATAGTTACAAGCACGTAGATTTCTGATTTTACAAGGGATAAAATATTATCAAAATGCTTATTGATTTAAAGTTATATAATTTCTCTTAATGACTGCAATAAGACGACGATAGTTATTATAATATTAATAAAACATGCTGTCAGATGTGGGTTGTTTTGTTATAAACTGTAGGTACTGTTAAAAAAAAATATAAAGAGCTCAGTTAGATGGCTATAAGACTCAAGTCTTAAGAGCTCGGCGTTTGAGGTTCGAGCCTTACCTGTTTTTTTTTTTCAATTGTTTTAAAATTTATACAAAAGGGTAATATCTAAATACCCAAACATATTGCCATTTTATCTTTTTAAAAAAATTCAGAGGGGGGGTCAATCTTCCCTCTCCCCTAAAAAAAAGTTAAACAAAGCATCACCCACCTACTAAGGTATTGCCAAGAGGGACACCGAAAATTTGGTACCGCCCAAGGATTCTCAGTATCCGTATATATGGTTTAATATTGTTCAATATAGGCTCTTACATTATATTGTCAGTGTTTCATTAATATTGAAGGAGCTTCAATAAAAATTTCAACCAGTTACATTGACCTCAATATAATTAATACATGTAGATCTTACACGGTCAATATATCGACGAAACTTGATGTTGACTCAATAATATTGACCGTGTAAGGTGCCCTTAAGGCTTGAGCCGTAAAGGCTCCAGCTTTCTGTACTTGGCCAAGGCTCGATTCATAAGAGCTCAGTTTTAAAAGGCTCAAGTCGTGGATGGAACCTTACTTCTTTTTTCCTATCTATTTATTTACATTATATTTCAAAAATATATTTACATTGTTAATATCAACAGAAAAATAATATATTCACTTCATATTTCGGAAATATATTCACATTGTTATAACAAACAGAAAAAATATATTTGTTTACGAAAATGTACAATAATTTAATTATTTTTTAAAAATAAATTAATCAAGGTTAGACCCCTATGAGCTTTCAACTCAAGGTTTGGAGGTTCGAGGTTTAAAGGCTCTAGAACTGAGTCTTCACAACTCGAGGCTTTAAGACTCAAGTTGTAGCTCAAGGCTTTTTTTTACAACACTACCCACTTGTTTTGATACTTTGTTCACATTAAAATGTTCATTAATAGTTGCTGTGCACTTAATTATTAATACACAACAATTTTAATGATGTGAAATATTTTGATGAAATAGCCGATATTACTAAAAAAAGCCGTTCAACTGTCCAACATATAGTGGAGAGATACATAAAGAAAAAGCGTATCATTGGGAAAAAAGCTAACACTACAAAAAACATTTTAAATGATAGGGATGAAACATGGATTTTTTTTATTTTTTGTTTCTTCAATCTGATTTTTATTCAATCTCTTGATAGTTTTCAATTTACTTATTTATCAAGAATTGTCTTACACTGTAGCGCTGCAGATATAGTTTCAGTCTTATTTATTTATTTGTCATATTATTTATGATACAGTGGTCATCTTGATATAATTGCAGAATATATATTATTTTTATAATATTCCAATTCGTATTATACAATACTAAATGATGATTAAATAAAAATCTTTTATTAATGGATCTACTCCCTGACTTAATTGTTGGTGGGCAGTCTTGAGAAGTATTATCCATTTTATAAGATTTATGTAATTTTTATCAAAATCTCCAAAATACTTCGCTAGCACCTGGCTAATCACTAATATATTTTCAATAATTTTATATCTATTTATTTTTGATTTATTAACTTTCATATACATTATAAATCCATCAACATTGTACTTAAATATATAGATATGTTTGATTATAACATAAATCAGAATCTTAAAGTATAAGAGAAATATATGTATGCATAACTAAGTTATTATTATTCATTTTCTCATGTTTCATCATTCTTTTAACTATTTTATATATCATACATTTATATATATAGATAGATAGGTAGATATAATATTCTTATAATTCTTTCAAGAGAATTTCAAGAGACCAAAAGAGAACCTTCTCCGCTCTGTAGGCGATCATCTGACTCAGACATTAGTGTTGTTCCACGAGGTAAGTTGTTTTAAATCAGCCTAAGCATGGGCTTATTATATTTTAAAAAGTTGTTATAGTTTATTGGATATATTAATTAGAATATTAACTGAAATTTGTATTTATGATAAGTATATAAAATATTATCTGCATGATAATTATACACGTTTTTTGATATTTCAATTTTTTTTTTTAATAAGATAAATTTATGTATTATATTTTTACAAACACTTATTCCACTTTTTTTTAAGTATAGTTTATACTGTAAAAATTATTTTGGTTTTCGATAAGTTTGCCTACCTTTATTTATACTGGTATATCATTGTATGCCCATGGTTATGTTGGTGATTTCCGTTTGTTTACTTTATTTGTTATTAAACATTTTTAGATATATTTTATTCTTGGAGAGATTTCTGGTCACCTGGTCATTCTCCTTCAGGTATTTGATACGTTTTGGGGTTTTAAGAATGTATACCTAAATTAATATAGTTGTTTTGGATATAATATTATTTATAACTTTGTGCATAATTACTTTTTATTCTTGAATGCTCCTAGGAATCAATAACAAGAGTGAGTACTCCTCACTAAATGTTGTGTTTTCTTTTATGTACATTTAATTCTGTGGTATAAGTTATCTTTTATGTATTGCATGTTCCCATGTGTAGCATGTTGATAGCTATTTTAATGATGTTTTTACCTTCTGTTATTACTGAGATAAAACTATTTCTTTTGATTCATTATTTATATTGACGTACTATTGTTTCATTTATCTTCCATTTACAAATAAAAACTGTTGAGACAACTTATTATGTATTTCACAATTTTATAATGGTACAGACCCCTTTTCATCAAATTATTAAAATCCACCTGAAACTTTGTAAATAGCTTCATCTCATTGTAACCTACAACTAGTTTATTTACAAAAATTCTCGGAATCGGGGCATTTTCAATCTGGAGATTGGCAAACTTTGTCTATTTAATTAGGTACTAAAAACTATTAAATCATCATTCCATTAAATCGTGAGATAATTTGATCCCAAAATTGAGAAAAAAGGTGGCCTACAAAAATATTGGGCCGTTTGGCGTGACCTACACCGCCAACATTTCAAAGTAATGAGGTTATATAAATAAATGGCCCAATATTTTTGTTGGCCAACTATTTTCTCGGTTTTGTGATCAAATTATGTTACGATCCAAGTGGAAAGCAAATGGGTATTTATAAGTTTATAGTACCTGGTTAAATAGACAAAGTTTGCCAATCTCCATATTGAAAACACCCCAATTCCAAGAGTTTTCGTGAATAAAATAGTGTTAGGTTACGATGAGATAAAGCTATTCACGAAATTTCGGGAGGATGTTAATAATTTGATAAAAAAGGGGAACGGGTCTGTACCACTGACTATTATTAGTTTGTTAACATCATTATTCAAAAATAAATATGGAGTATATGTTTGGCTGCAACTCTGTATGAAAATATTTCTGACCTTTATTGCATTACATTTGTGCATAAAAACTGCAAACCAGAGTTTATTTTTTTCTTCCTGATTGGAACTTGTAGTTACTCGCAACTCATATCTGTGGGAAGATATTCATTTTTAGTGGATTTAAGATTTAAGAAGACAGAATAAAAAATTATGTATTATTTTCTTAAATGTGTTTCTGCTACCAAAACTTATTAAATTGAATCCTGTAAAATATTTATTCTGTTTATTGATGTATTCATGGTTATGCATTAATATATGTATTAGTTTTAGAAAGCAGAATAATGTAGTATGTTATAATTTAATAGTATATTTACTATGTTTATTGCTAATATGAATTGAAATAGAATATTATTTATATTGAAAGATGAAGCTGTCCACTGTCCAAAGTTTGAACAAAAATTATAGTTTTTGAACTGTAGGCTACAGCATTAATGTGTATAATGTTCTTTTTGTGTGTTAAGTGTTGTTTCTCCATCCATGATTGCTACAGTGTTACTATAATGGCCTGACTGTTTAACCCAGGTGTATCTAGTATGTATCTAGGGAAACATTTTGAAGTTAAAATAGTGAATAAAGCCAAATTTTTAAGTATTCCATAGGACTTTGACGGAATTGTATACCAGGACATGAAGCTCCTAATTATTTTAAATATTAGTCAACTTCATTGACATCTATTGGCATGACAGATTAGATAACACCAATAAGCTGCTAGGTGAAGAGATGGATTGAAGTTGTTCAGCATAGGAAGGGATTCCCTCTAGTCTATATATTCAAATAAAAAAAGAAAATAAATACATTACTATTTCCTGGTATACCCTTTTACTAAATTTTCAAAGTTAATCTTACATTTTATCTTATATCAGACAAGGTGAAAATAAAGAAGAGAGAAGAATCTCTGTATTAAGATCGAATAGGCAAAAATCTGAAGAAATTATATTTCAGAATAAGCCTCCGACTCATGTTCTAGTTAATGCAGACTTCAATATTTAAGAAAAGTTTCAGAGGGAAACGTCAGTAATTAAGTGAGGGATAGCCTAACAAAAATTCAGTTCATCTCCACTATTATACACTTTCCAATTTCAGAACTTTGTTGAGATATGATATCTTTTAATGTTTTCCATAAAAGGGAAAAACCGCATATCCCTAGTCCCTCTAAAAATACAAATTTTTCTAATATTAGCTGAAATTCATCATTTTTTTTAAAAACCAAATCTGCCATCTACGATCCTGTATAAGATAGCAACCAATTTTTTGGAAAATATCACTTTCAGGTGATTATAGCAGCCAAAGCAATGCAATGAAAATGAGCAGAAATGAATAATTTTGTGAAGTTCTTGTTGGGATTTCACGCAATGAATTTTCGAGCAACCACCTTTGTGATTTAATAAAAGTTGCTTCATTTCACTTGTCCACCTCGACTTTTTTACAATAAAAAGAATATGGGATGAACAGCAATTAGGTAGTATGTTTCCTAAACACAAGGAGGATTACTATAGTTTGATGAAAAATTTCCAACATGTTGGATCAATTTAGTCCCGTAACCTAACAAAATCCTCTTACACAGTTAAATTCAATCCATCAAGTTCACAGAAGAAACTGGTCAAGAAACAGAACTGTATAGGGCTTTGGTATCTAATGTTTTGTTAATGTGTCAACCTCAATATCTTTGAAATTTTGGATATATCATGAAGCATTTGTTTTGAAATCTCCAAGGTGATAGCTAAAAAATGTATCTTAAAAGATTGCAATGATAATTTCTGAAAATTATAAATTTTTTCTTATTTACTTTGCTTTGACTGTCTAACAAATCAATATTTTTCTACAAATTGGTGGCTATCTTATAGACCATCCATAGTATATGCTGAAAATAGTTAACAAAATTGACTATTGTTTGCTACCATAGAGAATTTTGGGTATTTACAGGCAAAAATGTGGTTTTCAAGGATGGGAAACCCTATAAAATATCCTTTGTCGACAGTGGTTTGAGATAGGAAAGTTCGTTTGGTGACACACATTTCTGGTTGACTATTCCTCGCTCAATTATTGATGTTTCCCCTCAAGACACTCTGTAGAGATTAAATGTGTTCAATCTCTTGCCTCAAGGCTGGAAGAAATATAAATATTATTATTGGGAAAAAATATGTTTCAAACATTGTATGCAAGAATTGAAATTCAATATTTATATATTTATCTATGAGTATTAAAGTTTTAGTAAAATAATATTTCATGCAAACTGAAATTCTGTTTATTTAATTTTACAATATTCTTAGCATTGTGCTAATCCTGAGTACTTTTACTTTTCATGTGGGTATAAATAAAGCTGAACATCTATGTAAATATTATTTTGCAGGATTGAAGCAGTATATTTTGCCTGTTACACCCCAGTTTTCCCCATTTTATATTTATCATTAATTGTTTTCCTTTCTTTTTTTCTTATTTCGCTTTATTTCCTTTTTGATTGAAGTAGTTTTGATACAATTTCTAAATTTATTGCATACATTACCAAAATCAATGTCTAGTTTGTTTTTATGTATTTATTGCAGTAATATTAATTTTTATTTAGATTTGTATAACATTGCTTGAATACAAGACTAATATCATGTTTCATGATTTTTTTTCTGTAGATATTACCAAAGATTTACATTAGCTTTACAATTGCTGGTTAGAAAAAACATAAAATAAACTGTAAAACAACTATTATATTTTGTATTGGATGTAAATCTGTAATTTTATTATTTAGGTTATCATAATAAAATTTAAATTATGAAGCCTTTATTTTATTTAACTAATAAGAAATGTATTTACTATAAATACATACATAAATATTTATACATTTTTACTCATAAATGCCATTGGTTATTATTATTTATAAAATACTCAATGACATTTAATTATATATTTAAATTTTTGAGATCTTAATAATGTTTTCAAAATTTAAGATACTTATTTATTGTTAATCTCGATTTAAAGCCTATCTCTTTGTGTTCAGACATGTATAAATGTGTGTTTACTATTAATTATTTTTATTTGGGGTACATTTTAATAAACTGCCTTGAATAAATAAATAAAATAATAAAAAGCAATAATTTTAATTTTTTTCTATTTTTAAACCAGGGAATAGCTTGGTAATCACCGACAAACCCAATAAACCGATTCCGGCTGTGAGACCTACTGAGCCGTTAGACATGGGAGAATATCCTTTCCTAACACTCACTAAATATCCAGCAGGGTTTATTCAGCATATTGGTAGGTTTTACTTTTTTTCATCTCTTCATTGTTTAATTAATCATTAACGACCACATTTTGTGCTATTGTAAGCCTCAAAGCTAATATAAATGTAAACTATTATTACTATTATTTTCAAAAGACGTAGGATTGTCTTGAGTCCAAAAAGTAATTTTTGAAAAATATTTTTAATCTCTCTTGGATCTTTGGCACCATGTCTATCAATATATAATAGATATTTATTGCCTCATTTTTGTTTGATTATTTTTATTAATAAAATATTATACAATAAAATCATGGTCATTAAATCTATTTATTTATTTTATTTTATTTTTTTGGATGATTTTATGCGATTACTAAATATAAAATCTGCTTATTAATTAGAATATTGCTAAATTTATTATTTGAACATTAAAAATTAAAATCTTACTTTTATTTACCTATTTTTGAAATATATATTTAGAGAAAGTATTACGATCATGAAAAATTTTTAACCCAATTTTTCAATGGAAATACAAGTTTTAAAGTCTACCTTATTTCCAAATAACCAAGTTTCGTAAAGTGTTTTTGTGGGCATGTTCTTGTGTAAACAGTATGGCCCAAAAATGATAAGTCATAAAAAGACTGAAATTACTTTTTTAAAGTAGGTACATTTCAGGAATATTGCAGTACCTTTTTCGTTATAATCAACTTACTAAAAATATCAATTTACGTAGTTGATTTTACAATTTTTTTACTGTTTTCTGAAAAACAGCTTGAACAATTTTGATAAAACTCATTATATTAATGTACAATCAAATGATCTTTAATATCAGCTAGGTATTATCCTCATTGTAATAATCTGATAGAGTTTAAATGGTTAAATTAAATTTTCAAAATGGTTTCCTTTAAAGTACGTTTAATTTGTTTTTAACAATAATTAACCATCTCTCATTGTTAGTAGTAATAACAAATGTCTCAATATAAACTTTGAAAGAATTTGATAAGTGACTAAAGAAGGAAAAATGTTTTTTCAAGTTGAAAATGAATTTCCAGAAATAAGAAGCAGAATATATATTTATAATATACCATTTGAGCTGAGGATTTTAGAAAAAATAATATCTAACATATATAGTCGTAGAAGGTAATGGAGAATGATGAAAAAAATATAAATAATAATTTCTTGAAACTAATATGATTTTAAGGAAACCAAATGTTTCCATGAAAATTAAATGAAATTTCCTAACTAAATGTAAACTTTTAAAATTATTTTTAACTTAAAATATATAATGAACCAAATTTTTCTGGATTTTTTTTTGGATCGGTATTTTTTTAACAGCTATTTTATTTTACTTTTGTTGAAAAACATATGGTAATAACTTTGCTTTTGTTCAATAACTTTTGATCCAATTATAGATTAAAATAATTGTAAATATTAACCAGTGTAACATATTCAAACTAAAATAAAAACTATGCTGTAGTATCAAGACTCACAGTTTATTCAATAATGATATTTGACCTATAAACATATGTTTATTATTAACATTTATTATCAACATTACAACTCTTTTTTTTTTTAATATCCATATATTTTTATAAGTCCTGGTGTATCTTACCCTTCACCACTCTTCCTGTTCTTGTAACTTGTTGAGGGATGTATTTTGGTTGAGGGGATGTTGAAACATCTGAATCATATATGATGCTATCTCTGTGGTGTTTTCCTTCTGCTACTTTATCATCTATCTGACAATCCTCTTGTGTATCTTGATTGTAATTAATGAGAGGTTTCTGGAATTTTCTGTTTCTCAGAAGGTTTCAAGTTTTGGTTTGTATATAGTATGATCTTGATATTTTAGTATTGATCTTTTTCCTAAACGGTATAAAGGATATAATATTTCAGAAGCATTAGGAATAAACTTTAGATGAAACATCACTAGTCCGAGCATTAGTATTTGAGAGCAATAGCATCCGTAGGTGATGGATCATCTTTTATGGCTTTTATATGGTTATCTGTGGCATGCAGTCCTTTCTCATCAAATGTATTCCATAGATATTGCACCCAAAAGAGCATTTACTTAATTTAACTCCCAGGTTGGCTGAGTTAAGAATTTTGAGTACCTTGTCAAGCCTTTTTTTTTTTCCTTGGCTGTGCTCCTCTCTGGTCCTACCGCTGATGTAAATGTCGACCAGCAAAGATCCCACTCCCTGGAGTCCTCGGAGTAGATTGTCCACAACTTTCTGAAACTCTCCAGGTGCACTAGTGATTCTGAAGCACACTCGTGTGTACCTAAGCAAACCAATATGAGTATTAATTGCAGTTAAAGCTTTTGAGTTATCTTCTAAAAGGAGTTGCTGATAAGCGTCTTTCAAATCAATCTTTGAATAGAATTTAGCTCTGCCAAAACTTGAGCATATATTATCAAGCCTTGGAAGAGGGTATTGGTTGCTCAACAGAACTGGATTTGTGGTATGGCAATAATCTCCGCAAATGCGAATACTTCCATCACTTTTAAGGACTGGAACTATTGGAGTAGCCCATTTGCTACACTCAACTTTTTCTAAAATACCTAGCTTTTTTTTTTTTTTTGTTCTTCCCTACCTCGCCTTTTAGGCTATACGGGATTTTTCCCGGGTCGGGGGGGTGAGGGCGGGGAAATTTAAAATCCCCTCCGGCACCGGGACGCGAACTCGTACTTTTTATATCATCTCAAATCTCTGTTATCCGGTTGCCAGGCAACTAGCGGTGCTGTTACACACACTTTAGCCTATTCGGCCACCCCGCCCCCTATTATCTAAAATACCTAGCTCAAGAAGTTGGTTCAATTCATCTTCCACTTTACTTTTCAATAAAATAGGCTATTGATCTTGCTTTGAAAAATTTAGACTCGGTCCCCTCTTTAAGTTGAAAGGTAATTTTATAGTTGGAAAATGTACCTAAGGAAGACTGAATCGACCTTAGGGTACAAATTAATAATGTTAGAAATATCACTAGATATGCTCTTAATGTGAGGGTCCACAAACAAACTTTGTTCAGAATAAGCAGACTTCAATAATTTTTAAACCTTGTCCACCCCTAAAGAGGGGCATAATAAAAACCTTTATAATGACTGTGTCCTGAATATTTATCATCCATGCTAGTAAACTTCCTTCAGTAATTCATCACTCTACTTTACTTATTTTTCTTTTGCATAAATTATATAAACAAGTTATGTAATTACTGTATGTAGTTTATATACGGTGTAAATTAGTTTAAAATTAAGGTATGTTCTTCAATTTAATTTTAGTATTCATATGATACTGTAATTTATTTGTATGTGTCAATATGTCATGTGAATAATTCTTTAAGAAAAGAATCTAAAGAAAAGGATACAAATTAGAAAAAGAAAAAAAAAATATTTAAGATGTAACTCGGAGGCAATCCTTTAATTTTTTTTTTTTTGTATTGAATGTGCACCTAAATTTACTTTAAAGGGAAAAAAAAATTTTTTTTACCCGGAAGTGGGGAGAAATGTAATATACCACCTTTATTGGAAGTTGTTAAAAATGATTTAATAAATTAATGTAACAGTTATAAAGCAAGCTATTCTAGTTTCACTAGTTCAGGGAAAAGAAAATAGGCGCTCAGTTCCCCAGAAAGGCACCTCCAGGAAAGTCACAGTGATTTGTCACTAGTATTTTTATTCCGGTGATAAGCATACTATGAATCCTTGGCGAAAGTGTCACTGTGAAATCACAGTTTACGTGTTTAAACTTATATTAAAATAAAAAATAGATTTTTTTTTCCAGTGATAAATTTTATATTTGATGGGGAAAAATATCTCTGGTATCCCTCGGTTTCTGTATACAGCCCTGCAGAGAATATTTGAATTTATTTAATTTTTAATTCATTTTTTATTTATATTTCAACAGTTAAATGAAATTCCATTAATTATTTCAGACATAACTCATTCAGAATTATATGGCAATGAATGTTCAATTCATCCAAAGTTAAAAAGTATTTTTAATAAAATTTGACGAATAACTAGTATTTTAGAATTAATTATTTCATGATTATTCCTTTAATACATTTATTAAATAAATGATGTCAACAATGCCCAGATAGGAGTGATTGAGGGGAGTGATCAGAGCTGTGATTTCACAGCGCCTACAGTGATCGTCACTGTTGGAGCACAGTCCCTTCAACTCCCTTCAATAATTCATAAAAAAGGATGTATGGATGTATGAGTAGAAACAAAATATTGAAAACATGCAAATTCATATATGTTATCTCAAATTTTCAGTAATGATTCTGGTCGAATTTCAACCACTGTGTGAATACTAGTTATGGTAAATAAACAAAAAATATAATATAATTTGATAAAATGGTATGGATACTACTTAATTTTATCATATTTTTTATTATTAAAACATAGCGTTTGAAATCAGGAGGAGTTGTGAGTGCTAGGGCAGTGAAACTCTTGGGTGTTGATGAAGCTGAAACTCGTGATTCCTGGTGGACTGAGCTGCGATTGGAAGTCAGGTCTCATGCTAGAGCTCTTGCATGCAATGCTGTTATTGCCTATTCGGAACATACAACTGTTTGGTAAGCTTTCTTCTGGTTGATTTCTCTTACCTCCTTAGTTGATCCCCAATATTGAGAAATTTTTAATTAAATAAAATAGCTGTAAAAATTCATCACAAACCAAGTAGATGATGTTGTTTAAATTTTTTACAATTGATAATATTGATTTGTCTGATGTTTTTCTTTCCTGATGATTTGGATTATAATGATTCATTCCAAACAGTGTGTTATTATAATTTTAAAAAATTTGTAAACCATCAAATAATTGCAGGTTTATTTATTTATTTTTTAATTTTCAGGGATGATGTATGTATTCTCAGTGCAAGTGGTACTGCAGCTGTGATCAGTCAAAACCCAAACATCAAACAAGTAAATACTAATTTTTAATTAATAAAATATGTTATTTTACACTATATTTCCTAATTCAGTTTTGTTAATGTTTCATAATTTATTACTTAACAAAGCAATGTAAAGATAATTTTAACTTTTGCTGAAAAGGGTTATTTAATGTTGGGCTTTGAATTTCGGTGTGGAGAAATTTTGATGTTATTTTGGAATCTGTTCTTACTTAAATGTAATGAGGAACCTTATAAGATCAGAGGATTGTACCTTTTAGGAGAGGTGGAAGAGTTGTGGAAATTCTACTGAATAATTTCAAGACATATATATTGAGCGTCAGTGGCAGGAAAAAACGTACTAAATGGTGGATAGATGCCAATAGGCAGATGATAAAAAATATAAAATTAGCCGATTCAAATTGTATTTTATGTCTCATAAATGAAACTGTTTATTAATTTAAATATTTATATTTTTAATTTTATAATTTAAATATATTTTCTGATAAATAGAAAATATTTGACTAGCATAATCAACCTATTGTAATATGTGTGGGAAGGTCGGGATTCATTCCATGGGTCCCTTACAGAATTAATTTCAACCCGCTCAGGCCAGATTCGAATTGATGCCACTAGACTCAAGTTTGCTAAGGTTATGATACCTTAACATTATTAAGAAAACAGAATTTGAAAATAAATCAGAAAATATACATTTTATGGTAACATTTAGTCATTTTAAAGATAATTAGATTTTCCCACAAAACAAAAAAAAAAAACATTAAACTTGAAGCAGTATTAGAAGAGACACAGCACAGTTGACTTTGTACATGTTTTTTACCTCCAGACCGCTACTGGGTAAGGGAAGTCGCAAGTCGTGTAATTGGCGAAAATTTCAGATGTGCGTTTTTCAACAGATTTATATATTTTAAGTAGCACCTACAGCCTAATTAATAACTGCGTCAGTGATAACACATCATCATGTGTTATATAAAAAAACTAATTATGAAAAAGAAGATTACATAAGGATGTTGTTGAGAGCAAAGTGCAGTGAATAATTGTAAAATTTTGTATTGTAAAATTACTGAAATATTGAAACTCTATAAAATTTAGACAAATTTGTAAAGTCAGAGCTCAAATCCCTCTAAGCTCAATTAATAATTCATTTACTATCATGTTATAATTGTTAAAATAAATTTATTTTCTAAGTGAATGTAATTTACCTATTTAGGTGATAATCCTTATGTATCAGATTTGGCCCAATCCAGATATCTGTCCTTCCATAATAAACTTCATAACCATCCCAACCCTCTTGTTTCTAACCTTGCTTCCTATTCAATTTCTGATAACCCTCCGAGGCGTCTGAAAAGAAGATGGCCACGTGATCTCCTAATATAGACATATTATTAGAGTGCTACCAATGGGTAGTTTCTCAACACGTGTTTCATGTCATTATATCCATGTACGAATTTACTAGATGTATTTTTTGTATACAGTTGTAAATATCATATAAATAAATAAATAAAAAAGTCATAATCATAAATAGGTAATATATTCGTAAAAACTTTATCTTATATTTATAGATGGATAATGATGAAACTGGCTGTTCGATTTATCATATTCCCTACAATGAAGCTTCACATCCTTTTCGAATGAAGCTCTCCAAGTGTCTTCAATGCAAGTTAGTTCCAAAATAATTTTAACCATTGGTAGTACTTATAAATATATGTGTGTAGTTATTGGCATTATTGGCGCTATTTTGTTCCTTTAACAGCAGATAAAGATTTTCAACAACAATACAAGTTTCATACAACACTAAATTGAACGTTTAGTTAGGTAGGATATAGGTTTTAGGAAGATAAATAACGAGGTTATTATGCCCGTATGAACCATTAAATTATATTAATTTCAGAATTGTCATATCTTTGGCAGGAATTATGTAGTCAAAATTTTGAAATTAATTTCTTAAAAATCCTTTTTTGTAAATATATTAATGAAATTTGTTTCACAATTGGAACTGGTTTTCACATATTCATTAAATGGTCAAGAAAACATGTTTAAACTGAGGATTTTTTTGTAATGACCTAAATATTTTAATTTCAAATTCTGTTATTAATTTTTGTTTGTAATACATTATGAAATTATACTTATAAAATTAATTTAACCTTATTCTCTAGGATCTGATGTTCATTAAAATATTATTTCAAAAATTCATTGATTTTAGATAAAATTGCTTGTTAAAACCCAAATTATGAGTACAAATAGGGCTTCTAAGAAAGTATGAAATCTGTTTAGCAGTAGTTTTATATGAACCCATATTTTATAACAGTTCCCGAAATTAGATTTGTTGGTTACATGTTACTAAAATGTTATAAAACATATCTCAAATATGAAAAGTTACAATTGTGGGATGATTAAATTCCAGTTCATGCGGAGAGAAAGTTCACTATGTATTTTTTTTAAAATATAAACTGTTTTTATTTTATTTTTTCTATATAGTTCAAAATATTAGTAATTTCATATCAATCATGTTACCTGTCTTTTTTATAAAACTTTTAATCTTTTCAATGATTAGCAATACTTAACTGTTGTTTATAAAAAAAATAAAGATTTTTTTTTTTTCAATTTTGCAATACTTAGGAATGGAAAAGTTGGAGAAATACTTCTAAGCACAGCTGATTTAATGGATGGTTCAAATGTCGACGGCAAAGGTAGCTTGATTCAAGCGTCTGTAACACGGGTGAAAAGGGAATGTAAAGGAGAAATGAACGCCAAAGAGGTTTCAGATGCATTGCCTTTTATAGAATATGAGCTTCACACTCAGTTAATGCATCGGCTTAGTTCATCTGGTTGCAATGGTATCATTGGCCTTAAGGTAATGTTGAAACGACTGATTTATTATATTACATACAAATTAAATTTATCTATTACTAGATTGTCCATTAGCGGCACTGCACCATGCATTAATGGTATTACTTTATTGTACAAGTGTGAGGTGATTTAGAGGACAAAGTCAACACCGATCTTGGGCAAAGTAAATTTTGTTGAAGAATGGTTATTCGGCGCACTTTGCCATGCCTCCACCCTGACCTAGTGGATGACTAACTTCTCAGTGTAGGAATAAATTTATTACTTTTTAAAAATAGTTTTCCATTGGTTAGTAACAATTTCAAAATAGAGAAGGCTATTAAAAGTTCCCTATTGAAAATGTAACATTTGCGAATTTTGTTAAGTTGTGAACTGCACTAGAAAAAAATAAAAAATATACTTAACTAAATTGATTAGTAGAAATTTCTGACTAAGAGAACAATTTAGCTTAGCAAGTAGTATTTTTTTTTTTCTCTGAATAAACAAGCGCTTCATGTTTCATTTACAACCCAAATTAATTAAGTACGTGCCATTAGGTAAGAAATAATGAGGAGTTTGGGGCACAGTGCTGACTGCCTTGCATTCCAATAATTCCACAAGTTGATGAATGTTGAGCACTTACCAGTGCTCTGGCCCTCTTACCCTGAACCCTTCTGGTTTGGTCATGGTAATTTTATTTCATTCATTTTGTACCATAAATGAAGAAATAGACAACATAAATATCAGTTATTCAGTCAAATAACTATCTCTGGATTTATGGATATTTCTCCTTAGGTATCAATATAGCTGTTTTTATGAGTTCAAATTGGCTTACATGTAAGATTCATAACAACAAAAAATTCAATAATATATTTTCAAGTTTATTTATTATCCAGCCAATTTTACACCAATTTTCAAAATTTTGTCAACTTAATGACTACACATCTAATTACGACGTTTTGGCTCGTTGAGCCATTTTTAAGTCTAAAAAATTTTACAATTTACAATCATATTTAAAACATTACATATTTCAACATATAGAGATTCATTTTTATATACCCAAATACCAATTATGTACCTGTCCTTTTCACTTATGCGAATTGCATACGTCTATTCATAATAAATTTTTTTTTTTGTCATGTCCACCTTTAATTATTTTATAACATTATTATTACTCAATTATTTCTTATTAAATGATTCAAATAAGTTAAAATTACCTTATCATGTGTCACCGACATGTCATCAGTCTCATTTCTATTCAGTGACTGGTTATTCTTAAAGGAGTAGTGAAAGACTATTTATTTTAAACATATACAATGATGTTTCCCAATATTATATGTGGACCTATTTTAAGTAAAATTAGCTAATTCATTTCAATTTTTTATTTTTTCAATTGAACTAGCGTAAAATGTATTCATATTGTCTACGTCTGTATGATTATGTACTGAGTTTTTTAAATTTTTAGTTATGTATATTGCTACCTTTATTCTACGTTTATTCGTATTACCTTCATTATGCAGGATTTTATATAAAAGAATATATATTTTTTAATCTTCCATTGAAATCCTTTGCTGCTATTTTATATTTTGATAAAGTTTTATGAGTTTCTAACAGTAGGTTTAGCAACTACAGAAATCTTTTAATTACAAATCCAGTTTATCCAAACACTCAGATAATACCAACTAATTTCTTCTTACTATAAAAAAAAATTGATTTTTTGACATATTTTAGAAAATAAACTTCCAGTTTGTATTATTATTATTTAATTGACATGAATCTTTAATAATTTTAGGCAACAGTTGGGTGAAATATTTGATTAACATGGTATGTGGCTATTTTTTTCTTCTGAGTACTATTATTTCAAGTGCCCAAGGTAAATTCAAGGGATTTAATAAATAATCCTCAGTAACCACGCACTTCTTACACTTCAGTTTCCACAGCAATTTTCACATGCAACATCCGTTTCCATAAAAAAATCTACTAAATTTTACATTACTTGTCGGTTAGGAGGTCTGGGCGAAACCTCCCTTGTTATCTAATGTTACATCACACAACCTCATCAAATCTTTGAGTTATTCCATTGTTTATTTTTGTTCCATTTCTGTTATTTTCATCAAATTATGGATGTTGTTACATTTTGGGAATCACCATCTTCAGAAGAAGAGGCTATTGAATATTATCAAAATGCCGGGATAATTCCAAACGTGAAATTGTGTCAAGAAGGACATCGAATGAAGTTAGACAGGAAGGCGAAATGGATATGCTTTCATACCACTTGTAACAAAAGTTTCTATAAGGAAAGGAACTTGGTTAGAAGAGTTGAGGATTTCATTTTTAACGGCTTTAAAATTTATTTATGGGTGGTTCCATAATTTAACAACGATAAAGTGGAGCAAAGAGCAGCTGAAACTATCCAAGGAAAGTATGGTAACGTGGAACAAATGTTTAAGAGAAGTTTGTGTCCATAACATGTTATAAAGGTCAAGTAAAAAAATTGGAGCTCTGGCAAAGTCGTTGAAGTAGACGAGAGTCTTTTTTCTAAAAGAAAAAATCATGAATTTAATTTATTAAATAGTAAATTAACTATTTTGTCTACCAAAATAAATAAGCTGAATTGAAGATAAATTGTACATATGTTATTTAAGTGTTTTCTCATTGTTGTGGGAATTATTACATTGCTTTTTGTCTATTTCAATTTCAAACCAAACTGTTTTGTTATTATTACATTTGTTTTTGTCTATTTAATATATATGTTGTAAAATAAAAGAATTTTTTTATTATTACTTTTTTTCACAATTTCAATGAATATAATATAATAAATATGAATTATGAGAAGCCTTGTCAAAATTATCAGTGTTCAGGTTATAAACATTGGCAGATAACAGTCAGTCCTATCCCCTTAACTAACAAGAACCAATTTTACTTAAAAAATTATAATTATAAGTGGAAATCTTAAAGTTTTAAAGTTATATAGTTGCCTATCTTAAGTTCCATTGATCTAAAAAACAAATTAGAAATTTTTGAAGAAGTGGGTAGTGACTAACCGAACAATTTAATAATTCAATATTTATTTTACTGACCATCATTAAAAATAGAGTGTTAATTTTTATTGTTAGAAAAATATGAAACATATACATAAGGAACCATATTAAACATAATTTCATTTTAACATTTTAGTTAAATTTTCAATAAATTAAAAATTTTATCTTTTTTTAAGGCAAAATTTAATTATTTATTCTTCGAAATAAGGAAGATCAGAATAAATACTTATAAAGAAACTTTAAATCAATCATGTTAGACGAGCTTGTTCATGTAAAGCAAAATTTCATACAACTTAATGATTTTAACATGAACTATACAATTTGGTTTCCCACCCATTTTATGTTAACTGTATTATGTATTTTTAAAATATATATTGTTTAACAACAAAAATGGGACATCTGGCTGGCACTGGATTCATAGTTAGTCTGGCCACAAGGAAGTCAGTAATAAACTTCACTCCAGTTAATGAAAGGATAAGTGTGCTGTGCATAAGAGGTTGTTTGTTTAATGTCACGATTATTAATGTATATGCACCAACCAAAGAAACAGAGGATGAGGTGAAGGACGATTTCTACGATCAGTTTGAAAAATTTGTGGACCAGGCTCCAAAATATGACATAAAATTAGTCATGAGAGACTTCAATGCCAAGATAGGTTGAGAAACCCAATTTAGGCCCATCATCGGAGGACAAAGTTTCCATGAAACCAGCTAATGGAGTGAGATGTATCAGTCTGGCAGCAGCTAAATTCTAGTTGTGAGCAGTACAATGTTCCCGTACAAGGACATACATACGTACAGAAGGGTAAATCCTAAAGGAGCAAAAATCCCAAATCAACCACGTGCTAATAGACAAGAGATATCAAAGTTTCATACAAAACATAAGGAGTTGTGATTCGGATCATACTCTGTCAGAGGCAGAAGCGAATCCACCAAATTGGGAACCAAGTGGAAAGAAAGAGGTAAGAAGTCCAAATTCCAAATTGAGCTGAAAAATAAATTCAATGCAGAAGGCCTAACGCTTGACTAACATAGGGAAGCACTAGAGTCAGGGCTAAAACAAACAGCTAAGGAAATAATAGGGATTAAGGAAAAAAGAAAAGACAAGAAATGGGTGCAAAAAGGCGGTGGAGGAAAGAAGTAAAGTCCTCTACTTAGCAAAAACTGATCTAGCCATGCTGGACAAATATATAACCACTAAGCAAAAGACAAAACAAAATTATAGAGAAAAACTGGCAGACTGAAAATATATGCGAATTCTACGCAGATATCAAGGAGGTTAAGATGGGCATGACATGTAGCTCGAAGCAATCTATCAGGACGCCTTTACACAACAATGAATGTCAGAGTAGGAGGCAAGAGACCACGTGGGAGGCCAATAACCAGATGGATTGATAGGATAAACAAAGATACTGCTGAGATTAATGCTGCAAACTGGAAAGCAGTAGCCTAAGATAGGCGGAGTTGGAGAAGACTGGTTCAGGCGGCCAATGATCTATGAGCTCTGTAGAGCCAAACAAAAACAAATATATATATATATATATATATATATATATATATATATATATATATATATATATATATATATCTGTATATAAGTGCCACTTACAGTTTTCACTCATATTTTTGGATGTGTGTCATTGTTTCTTAAAGTATCCTTTACTGAAGAAAAAAAATTGATTTTAACTTATGAGCTTATAAGAAAACAACCTATTTCTTTACTCCTCAATTATTGTCATATCTTAATTCCTATGGAATCTAGAAATATCTATTAGGTTATTTAATTTGAGATCAATTAAGGTGGATTATTACTATTATAGTTGCCTATCATATGTATTTTTTTTTTTCACACAGGTGGAAATATGCCTGGGAGAAAGAATATTGGTTGGATATGCTACAGGGACTGGTATAAGACTATCTGCACTTCCCCCTCCTCTTTCACCGACTGAAAATGTAAGTTTAGGAATACTTTAATCGAACACTTAGCTCATTTTTTTTTTTTTTTTTAGTTAAATTCAGCTTTATTAATATTCGGCTTTTATCTTACAATAAGTATGAGATGTAACACCAACTACACAAAGACCTGAAATACCTAAACAATTTATAGCTGTCAATATTTAAGGCTATTTACTTTATAAAATGTTCAGACCGGCTCGTACTACAGGTGGCGATATTCTGACTCATCAGGTGGTGCATAGCACCGATGGTTCACACAAAACTGCCCCATTGAGCAGAGCTTATCTCAAATTCCGCTTGCTTGTAATTGTGTTGTCATGAGGTGTGCAACACCAAAAATCTTAAGAAATATACGTTGTTAAGAAATTAGAAAAAAATACCATTTAGTTAAAAATTAAATGAATGCGTTACAATTGTATTTTATATAATGATTTAAAAATTTAGAAGCAGTAAGTATAAAATAATTACTTGAATTGGATTGTTATTATACCTATTATTGTTTTAAAAATATAAAAAACAATTATGATAAATTTTCATTTTTGGTAAAACTTTTATTGGCACTTTTAATTTATAAACTTATTCCTTGAGAGTTCAGTGTGCTTTAAACCTAATTCAATAAGAAGGAAACAAAAAATGTCATTAAGTGTCAGTATAAAAGTTTGATTTACCAGGAAGATCAGCCAAGTTTTCACTGAGACCAAAAGATATTCAGCATAATAAAATAGAAATAAGGTGAAACTCAGGATATCTCAGATAATTAATTTGTGATAATTGGTTAATTAAATGATATTAATTAAATTAACTGTTCATTATTAAAATCTATTGGGTCACAACATAATATTATGTAATGTCAGTTCCTATGGTATGAGGTAAATAAAAGAAAAACAAGCTTTGACAATACTATTTTTATTCTAAATAACTTCCTTTTCCTGCAATACATATCTCCCATGACCAACTAAGTCATTTTATCCATTGTTTGTACAAACTTTTCGAGTTTGAGTACAAACAAACTCAAGAAATGAAAATTTTATTTCATTTTCATCTTTGTTCTTTAAAATGAGTCGATTATTTTGGAAAAAATGTTATTTTGACACAAGTTAAATATGTTTGATGCATTAAAAAAAAAAAAACCTATACCGCTAAAATAAAACCTGTTCAGTTCTTTGTAAGGAAGTACTGTTTCAAGGTCAACAGTCATGCCAGGAGGTAATTGGGATAAGATTGCTCTCAACCACCAGATTTTCCCCTTAATCAATTATTTAGTTGAACGTATCCACTTCAGAAAGGCTGAGTGTGTCCTAGGTGATTCTCCTGACCCCAGGTTTGATCCATGGCTGATGTAACAGAATAGATAATTACCTGACTCGGCCGGGCTCGAACCTGGGACCTCGAGCATTGCCTTAGTAGAAGTTCAATTTTCAGATCATGTCATTTTTCTAAAGTTAACTCACAAGCATATTACATAAATTGATCTGAAATTGAAATTCAATCATATTTACCTTTTTTACTGCCTACCAATTTTTTAGTGCACTTGACACATTTTTAAATAATATAACATCACAAAATGGAAATGAGATAAAATTTTTATTTTTCTGTTTATCAAGTCAAAGCCTAAAAAGTTCTTTAAGCAAGGGATGAAAAACCCTGTTGGGTGTGGAAGAAATATTTTAATGCTAACAGAAGTTGTTTTGTAAAATAATATTGATAAAGTTGTTTTTCTTTTATTTACCTTATATCCTATGAATGAAATTTCATATGTTCTAACTCAATAATTAGGCTACTAATAACCATAGTGTTACTCATATACATATACATTTCATTATGATGCTAATGTCTGTAGATCAAAACTCTCAGGACAAAGATGTTTTTTGGGAGGTTGAAAAATTAGCTCACAAGATAGTCCGATTCCTTTTCTTAAAATTATTAAAACTTCAGCCAGAAATATATTTTGAAACAATTAAAAGATAAAAATAAAAAAAGTTGGAATGAAACATAAAATCCTAGCCTAAGCGGATGATGTAACTATCCTCGGAAGCAATCAAGAGGATATTGAGAGACTCTCGGACTCTGTTAAGAGAAGCCGAGCAGATCCGGCTACAAGTCAATGAAGATAAAACAAAATATATAGTAGTTAACCAAAAAATTCATCCTGATAGCATGATCTTCATGGACACTAGGTCATTCCCTAAAGTAGAGAAATTCAAATACCTTGGTTTCACAATAACAAACAGAGATAGACCAACGAATAACAATTGCTAACACAGCTTTCTTCTCTCTTTCAAGAGCACTGAAATCCAGAAAAATCTCCAGAAATCTCAAACTAAGGGTGTACAACACCGTGATAAGCCGTTCTGCTGTAAGGCTATGAAACCTGGGCTCTAATCGGCACCCTAGAAAGCAGAATTGAGAGATTCAAAAGAAATTCCTTTGTGTGATAACTACCTGGGATCGAAATTATAACACATGGAGCAGTAAGAATAAAGAACTGCTAAAAGAAACTGGTCAGTCAATATCTCATGATATGAAGGCAAGGAGGTTAAGATGGGCAGGACACAGCTTGATGCAATCCATTAGGACACCTTTACACAACAATGAATGCCAGAGTAGTAGGCAAGAGACCACATGGGAGGCCAATAATCAGATGGGTTGATAGAATCAACAAAGATACGGCTGAGCTTCATGCCGCAAACTGGAAAGAAGTAGTCCAAGATAGGCAGAGGTGGAGAAGGCTGTTTCAGGCAGTGAAAGATGTATAAGGTCTTTAGAGCCAACCGAAAAAAATTATCCTCAGGATTCTCTAATATCTGTCTGTAACGAGTAATTATACTGTTACATTAGTTAGGATTCAACTCTCTGATCTGGCCTCCTAGAGCATACTCAGTCTCTATAAAATGGGTACGTTAAATTAAATAATTAATTAAGGGAGAGGGAAATCCTTACACAATCATTGAGCAAGAAACTTCTTTACGAAGTAAAAGTTTTTAGTTATTTTGACTGAAATCATATTTAATTTGTTTATACAGAAACAACTGCTATATGAATAATCTTTCCAATATTTAACCTTAATTAAAATAGCGATATCATCATGGAATTCCCTTATTTCTGGAAACAAAACTTTTTAAGATTTCTCGCATACAGAACAATAGAAGTCTTAATCGTGTTTTTATTTTTGAAGGTGAAGATAGTGGAAGACCAGAACAAATGCACGATCATATGGAAATTTACAATTGAAGAACTCTAAGAAAGATTTTTTTTTCAAAAATCAAAAAAAAAAAAAAAAAAAAAAAAAGAATTATGTTTATTGAGTTTACCAACATTTTGACCAAAACAGATTATTATTATCTGGGCTTCATTATAAATAAAAATGAGTATTTCTTTGATTTATTGCATTGACTTATATGCCCTGCCATCAACTCAGAGAGCTTTAAAAAGTCTCTTCTTGTGGATATATGAATTTAAAATAATTTTCAAGTCATCCCTATTCTAAAAATATAGAACTTATTAGAGCACATTATAAGTGATTTGTATACCTTGCAAGGACATGCAATATTATATTATTCCTTTAAAGTAGCATTGTTGAGAGCATTTTCTCTAATGAGATAGCATCACTTAACTACATCTAGGAGCATAAATCAAAAGGTAATATCAGTTTGATACAATCTCTCTTCTCCTTGATTTGCTTGCCAGCTCATTAGGTAATTGAATAAATTACAGAAGACTGTTTAAGATTGATTGCTTGGTTATATTGATGTAAAAAGACTTAAAGATTCTGGATAAATTGTCTGTGTCCTATGATAGGATTATCAATTCAACTTTAAAACTATTAGATGTATTGCTTTTTTCTTATGACATAAATATAAAACTTTTTGAGTTATATTGGGCATGGAAGTGATTGTGATGGCGATTCTTTAGTTGCGGAAATCCTGAGGGATATTATATTTAATACATAACATTTTAACTGAAGTGGTAACTGCAACATGAGGAAAATACTAGACTTATCTAAGAAGTATCATTTTATTTGTTTTTTCACTTTGTTATTTCTCATTTTTCTGTGGTAGAATATTTCAACTCAAGAAAAAAGAAAAAAAATAGACAAATCTTTCATCTCTTCAATAAGTAAAATTGTGAGGATCAATTTTGTCAGATACAACAAAGGGCCACCACCTTTTTCTAACCTGTATAAAGCTTCTTAATATTCTTTACATGAATTCTTTCGAGAATAAACGGAAGGGGTATCAAACAAATTGTATTGGCCAAGATTTTCTTACACTAACCCATTTATAATTGGATAGGAATATATAATTAAGTAACTCACACCATTATTAATTCAGCATTTCAATATTATCTATTAACTCTTGGCTTAGCGTGATCCAGTAGTTTTTTTTTTTTTGTATAATCAATAAATTATTATTTTATTTCCCAAATTTGCTTGTTGGTTATTTCTATTAATGCATACAGTATAAACATTAATAAATTTTCGAAACAACATTTCATTAACACACTTTTTGCACATGAAGAATGATCTTGTTGGCTCTGATGAAGACGATATTGAAGAGGAACTCAGAGAATTGGACTTGAATTCCGGAAACAAAGAAACCAACATTGTGGAAGTATATTATTTTTATATTGAAAGAAATGGTGTTAGGGTTTGAGTTTAATACTTTTAATAAGTTGCTGAAGAATTTTTTGTTTTTGTTTTCTGATTTAACCAATTAAATCATGCACGCTACATCTTATGAACATTATCTTCTTTAGCCCACTAGAAAACTTAAGTTATTAGCTATTAATTTTAATCTTTGGAAAGCTTCCTCACCTTTTCCATACAATTTATTATTTCTTTTGTTTTAAGGATGCTTGCATGCGTTTAAAGTTGATGGGAACTATTCTTGATGTACTACCCATCATTTTTATTCAATTGTATATTCTTAATAATTTTTATTTGCATTTAGGTTGGTAATGATTGTGGAGGAGGAAATGTTGGGGTCCCTCCCGATGGTTTTCTGATTAGTACTACTCAAGGTAATATAATATACCTTCATTCAATATATGAACTTTTCAGTTGACAGAATGATTAACTCCTTTTTCAAAATTATGCCAGAAGTATTAGTAATTGAAAATTGATGGTAAATATTCCTGTCATGCTTTTGAAGAAAAACAAAAAAGTAAAGAATTTTCTACAGACGAAACAGAAATATAATTGATTCCAACATAATGAAAAAAATAAATAAAATTGGAGTTGGCCATTCTGTCAACTGAAAGAATTAAATATATAGATTAAAGAACTAAATATATAGATATTTAGTAAGTTGTAGCTTATCCTTGATGAGTATATATCCTTATGGGAAAAAGAAAAATCAGGAGCTAAAGTAGGAAATCAAAGGAGCCATACCCTGGTAAAATGTCTAGCCTTTGCGGTTGACTTGGCCCTATTGGCAGAGGCGAAGGAAGAGGCGATCAGACAGATATTCGCTGAAAAAAATAGCTGAGAAAACTGGATTTAAAATCTCCTTCCAGAGGACTAAATTTATGACCACAAACCCCAACTTTAGGAAGCATGGAGTATAGGACAAAAAATTTGGAGAAATTATGTTACTTAACGAGTAGCATTTATAATAAATAATGCCTCTCCAAAAAGTCCAGAATCAGGCACTACAATACAGTGGTAAAGCCAGTGATACTATATGGAACGGAGACAATGTTCTTTCCCAGTTTGGAGAAACTGCTGAAAATAGAAAGAAAGATTCCTCGAAGAATCCATGGGCTCAAAATAACACCAGAAGGATACAGGCTGAAATCCAATAAGGAGATGTACAGTGAAAACTCTAATTTTGAAACGTAAATGAGGCTAAGAAGACTTAGGTTTTATGGACACATGCAAAGGATGACCGAGGAGAGGTTAAACAAGAAGTTTTTTAGTAGGGTTATAGGATACAAGTTTAACCATGGATATACAGTACAAATAAAACAGGAAATACAGAGGCTTGGGATAAAACGGGAATTATGTGAGGATAGGACAGAATACAAGAAATAACTGAAAAGTGCGGTGCATGTGGTGGACAGTAAGAAACTTCCTTCCAGGAGGAAGTGGACGGAGGCGAGGAAGAAAAAATTTAGCGATATCCTCAAGCAGAAATGGGCAGAAAGGAAGAAATTAAAAAAGAAACCAGTATCATAGTCGCGTAGTCCTTCAGGGCTGTTTCGCATCAAATAAATAATGCTATTTATTGAATATAGCCGAATGTTGATTAATAATATTTAAAGAAAACATCAAATCAACTTAAATTTATTTAAATTTTTCTTATCCCAAGACTAGGAGAATGCTATGTATTTTAAGGACCACATGTGGCATATATTCAATTATTTCAAATGAAAAAATATAGTCTATATCATAATTGGTGCCAGATGTCCGGTTACTTGAGGGAGAGTAAAGACCCCCTAGAGAGTACAACCTTTTAGTAGGGGCAATAAAACACTTAAGGACAGAGGTCGGCAAAAACGCCAAAGGACCGATACCAGTCTTACGTGGGAATGTTTAAAGAGGATTTGAAAGCTTGTCTAAGCAAGGAACAGAAAAAGCACCTTCGAGAAAGAGGAAACAGCATACCTGTTGGAAACGGCCTGGGGGTGTGGTCATCCCTTATGGTACAAAAATTGCAACCAATGAGAACCATTCTTGTCCCACCCTAGATATTTCGATAAAATCCACTGATATGCAAGGAGAAGAAGTCTTATGGCCTTATGTGACTGTTTGGCCTAGAGGAGAGGTCTTAGGTCACTGCCGTCCTTGAGGAGAGGTCTGATGTGGAGAGCCGGCTTGGAGGAGGAGAGTCTGATGTTGTTTTCTTCTAGCTGGGGGACTGAAGCCTTGGCCCTACATGAACCATGACCAGATGATCTCAATGTCGCAGATGCAGTGACGACATCTCCTAAATACACCACTTCACATACCATAATAGCTAAGTTGTAATTCCTAATCATAATGTTATAAAATATTTCATGGCAACATAAATTTCAAAACAGTCCATCTGAAAACATGCCTTCACAATTAAATTCAGCAATTCTTGTAAATATAATGTACATATATTTTTTATTAAATATAGAAATAAAATAAGTTTGTAAATAAAAGTTATTTTAATCATGCCACCTATTTATTTCATTATAATCACAGGTAATGTTCGCTAATTAGAAAGTATGATAAACACACACCAGCCTTTGTGAAAAGAAGTCCAATTAATTAATCATGGACCAAATAGGTTAAAGAACCAATTTTATTTTACTAATTTCTTATTGATTAATTCTTATTAAATAATTCTGGATAATTATCCAGTGGCATCCCTATAAAATCTAAAACCCCAAAAGGGAACATCTCAATGAATATATATATATATATATATATATATTATATATATATATATATATATATATATATATTACTAGGGTTATCTTATAAATCTAATTGAATATTGGTTTTCAACTAGGGCCTAACTAAATCAAAATATAGGCTTAACAGTTTTATGAGGAAGCATTTGTTTAACAAATATAATTAATTGCATAGTATTATTTATATTTGAGTATAACAGAATAGATGAAAAAATCATTTCTACTTTTGAGCCATGAAGGAATGGAACTAAAAATCTGTGGCAGAGATTCTTACTTAAGGTGGCCATTGAACATTAAAAGGGAACCAAGAACCACCTAAAGGTCCTACAGCTCAAAAACATGCTTACAATCATTGCAATATAATGACAATTATTTAAAAATAATTATATATTTTTATCAGGGTAATATATATGTGTTTCGGGTGATATCCGAAGATCTCAATATCGTATGATGGTAGATGTGGGTATGTAGTAAAGAGAAAAAGCCTAAGATGATCTAACTAGGATTCAATTGGAGGTATCCAAATTGAACAAACATTCAGATATTGCCAAGGATAAGGTTTTATGCAAAAAGAATGTAAGCTGTTGCGTGTGTGTTTATTGATTGAACTTATTTATTTATTTGAACTTATTGATTGAAAATATTTTCAAGATGCCGGGATAATTGTGAAGGTGAAATATTGTGATGAAGGTCATGAAATGAAGTTCGGCGGGAAGACGGAACGGAGATAGTTTGGTAAGAGTTGTAAGAAAAACGTATATATACTATATAAACGTATATATATATATATACTACGTATAGACGTAGGCAACACTTCAATTTATATTTATGTGAATTTTTTTGGTGGCGGGCTCGCAGAGAAGAGCATCCATTCCTCGCTATTTTAAATAGCATTAAGCTATTTTGTCTTCCAAAATAAATCAAATGAAAGTGTTTTGTTATTTATATTTCTTATTATTAAATTACAATATTATTATTATATTCATATTTCTTATTAATATATATATGTTTTAAAATAAAAGTGTTTTGTTATTATTACATTTGTTTTTGTGTTTTTGGATTTCATATGAAGATAGGGGTTATCAGTGCCTTAACACAATTATCAGTGTTCAGATTATAAACATTGGCACATAGCAGTCCATAGAGACCATGTCCTTCACAAGTACCTTGTTTTTTAATAAGAGACAGGTTGACTTGTAATTCAAAATATAGTAACAAAAGAATATATTAAAGCAATAAGTCTAATTAATTCCAAGAATTTAAACTTAATTCCTTAAAATATCTTGTTGTTGTTTGGATAAAATATTTTTGTTGAAATCTTGTTAATTTTATGGGTACAAATTCAATTAACCTCTCAATTGCTTTAGCTTCATGTTTTAAAAATACACCAATGAAATCAACTTGAAAAAGATTTTGCCAATTCTAAAAACAAGGTGATGTCATTTCTAAGCAATACGCCAGAGAGCAAAGAAACAATACGCAAAAGATCAGATCAGTCAAACTCGAAGACTTTAATTGTAATATTGGTTCATCTAGACTCATAAAATATCACTATGACAAGAGAAATACACTCAAGCTGTTCCAGTTATCAGGGTAATATTGTCATATATTCTCATTTATTTACAATTGACTGCTTCACTGATCCTGAACAAATTTTGTGAGTGGGTAACTTTTGACACTATAGGAAAACACTTGAAATTAGATAATTCACATTCTTTAGTATATTTAAGGATCTTTTAAGTCTTTTTACAAAACTTCTGGCTTTGAGAAGGCAAGAAAAGTTCGCTCCCTTTCCATGGTTTGTAAATTGGCTGACTTATCCATGATTTGAGGTAGGTTCTTTTAAGTTTGAGAGAGTGAAAAGTTTTATATACCTTGGGTCTGAAATTAATAGCAAGAATGACATGGCTCAAGAAATACAAAGAAGGATCACGGCTGCCAATAGATGTGTCTTTGGACTTGGCCGACACTTAAGAAGTAGGTACCTCTCAAAGAAGACCAAGCTGATCATATACAAGACCCTTGTTCGGCCTGTTTTGACATATGGCTCAGAGGCTTGGACGATGAATAAAAGGGATGAGATGAAGCTGAGTGTCTTTGAGCGAGGAGTCCTCAGAAGGATTTATGGTCCAGTAAAGGAGGGTGATGTCTGGAGGAAAAGAAAAAATAGGGAGCTCAGTTCTCTCTATGCAGACATCGACGTAGTCACGTATATTAAACTGGCCAGACTAAGGTGGGCAGGGCATGTGGCCAGAATGAGCACCCTTGAAATACTAAAAAAAATAATGATGGAGGAGCTGCACCTCGTAAGACGGGTAGGAAGGCCGAGGACGAGATGGTTGGACAACGTGGCCTATGATGCGAGAACCCTGCTTGGTGTGCGGAACTGGAGAGCTGCAGCAGAAGACAGAGCCAACTGGCGGAGGCTCTTGGAGGAGGCCCAGTCTCGGTAACGGGATGTTGTGCCATACATGATGATGATGATCCATGATTAGATATCGATTTAATATTGTAGAGAAGCTTAAAACAGGGCCATCCCTCTAAATATTGAATACAACCTCAACAACATAAGCTTTAATACCTATAATTTTATTTGAATTATTATTTCTATTTTTTAGGTATTCCTGGGGCTTCTGCGGTAGGTCTTGTACCTGTTAGAAATTTACAGATGTTTACTCAAATATGGAAAGCAAAGATGTGTCCTTTGCCATCATCAGCATCAATTTCTTCACAGTTTCATCGTTTACTTCAAGTATTATGAATAAAGTTTTCTTCTAATAAATTGGTACAGTGTTATTATTTTATTATTTATTGTTCTTTTTGTTCTTGGTAAGGGTGTTTATTTTAAACTGCGAGGCATGACTCCATGTGCCCTAGCGAACTTGAAAGTTAAAGTAGATCTTCCTCAACCTGATGATCTACAGATATCTGTTGTTGGTCGGTATTATCCTTAATTATTATTTAAAGTATAACCTTGTTTTTTCTTTAAAAAAAAAAAAAAAAGCTTTATTGACTGATCAGATGTATATAACCAGTTTATTGCAAAAAGTCACTAAATATATTTTTGATGGAGCTGAACTTTTAAGGATGTTTTTGTGAATTTTTACTTTACTTATTGATTAAAAAAAATATATACTTAGTGCACTAAAATGACACAAAACCTGTTGTATAACAAATATAGATTGTAACCAAATAATGTACTGATTTCACAAAGGAAAAATGCATCTAAGTTCTTAGTGATTTGAGACTATGAAATGTCGTCACTTAATGACTTTTGCTGTATTATTTCCATATCCATTTGATTTTTTAAAGCAGATAAGCATTAAAAAATATTTTTTATATTTGTATTTTACCTTCTTCTTGATTATCAATGTACTTAAAACAAACTTGTATTAGTTTCTTATGCATTAATGGAGATTAGAATAACTTTTACCTGATATAACTTGGTAACTTACATGTTTATTTTTAGGAATGGCTGTTGGCTTAGCTGAGATTGAGAAACATTTGAATAATTGCAACTCGAATATTGATGGTATAAATAAATCTCAATTATATATTCTCTCACTCCCCTGTGAATTTTTTGTTGATATTCTGTTTTTATTCAGGTATTGAGTTGAAAATGAGCAGAGTAGATGAGGAATCTGCAAAGAATACTCCTACAAACCGACCATCGAGAAAGTCTATTCATGTAAGTATCTTGTGTCTGTGTGCTTTGAAACTTTAGCTATCATTTATATTTTCAGCCTAAAATAATACCACAAAAATCTGTCATATCTTTGTTCTTATGTTACCTGCTGCTATTACAAAGGGCGATATAGGAATGTTAATGCAGAGTGCTGTATCACCTTTGCAATTTATAGAACTATAGATCTGTAAAATTTTAAATGTTCTGTTGATTTGAAATAAATTGAAAGCCCAACAAGCAAATTTTTCACTTAATTGTATATAGTTCAAACGCCTTTGAAAGCCCGACAAGCAAATTTTTTATTTAATTGTATATAGTTCATAATACCTTGCACAGCTATGTTGAGCCTTAAAGCCTTGTATATTGACCTAAATGTAATCATGTAATTATTTTTATTATTATAACTTTCATGAACAATTGTTGCAGCTCCATTAGTAGTCCCGACGATGGCCTAAACAATTTGGTGATAAAACAAATGTTTTTTTTTCTTTACAAAATTAACTTCTTGATTATTTCCCTTAAGGTTGAAACTTTTCATCTTCTAATTAAAAAATATAGTAGTGGTTCACAAGAGATCCGCGTGGTTCACAAGAGATCCGCGTGGTTCACAATCACTTCGGTCACACTTGTTCATGGAATTCTGAAAACAGCCGAATGTTGAAGTCAGCTTTTGCCCCCAACTCCTTTCTATGCATTTATGAAACACTTCCTTATTAACAATTTATTTATGCATTATGTATTTGCTAATTTTTTAATTGTTAATTTTTATTAGAACAATAATTAATCTTGAAGAAAAATAAAGAAAATATGTAAAAGGTGTTTCGAGTCACCCTTCAAGGACAGTTAAAAAAAAAATGATTTTAGGAATAAAATTTTTATTGACACTTGCTTACATGTAGTTGCTATAAATACGCATATACAACTCTCCATGAACAAGTGTGACCGAAGTGATTGTAACCCACGCGTTATCCATGTGGAACTCATGTGAACTAGTACCAAAAATATTATTTGTTTTCATTGAAAGTTATCCATAAAACATACAATTATATTATCACTTGTCTTGTAGCTCTCCAACAGGAAATCCTATTCTTGTTAGAGTTAGAAGGATAATAATGTTTATGTATATGTGTAGTATGAAAATAATTTCTTGTAAGTAGGAACTTGAGTTATAAATTTGTTGGTAATAATTTTCTTATCTTTAACATTACAGACACCACCCAGAGAGCAAAGGTATGGAGTTGATGTTACACCTTTGTGCTATGTGCCTGGTGCCCGTATTAGTAATTACTTGGGAAATCTAAATTTTTTCTTCATAAGAGAAAGTTCTTGTATACGTGAATCTGGAGGATTAAGCTCTTTTGTCCATGGCTTTGTAGCTGAAGTTCTTGCAATAGTTCGAGCCCACGTTACTGCTATTGGAGGAAATGCTCTAATTTCTTATACAATGTCAGAATGTTACCTAATGAATAATACTCATAAAAATCAAGTATGTTTGTTACAATTTGAAAAAAAAAAAGTAGTCTTGTTCGAAAATAAATTACTTATCTTCTTTCTTGTTACAGGCACAGTGTTTAATAAATGTTGGAGGAGATGCAGTTTTTGTCAAGTATACTGAGTGTAATGTGTAATAAGACTGGGTTCTTATCATGAACTGTACTAATTTTATTTGTTGTTATAAAATATTTATTTCAGTAAAATTACATTTTTGTTTATTTAGTGCCACAAGCCTTAAAATTTTAACAACTTCAATTTTTAGTATATATATTTTTTATTATAATATTAAACTTAAACAGATTGAACAAGTAGAGCTGTATTAGCATATTGAAATTCATTGGACATTGCATAATCCGCCATATCAAGTGCAACATCACAGCTTTCTCGTACCACTCTACTTTCATCATTCAAAAATACCCGAAGGATATTAAAACATTCTTCATTAGCAATAGATCCTAGTGCTTCAGCACATTCATGTCTCACCATTTCATTCTGTGATAAATCTTCTAAGGCCTTAATTAAGTGTGGTATGCTTATTTCATTCTGTAACTGACCCAAAACAAAAGCTATTTCATGGCGGAATAGCGCACCTCCTACAAATAATCCTTAAAAAAAGAAAACAAATTGTTAGTTTTCAGAAGAATAATTATTTAATTAACTATCTTTTATAATTGATATATTTATACTACTTTACACTGACCCAACAAGTATTAACTCTACTAATGATATGAAATCTTAATAACAATTATAAAATTTGAATAAAAATTAGGAGAATCTTTTAAGCAACTAAATTTTAATGAAATAATTGAAAAAGTAACTCAATTTATTAAAAAGATGCCAAAAGAAAAAATACACCATTATCACTCTATTGAAATAAATTATAATGAATAAATGCTCTTAGGTATCGGTCCAGGGATCAAAACCTTGTTTCCATCTTAAACCATAATTTTCTAATAAAATTTACAAAATAGTCATATTACCTTCACATAAAGCTAAGATGCTCTCTGGTGAATTAATATCCCTCAAGGCAAACATAGCTTTGTACCTATCAAACAAATCAATTTCATCATTCAATAAAATTTCTTTCAGAGATTTCACATCTGACAAATCTAATGATGGAGTTGGATCAACAGTGTTGTAAACAGATTTTTTTCTATCATTATTTTTGGAGAACCATTCAATTCTTTGAATTGCTAACTGGCATGTTTCAGAAACTTCAGGAGCAGGATCATCAATAAATCTCTTAAGAATAGGCAATGAATTTTCGTTGCAAATAGCTCCTATGGCTTCACCTAAAAAAATATACTTTGCATATAAATAAAATATTTATAATATGATTTTTCTTAGAATAATAATAGAATGTATAAAAAAATGATCGTTTTTCAACCAAATATTTATATTATTTCTTTGATATAAAACACAATTAATACTCAAAGTATAGTCCATTGTTATCTATAGTCATTAGCCATCTGCTAGCCTATTGCTCGATCCTCTGCTGATACCATTCTTTGAGATGGCTGTCAAAGAACTCTTGGACCTCAACTTCAACTTCTGCAAAATTGTCAATTTTTATCCCTTGAAGAAAATGGGCCATGAATCTAAATAAATATTAATCCGATGGTGCAAGGTCTGGACTATATGGGAGATAAGGCAGGAGTTTGAACCCATGAAGTTCTTTTCTTAGGTTGGATGGAAAGTGTGAGGACAAGCATTATCTTGTTGGAATAAAATTCCTTTTCAGTTGATTATAAAAGGATAACGCTCTGACAATTTCGTTTACAATCTTTTCAGTTGTTCACAGTTGAGTTCAGAATTCATAGAGCTTCCATCAGGAAAAAATTTGTGATGAATAACACCTTCAAAATGGAAAAAAACGCAAAGGTTGGATTTTTTTTTCAAATTGCCCCCTTGCAGCAATCGGAAAAGCAGTTTGACCATCTACTTAAAATTTATCTCAATTGAAATCTTTAAAGTAAATTATTTATTAATGCACAGTATTGAAAACAAAGTAAACTTTTATTATGAACACTGATCTAGAGGAAATGACATCATGCCTGCTATAGATAAGACTAAAATTGTATGGACTCGCAACTATGAATTGGAAACTATAGAGATTCAAAATTAATCTTGCCATCAATTGTTCATAAATACATGGCTTTAAAGCCTTACAATTGGAAACATGCTTCAGAACCACAATTTTAAATTTTGGTTGCATTTATAAACACAGTTTCAGGAAGATGATTTTTAATATATTCCTAATACAATCTAAACTATTTTCCTCCCTCATATAGCTATCTTACTCCTTCATATCTAATTTAAAAAAAAAAACATCTTTACTCCACTATTCTATACTGATAGTCATCATTTTTTTTTTTTTTATTTGAATGAAATTTACAACTGTGTTACATTAAAAATACAACAAGTAAACGTGACATTGGTAACATGACATGTACAACATGAAGAGAAACTACCCATTGGTAGAACTCAAATGATAGTCATCTCTATTGAATTTTACTAAAATATAAAAAATTAGTACTCTTCCTTCTAAAGGATTCATTTCAGTTACTGACAGTTCTTTGTAAAGATTCTTTTTATCCATTTCTTTTATACGGGATGAATGGGCAAAATTGAAAACAGAATAATTCCCGTATAGCCATAGAACAGTTTGGTATCATTCACATATCTTTTCACCTCAGTAGACAAGGATTCTTTCAAATATTTCCCTGATAAAAAAAAGAGCAAAATGGAATGCACTTGTAGATACTGTAAGCTTCATCAGGAGTCAATGGAGAAAATAATAACGAAATGAGCACAAAAATAATGAAAACAAATAATACTTGAATTTAATCATAGATTTAAATAAATTATAGTTTCTATTAAAGAATTATGGTACTACTTTATAAATGTTACTCCACTTTTATAGGTGGATCTAATAATGATAACACTATAAATTTATTGAACACCAAAACCTTACTATCCTCATCCTTCTAGATTTTTCCAAAGCTTTTGACAAAGTTCACCATAGCACGCTCCTTACTACCTTGCACAATCTTCTTCTATCCAATAGTACCCTGCATTGGTTCAAATCCTTCCTTTCAGACTGATCCCAGTATGTAGTTGTTTCAGGTTGACACTTCTCTCCTGTGGTTTCCCCCATAGTTTCTCTCTATCCCCTACTCTGTTTGCTATTTAATTTAATGACTTTCTCCTCTTAATCCATCAATCCTAATACCATATCTATGCAGACTATTTCCAAATATGCCTGTCTTCCCATCTTCTGACCAATTACCATTCAAAAAAAAAAACTTCACTAAGATTTAGATAGAATTTGTGACGGCAGGAGTTAACAAGTTGAAGTTAAATGCAAAGGCAATCCTAGTTTGCTCCAATCACCTTCTTAAAACTGTTCCTATTATTCCAACCCTGTTCCTATATGATAATCCCATAAAATTTAATGCTACCATTAAGAATCTAGGAATAACCTTTGATCAAACCCTTTCCTGGAAAAATTATTTATCCAATGTCTCCTGCCATACCTTTTCTACGTTAAAACATCTAAATTACCTACACCACCTATTTTCATTTGAAACTGTAGGCTCCTAGACACGTCCTTAATATTTCTCCAATTTGACTATTGCTGTAAGGTATATGGGGGCATCTCTGGAGATATCGAAGTGAAACTAAAATGTTAGATAAATTGCTTTGAATATTCATCTTTGAAATTCCAAGAAACACCTCTGTTTCCCATTTTTATAAAGAATTGAAGTGGCTTTATCCTGCCTACAGTTGTATTTTCTGGCATCCTTCATCTTCCAATTCATCCAATGCACATTTATTATAGACCACATAACCAATTTTTATAGTACATTGAAGTTTAACAACCACACCATTTAGATTTACTTTATTTAGTGGTGCAAAATATATGGAAAAAAGCTCCTCCAACACATTGGAAAATGAAACATGATAAAACTATTGAAATTAGCAAATACCTTTAGCTGGTAAATATCGAAATCAACATAGAAAAAATAAATGATTACTTTAGTTTTGTTTAGTTTACATTTAAAACAATACACTATATTCAGGAAATTGTTTGTTTCTGCCTAAATGCATACAACCTTCTGCTCTAATAAAAGGGATTTTGTCTTAAGGCCCGTTTTCACTTTTTCTTGGAGAGTGAACTAGATTGATCCGTCAGATTTCGTTCGGTATTAAAGCTCAGGTAGAGTCGAATAATAAATATATTTATACATATGGATTACAATATCTCAGGACCACTATAAATCGGGTCTGCATACTGTAGGCGAAGAAATTGTTCAGTATTGTATCCTCTCTTTAATAGGCTATAATTTAAAATTGTATCTTAACGCGGCGCCGTTTTATCTTCTTCAGCCGTTCAGCGTTTTATCTTCTTTGTAATGAGCTATTATTTATGGTTTATATTTCATATTATTAATCTCGCATTGTTAATGTTATCACTTACATCGTGTGGTGTATAGCACACACCTTAGTTTTTAAAATTAAGGAGATTACTTTTCAAATATACTCCAGTCACTCAAAAATATCTATTGTAAATACAGTAGAGCAACTCGGATGTAAAAAAGAAATACCTGCTTCATGTCTCACCATAGGATGTTCTTCAAGATTAGATAAAATTCCATACAAAACTGGCAAAGCTTCAGGATCTTGCATTTGTCCCAAACAGTATGCTAGTTCATGTTTAAGAAGTGCTGAAGAGTCTTGAAAGCAATCAGAAATTGCTTCTAAGGCACTATGTCCTCCAATGTTTTTTAAAGTGAACAAGGCCCTAAATCTTTCCTTCAAAGGCCTTTCAGGATCATTTAGAACCTTTCCAATCGCTTTCACTTTGTCTGCTAAATGAGTCATATTGAAAAATGTTCTTAGTCGTTAAATCAACATTACTTGGAATACACAAAGGTTCAACCAAGGTTACCATTCTACGAAACATGTTTAGAGTAAACCATTGTCAGCCAACGAGGATATATTTTAAAACCAAGAACTCTGCGCCTACAGTTCTACTGAAATAGAATGAAATTTGGTTCTCAAATAGGACTTCAATTCTTCAAAAGTTACCTAAAAGATCTCAGATTTTCTAAGAATATAATATTGTTAACAAACAACATTGATCAATTCAACAAGAAAATTATCTAGAAGTTGTCAATTTCTCACTCAACGCTAGAAAGTTGAGATTATGTAGGAACTTTACGAAATTAATTTTTGGTTATACAAATTACGAACCTTAGAACAAAAGTAATATCCGAATGATAATGTTCTAAGGAGAACACTGAACAACAACGAAGGACCGTAGAACATTAGAAAAGCAGTACAACAGATCTTTTGTAGACTTGTAGTACGGGTTTTCTCTTCAATCACAAACTGAATAAATCATTATCTGCGAGAATAATTTTCTCTGAGAGTCCAGTTTTCTTCAGAACTTTGGTTCTCAGTGCCTTCAAGGAGGTGCAGTCCGTTATACGTTCATACATCTCCTGAGCTCCGGTATTTGGATACAGAGGTTCTATATCCTTCACTAAACTATACTGTTTACCACGGAAACATTTAGATCAATTTCACTACACAACCTTGAGCAACCTGCTATAAGAAATTCGAAGTTAAATAATGAATTATCCGACGGAAATAATGAAAACCTCTAGTGAAGGGTAACACTTTACAAATTATTTCCCACCAATGGCCTTTTTTGTTCTAAGGCCGAGCGACTATTCAAAGTGTTCTCAAATTCGAAAGCCGTTTACTCCAAACCGGCGAGTTTTGCCAAAATATTATTCAGGACACTTTTTATGTAAATAAATAAATAAATAATTTCATTTATTGAGAAAAACTGATAAGGAGTGTCAAAAGTAGAGTTGGAAGGGGAGGTTTTCGCAAATTGGAGTTCCCAAGTTTCATCCATCAGAGAGGTGAGAGCTCTTTTGACTCTTATTTTTGACCCTAAAAAGAAAACCTCGTGTGACGAACAAAACTTTATAAATCATTTTCCATAAATGTTCCTTTGTGGTTCTAAGATCGTGGGATTATAAGGAGAAAATACAATAACTGAGTCACGAAAGTACAAAGTACAGTTATATCACAAATTACTCATTACTTTTGTTAAGGTTTCATGTGTGTAATTAACAATAATGATGTACATTTTAGTGAGTTTACATTTTAAATATAAAGTGAGTTGTGTTAAAAAATTAGATTTCAGAAGTTCGAACTTACATATACAGTGGATCAAAAAAGTATTGGCACACCTGACTATTTTCGGGTTTCATTGTATAAGAACTTGAAATTGATTTGCTAAACATTTTTATTTTATAAAATATTCAAAAAAATACATAATCGGAGTAAAAAAAATCCTTTTTTATTAGGAGTTTCCACTAATAGTGGGTTTTCTTAACCTAGAGTGCTTGGATGATTTTCTTGGTCTTCCTCATCTTCTTCTTTCCCTAGTTTTCCATAAGTGGACTTCTTTGGGTAGTCTTTCTTCAGGCATTCTTTTCAAATGTCCATACCTATTCAGGCGTTTTTTCTCAACCTCTTTCAGAATGGATCTTTTAGCCTCCATCTTAATTAATAATAATAATTCAAAAATTCAGTAAACGAAAAATCACTTCAACACGGTAAAAATGTGTTGGTACACAAAGTAAGCATTTTAATTTAACTTTATTTCACGAACTATCTATTGATTAATACCATTGACATCTATGATACCATGGAATCTTCTTGGTATCGACAAAACAAAATTTTGAGTTACGTCTTGTTCAATTTCTACTCGTCTGACAAAGTTTTTTTTAAATTATTTTTATAGACATTTTATTTTTCATACTTTCAAATCCAACAGGTACAAGATGTATTCTATGGAATTTGTGTCTGGAGGCAGTGGTGGCGTTTTTAATTGGCTGGGGACATTGCACTGCATACATTCTTTTGTTTTATTTGGTGTGTGCTTGGCGTCATTGTCCTGTTGAAAGATGAATGTATCTTTAATCCTCAGATTTTCGGCTCTACTTGTTAGATTATGTCGCAAAATCTCGACATATTGTTGGGCATTCATAATTTTGTCAATAAAGGTTGTTTCCAATGTCATTCCATGACATGCCATCCCAAACCTAGACACTTCCACCTCAGTGATTTACAGGAGACCTCACATGTTCAATTTGAAACTCAGTGTCAAGATTGCGTCAAACGAACTTGTGGCCATTATAATGGAGTATGTTAAACTTACTTTCATCTGAAAAGATCATATTTTTCTACAATTCTAAATCTTTATTAAATTAACTTTTGGCAAATTCATGTCTTTTTTTGCGGTTGACCTGTGTAATAAAAGTTTTTTCCTTTGGGATCTGTCACAATAATAATATTTATGAACTACATTTCTAACAGAAGCTGTTAATTGAAGTAAATGCAACATCTTCTTCTATCTCGGCAGTTGATAATGTGTCAGTTTGTTCAAAAATATGATGAATATACCTTTGTGCTCTCTCATTACATTTTGACAGCCGCTCTGAACGGGGTATGTTTAAAACATTCTTAACTTTTGTGCAATATTTTGAACACTACTAAAACCAATTTCTAATTTATTCGCTATTTGTCGGTAGCTAAGCCCATTAGAATGTAATTTAATAATGTGTTTTTTTAAACTGGTGAAATATTCACTGGTTTTACACATTTTGTTATGGAAAATATACAGAAAAGCCTGATTTTTATTGAACAACTATCAATCCTCGTTTCTAATTTCTTGAAAGAAAAAGTATTAATTTGGTTTGACTGTAGCTAATTGTAAATATTTAAAACTGTGCCAATACTTTGTTAGCCCTCAAAATTTACTCTTCATGTTTACTTTAAACGTAGCTTTTGAATCCTGAAAATTCATTACTTCTAAAATATAATTCTCAAAGGCTACTTTGTTTTATAAATATTGTTTCTGGAAAATATATTAATTTTATTGAGATTTACAGAAAAATTGGAACGCACCCATATCTTTTTGATCCACTGTAGGCATTTTCAACACCCTATAGATCTACCTACTTCAAAATCAAAATACATACCTCTATGCTATATTTGTTTGTTTGATGTTTATAACCTGTTGAAGAATATAAAAAGGACAAGAATAATAGTGGATGTTAAGGTGTGATTTTTTTAAGTGTTTATAAATAATAGACTTAAAAGCAATCAAAAAATATTATGTCATTTGATCTTCATAACTGTTTATACGTGAAAACGTAGCTTAATACCGATAAGTATTTGTGTCAAGTGCATAATACATACTTATTATTAGTAATTACAAAGTATCATTTGTAAATGAGCTAAATATAAACCTTTACTATATGACTTTAGCAAGTTATGAATAATTTGGTGATGTTATAAAAGGTAATTCACCTTGCATTAACTTTATTTTCCTGTTACTCATCTTGTAAGGTTTTATTATATATTTTTTAATATGTTGTATAATATTGATTTTTAAAAATTCTTAATATCACCATAAAATATACTGTATACCAGTCTATGTTTAACTGTTTGAAGAGTGTTAAAAATAATCATCTGACTCATTACATATTCAAGTAAGCAGAGGACCAGTTATTCGAAACTTTCTTATTTTAGGTTTGATTCAAGCAGAAATTAGTATATCATTAAAAAGTTTACAGTAGACAGTCTCATGCGACATTTATTTTCAGCCATTTGGTTTCTCAACGGTTAAACTCCAGTCAGTTTTCAATCTGTCTTGTGCAAGCAGAGACACTTTTGTGTTATCAATAAAACATTGATAACCCTAAAATATGAATAAAGTTCTAGCTCTCTGGTTTTTAATCTTAAAAAAATAGCTGGGATTAGGTCAAGTACAAATGGGATATTAAGGTCATTACGTAGGGCTTTATTGGTTACATAAAAGGGAGCATTGGCTATTGTTTGACGAACTTTAGACTGGAAGGATTGAATGCGTTTTATGTTAGAAAGTTTTGCTGTCCCCCACAGTTCGAGTCTGTAGGTCCAGATAGGTTTCAGGATTGTCTTATAGAATAATAGCTTGTTCTCAACTGAAAGTTGAGATTTTCTATTCCACCCCAATAATGAATATTGTGTGCTCATAGGATTTCTTAATATTTTCCATCGTAATTTTACAAAGCAGTAATTAATTTTTCATTATTGACATGCACATTCATTTTATTGGAAATGAAATTTTTAATGTAGGTGTTAATATCCACACATTTCATGCTTCCTATCCTTAATTTTACGAAATCTAAAGAAGATAAAATTTCCAAGGATACCGTTTTTCTTCTTTCTCTTATACCGATCTGTTTTGATACTTCGTGTGGATAGGTAGCTCAATACATAACTATACCTGCATATATTTTTCTTTCATACTCATGTTCTTTGAACCAGGTCTTGGTGTGATAAGTTAGTTCTAGGATATAAGATTGTTGGTTAACAGTAACGTCTTTAGAACTTACAGGAAATGTATACATTATATCTTTTGTATTGACATCTATTAATTGATTGTTAATTTTTAGAATATTGGATTTCATAGTTGAATATTATTATATATTTTAATGAAGATGCAAAGGGAAGAAAAACAGCTAGAAACAGCATTGGATGCTATTTTATTAAGAGTAAATGATTTGAAAAATTCGATCGGTTCTATGATTTTTAAACTTGAAAATGAGAGTGAAAATTTAAATTGGCCAAATTTACTAGATAATTTTGCTTTACTTTCAAGTCAGGTATCTTTTTTTTTTTTTTTTCATTATGTTTCATTTTTATTTCTAGTGATGCAATATTTAATAAATGAATAAATTAAAATTTTAGCTAGTCTCTCTTTCAAAAATGCTTGGTCATGATAAATATCCTTTATTAAGAACATTAGCCATTATTCCACTTGAGCTAAGTCCTGAACGTGATGAACAATTATTAAGACTCACAGAAGGCAGGGTTGCAATTTTTTCCCATGATCTAGCTCCTGATTATCTTCGTACAAAGCCAGTTCCAGAAGTAGAACAGAAAATGATACAACTTGAACATAAGGCATCTAATTTGTCTTTTGAGACAGTTCAGGTATGTATTTTTTTTATATAAATATTAAAGAAGATGGGGAGATATTTGTTTTAAGTGTATGCTGCTACTAATTGATGGAAGTTAATGAAATACTTTTTTATGTCTTAATGACATTATATTAGGAAAGATGATTAAGTTATTTTGGTTATTCCTTGGCTAACTAAGATATTTTCTTGTCTTTAGAAGCAAATGACAGCTTACAGTAAAGTTGTGGGACATGTTTGGGAAATAGTCTCTAAAGCAAGAGAAGAGTGGGAAACAGAAGGAAGTGGGAGATCAGGTTCTGCGATAACTTCTTCATTAGCGGATACCAATACATTAGTCGCTGCAGTTGCTATGGGCAAAGGATTGAAGGTATGTGATGTAAGTTGACTTTTTTTATTATGAACTAAACTAATTTAAAGTATTTTACATATATAATTTTGGTATTATTCTAAAATATAGTTGTTATTTACTAGAAAATTATTTCTTCTGTACTTTTCATTTAATTTGGGTTTAACAAAATATTATATTGGGTTGGAACATGTGAGTCGCTGATTTTCAAAATGATCCCTAGTCGATTGTTATTGAAATTTAGTGCAATTCTAAAACGGACCTGAGTACTAAAAAAAATTGTGTGAAAATAAGTTTATTTCCATAATGGGCCTTTATTATTATTATTTTTTTTTTTGCCTGTATTTCATACTCTAACAATAATATATATGGTTGACTATATATGAAGTAGAATGTCCAGTCAAACTAGAACTTTAAAAAAAAAAAAAAAAAATGATTTCTTAGAGCTTGATTTGACAATATGAAAAAAATGTTTTTATATCTTTTCAAACTTTAATTTTGTATAATATTTTTAGGGAATGGGACAAGGACAATTACCTCCTAACATGATGGGGCCTTCTGGTAGGCCAGTTGGTGGCGGACAGCTACCCTCCAACCAGCTTCAACAACAAAGTATAGTTTTTGTCAATTTATGTCTTTTAATATCTCTTATTTTTCTAACTAATTTAAAATGAATATATTTGTTGTATTTAATTACTGTTAGAATATAAGATATGTTTATAATCATAATTTATTTTTTATTTTTTTTAGTGGGATCAATGGGAAAAGTTCCAAGTGGTATTAAAACTAACATAAAATCAGCAAACCAGATGCACCCATATAGTCGATGATTTTTACAATTTTCAAAAATAAATTTTTTATTAATATTTGAAAAAAATGTTGTAATTATTATAAATTTAAAAGTTATATAATTAAATCTGTAATTATTTATATTGTTATGTACATGAAACTCAAAAAATATTTTCCTTAGAACTACATGTCTACAATTTTGAAACATTTTTGTAAACATGCAATGCATAAATCTTGTTTTGTTGGCTAATTTATTGTTCATTACATCACATATTTTTATTTTTTATGTAGTCAAACCTAGACGTAATAATAATAACAAAAAAGGATGACACTTCAGTAAAGTAACAAAACACGTAACTATAGATTTTGTTTTATTATTCTTCAATCAATCAAGAAAAAAAAATTAAGTCCCTCAAAATTTGAGAATTTTTATTCCAAGCTGTGTAGAATCATAAATCAATTTTAATTTGATTTATGATTCTACACATGAGCCTATTATTCATTCATGATTCATATTAGCTCAGTAGGCCAATTATTTTAAGATTTGGCATGAAAATCAGAAGTTACTTAAGTGTGATCTTCAGAACTCGACATCACCATCTTCCATTTTGTTGGATGGAGGTCAATCAGAAAATTTATATAACCATATTTCATCTAATCCTAAAGATAAAGCAAAATCTTAAAGTTTTTTGTAGATTCCTTATACCAAAGTCCTTCGGGAAAATAAACAACCGTTGTTAAAACAATTCGTTGAGGATATAAGGCTATGTTTATGCCACGAAAATCTCTTGAATCAGTGGACTGATTTTGTTGGATCTTTTTGGTTTTACACTGTGCTGACCTTAGAGCCGGACAACCGGAGCTAATGCCCGGGATGCTAATTATCAGGGGTGGCCGCCACTTTTTAAGAATCTAAAAAATATATATACAAAATGTATTAAAATAATTAATATTAGTCTATTAATAAAGCGACTGTATTAGAGAAATATTGATGAAATACATAGTATAAAACAGCTTAAGAAATAAATTTAATTTTTTATTAAATGAGTCCTCCTTAAAACCCCTTAAATTTATATGTATATATATATATATATATATATATATATATATATATATGATTAGTAGTGCATTTAAATGAGTACTGTAAAAAAACGTAAAACCCTGTAGAAATTAAATAAAGTCAGTATTATCAAAGCATCCTTGTTCATTCTCCATTCTTTCTTTTTTAAACTTTTGTTAGCCTAAGCATTTTAACTAATGCCAGAACCCGGGATAGGATAAAAAGGAATTTTTCCAAACTCATGGTTTTAAGACTCAAGTCATTTAGACAATGTGGTCTGTCAACTTCAAGCAGTTGGCACTTTACAAGAAGGTTTGAAGGTTTACGTTCCACCACCTGTCCTAATGTTTCTATAAGTTTTTCTGAGATGGTCGTGATTGGATGCAACATGGTCTCTGTGAAATTGTAGTCAGTGGTATTGTACTAGTGGTTTTTAATCTGATTGTCTATATTTTGTTTTTTATGTACTGTTTCTGAATGCATCATTCATAAAGGTTTGATATAAACTAATATATGAGCCTTTTAGTTGACAAACCCCAATTTCAACATTTTTTATTGTTAATCTTAGTGATATTTCTAGTGAGAAAATTTATATATTCGCAGTTTACATCCTTTATTCACAGTTCTATATTTCAACATTGCAATCTCTTACTTTGGAATCAACTTACTGTCTGTATTGATGTTATAAATTTTTCAACTAGAAATATCAGTTTATTGATTTTACTCAAAAATGTTAAAATTGGAGTAGGTCATTCTTTCCACTGAAAGGCTCATATCATAGTTACTACCTGACAAAATTAGCTTAAACTTGTTTTTATGTGTTACAAGTGTCAGTGCAATGGCCTTGCAACCCGGGCAATTGCCCTGGGACCCAGGTTATTAAGGGCCCTCGTCACTTGTTAAGAATTTAAAATATACAATATATATATAACGTTTTAAAACAATCAATTTTAACCTATTAATAAAACAACTGTATAAGAGAAATAAAATTCAAATATTACATAATATAAATTAGCATGAGAAATAATTGTGGGTTGATGGTTGACTGTTGTGAAAAATTGAAGAGAAGTATGGTTGGGGTTCTTTATTATTCAATGTTTATAGTTTCTTGTACCTATTGTTATCTGGTTCTTTTTTTAGTCGTGATGAAGGTCTGAAATTCTGGCCGAAACGTCGGCAAAAATAAATATAATTATTTATTTTTTATTGTGACTGATCACCCCAAGCATGAAAAAAATTTTTTTCCTTTGAATTACAGCCATCCACAATCAGTAGATGAGCTGGCATAATCATGAGAATAAAATAAAACATATATATATATATATATATTATTATATTAAAATATATATATATATATATATATATATATATATATATATATATATATATATATATATATATATATATATATATAGCAATACCCAGTGGCATCCCTTCTATGGATTTTACTTACTTACAAAATTATGTAAGTAGGTCTCTTATCCAGACTCTTTTTAGTCATCTTTGAGGTTCTCAACATGATAGTAGTGACCATTTCTTAAATTAGGTGGTAGGAGTGTCCATGTAACTTATGAAATCGTTTGTAGCAAGTTCTTATGTGTTCATTGATCCTTGGCATATGTAAGTCAGTGTGTAAAGTGTCCTTATTCAGGTATCAGAGTGCTTAGATAACTAGTCTTAGTACCTTAGATGAAGACCTTAGTGTGAACTGTAGTTGTATGTCTAAATTATTAAGTACACAAGTATCATATTAATGAAGTATATATGTGGTTTAAAAACAGAGGAAGGATGGTTAGCAAAGAGTTCAGATCTTTCCTCCTCCGAAACAGCCCAAGAACCATCCTTTCTTCCTAGAGGTGCTGACAATGCTTTAAAATATTCTTTGTTTGTCTTCACAAACTTCCATCCTCCTCCGAAAGATTGTTGAATATGTCGTTTAAGTCACAAGCGGATTTATGGGTACCAAAACGGTAAAATATAACCATGTTTTATAGAAAAAACTATTGAAAACTATCTCTTAAAGTACTATTGTTCGTATAACTACACTTAATAGGGCTTCAAGAATCACTTAAACATCATTTCATATAGGTAATTCATTTCTTTCTTTTTTTTTTTCAAATTAATTATCGTTATACATATTAAAAAAAAATTGTCAGGCTAAAGCCCCCCCCCAAATTAAATCCTGGATTCGCTAGTGGTTTAAGTTCACTGTTTAGTCTGTTAAAAGTTTGTCTATCTGAAGGAAGTTTATTAGTCTGCCATACTTTACGAGCTCTTCTCTTTGCTCTGATGAAGTCCCTTATATACCTAGGATAATGGGGCAAGCTCACTGCTCTTTGTGGCCTAGATGTTGATGAGGCCCGTGTAGCATCTTGTATACGTTTTGTGAATATTTCGACAGCTTCTTCTAGTTTCCCTTGATTTTTAATCGAACCTGGAACAGAAAGATTATTGGTCAAATACACTCTATATAAATTCTAGTCAATGCAACCTTTTATGAGCTTAGTTCTCTCTTGTGCTTCAGAATGCGCATCAAAGAGAACCATGTGCACTGAGGAGTGATCAGAGTAGAGAAATAAATTTATTATTTTTTAGGGAGGAGGTGATGTCATTGCTTAGGGGCACCAAATGTTTAAGGCTGGCTCGGCGTATTGCTAGAACAAAATTAACTTATGTTTTAAATTTGTTTATCTATAACTGTGTCTTGCAGGCCGCAAAATATGTTTTATAACAATAGTTTAATTCCAATGGTCAGAGAAGGAATTTCATCCAGCAGTAGAGTGTATGAGTCAGGGTTTTCAATCAAAAATGACCGGATGCAAAGTTATAAATAGTGTGGTGGTAAAGAGCTCCCGAGTTCTAGGTAGATGGGAAGAGCACTACACAGAATTGCTCAACTCCAATAATCCGTGGTACAGACCTCTTTTTATCAAATTATTAACATCCTCCTGAAAATTCGTAAATAGCTTCATCTCATCGTAACTTGCAAATATTTTATTTACGAAAATTCTCGGAATCGGGGCGTTTTCAATCTGGAGGTCGGCAAACTTTGTCTATTTAATTAGGTACTAAAAACTCATAAATACCTATTTATTTTCGACGTGGGTCGAAAGATAGTTTAATCACAAAATCCATAAAAATAGTGGCCTAAAAAAATATTGGGCCGTTTGGCCTATATAATCTCGTGATTTTGACACGGGTGGGGTAGGTCACCTCAAGCAGCTTAGTATTTCAGAAGGGCACCTTTTTCTCTGCTTTGTGCTCAAATTACCTTACGATTCAAGTAGAAAGCAAATAGGTATTTACTAGTTTTTATTACCTAATTAAATAGACAGACTTTCCTGACCTCCAAATTGAAAACTCTCCAATCCCGAGAATTTTCGTAAATAAAATATTTGTAAGTTCCGATGAGATGAAGTTGCTATTTACGAATTTTCAGGAGGATGTTAATAATTTGATAAAATGAGGTCTGTACCACGGTATATAATGGTAAAGAATGTATGGCTGGCAGTGATGAAGATGGGTGTGTTGATGATCTGGAGCCATTGTCAATAGAAGAGGTGGCTGAGGCGATTGAAAAATTAAAAAATAATAAAGCACCTGAGGAAGATATATATGGTTGTAGAATTCTTTAAATACGGAGGAGAAGAATTGATAAGCCAAATACATTTACTGTTGAAGGATGTTTGGAGTAGTGAAATCATGCCTCACGAGTGATGCACCAGTCTGATATGCCCGATATATAAAAAAAGGAGATAAACTCCAATTCAAGAATTATAGAGGAATTTCTCTATTGGCTGTAGCCTATAAAATATTTTCAAGCATTCTCTCTGTGAGGCACAGCATATTTGCTGAGAACATATTGGAGGAACACCAGTGTGGATTTAGAAAGGGGAGAGGAACAACTGATCAGGTATTTGTGACGAGACAGATAATGCAAAAAGCCTGGGAATATAAGATTGGCCTGCATATGTCGTTCATAGATTACCGGCAAGTTTTCGATAAAGTGATAAGAAGCAAATTAATAAATGCCTTACATGAGTCCCAAATCTTCCCAAAATTAATAAGGTTATTGCAAGTGACTATGAATAATAGCAATGCAAAAGTAGTTATTAAAGGCAGTATCAACAATAAATTTCCAATAACGGATGGGCTTAGGCAAGGGGATGCCTGCTTTGTCACATTATTTAATATTGCTCTTAATAATGTTTTGAAAAAACTGGAATCACCTGGTTGTATACTTAACGAAATGGTGCAAATATGTGCTTGCGCAGACGATATATGCCTAATTATCAGGAATTTGAGATTAATTAAGATAATGCTTGCAATATTGAAAGCCGAAAGTGAAAATGTTGGGCTGGAAATTATTCAGAATAAGACAAAATACATGTATGTCGGAGCCGACAATGAGGCTGGTCCTCAGAGCATTGAAATATGTGGTTTCACCTTCGAGTTTGTCAAAAAAATCACATATTTGGGTGTGGAAGTGAATTCTGAAAATAAAATTGCTGGCTGGAAACCGGGCGTACTATGCCAACCTAAATTTTTTTCGATCATCGCTTCTGTCACGAGAAACAAAGAGAAGATTATATAAGACTTTAGTAAGACCTATTGTAACTTATACAGCGGAGACATGAACCCTTTGTACTAGCACAATTAGTATGATGAATGTTTTTGAAATAAAAATATTGAGAAGAATTTATGGAGCTGTTTGTGAAGATTGTGTGTGAAGGTATCGAAAAAAAAAATCGAAGCTATATGAACTACATAATGGTGACTACATAGTTCATTTAATTAAAACTAGGCGCATGGAATGGTTAGACCGCGTGATTAAAATGGCCAACAGCAGGATACCATTATTCACTACAATGCATGGCACAAGAAGAAAAGTAAGACCAAGGAAAAGATGGCTGCAAGATGTTGAGAGCGACCTTAAAACACTCGGTGTAAGAAACTGGAAGGAAAGGGCGTGCAATAGGGATGATTGGCATTATATAAGCCAGGAAGCCAAGGCCCACCTCGGGCTGTGGAGCTGCAGAGCAAGTAAGTAAGGTTTAATTCCAATGGGATATCTATTTAAAATTAGGAAGATGTTTCAATATTTAGATAAGTTCCTAAACTCTCCCTTTATGGGTTAAAATATCTCAGAAACTAAAAATCCGACCTGCATACTGTAAGCGAGGGGAGGGAATCGTTCAGCATATTATCCTTCCTGTAATGGGCTATTATTCAAAATTGTATCTTAATTAACGCCGTGTTCAAGAGGTGAAAAGGATAACCAGTTTTATTTAAGATATGGATTAAAATATCTAAGAAACTAAAAATCAGATATGCATACTGTAAGCGAAGGGGAGGGGATGGGAAATTGTTCAACATTTTATTGTTACTATAATGGGCTATTATTCACTTCGAAATGTGAGAAGTGGAGGGATCATTCGTTTTGTTTCTAAAAATTTATTAAGTTCAAACATTACTGAAGATGAAAAATAACTGGAAACAATTTGAATCAAATACCCCGTCTTAATTTCATTACTATTGGTTTCTAATTTTTTAAAACTTTTAGTATTATTTTTATATGGCATAAAAAGGTTTCTGGAAATTTAAATCTTTAAAATAATAATAATAACGGTTGAAATATATTGAAGAAACTCTATTTTACTTGAAGTGACTGGAATATGTATTTTTCTTGTGTTTTAATATTTGCTTTACAAGTATTTCTATGAGTTCTTTATTATTGTGGTAATGAGTTCTTTATTATTGGGGTATGAGTTCTTTATTATTGAGGGTCTTTATTATTATTAGTTCTTTATTTAGTAATTCTGCAATTATAAGTTACTTTATTCCCTTCTGAAATATCGTTTATTTAAACCAATATATATATCGATGTTTTTACTATCGATAACTTAAATCTTCTAGTGCTGCTGACTCTCTCATTAGGTGCGAGGTACGTGGTCTCGTAGTGTTCATCGCTAAACCACAATCGGAAAATGACGTGAGTTGCTTTAAGGATTATTTTTATTATTATTATTATACTACAATTTACCTTTTATGTTTTGCCAAATCTACTGATCATTATATTTACAGTACTTCACATTGAATTTGGTGGTGTCATGTTAAGTGCTCCACGTGGTCGCCATAACTGTTTATTCTTAACTACTCAAGATTTCTATTTAATTCGTTACTATAAATTATTATTACGTTTAATTGTTACCAACTGGATAGATAAACAGTGAATTCGATTTATGAAATCCTGTTCAAATATATAAAGTTATGTTAGTTAAAATGTGTTAATTATATATTCTGTGAAAGATACAAGATTATTATATATCTCATTGTTTAACTAGTATCAATAGTACTGTAGTTGCATTAAATTATAATTTAATCGTATATTTCTTTTAGTATTGGCTTAACTGCATTGCACTATATGATCATATTTTAGTCCCAAGGTATTAAAGATTTATTTATCGAATTTCTTATTGTTAGGTGCCTAATTGTGATTCAGAAATGGGCTTATGACCCTTACTGTGAATATGATATGTCTTCAGATTCTGGTTGATTATGTTTAAATTGCTTATTGATGACTTCTGTGCTTTTATACAATAAGCTTAATTCACCTTATTTATTTTACTATCAATTATTAATTATAATTTCGTTGTTCATAATATGTAAACTGAGGGGACTAAACATCCCAGAATAAAATTTACTTACTTTATAATAATCTCAGTCCTAATATTACATATTTTATTTTATAGGTCCAAGGTCTCTAGGGAAACATTATATGAATGTGTGAATTCAGTTCTCACTCATTCACAAGAAAAGAAGAGGAATTTTGTTGAAACTGTGGAGATTCAAATCGGTCTGAAAAATTATGATCCTCAGAAGGACAAACGTTTTTCAGGCACTGTTAAGTAAGACCTTACCCCAAGTCAACTCGCTTACTAATGAAATTGGCTTGGTGTTCAGCAATTCATTTATGTAATGATTACTGATAATGCTTTGAAGTTATATCGATGCCTATTTTTCTAAAATTTTAAACAAATATTAATCTATATACATGCTCATAATAAAAAATTGTTTCATTTTTATTCAAATATTACACAACATTTTTATTTACATATGATTGTGTATTGCAGCTCACCAACCAATGTTTTTCTTGGGGTTCAGGTAGTCATGATTGATATCATGACGGACCTTCACCCAGGGTCTTAAATAAACTGGGTAGGTCACTAATGACCGAATTTTTTTTTTGTGATATGGTAATGAAATAGTTTATATGGTTATAGTTTTTAAGTGTTTCAAAGTAGATATGTTAGAGTAGGTTATTACATAAGGTGTTGTTTGTAACCCTAGCCTTTTATTAGTTACTATTGTCCATTTGATGGATGGCACAAGATCAAATGTGTACTATTAAAGGAACTCCAAGAATGGCCAAGTATGACTAGATTTAGACAGCGATGACCGAACTGTCTTTTAAGGCTTTGACCTTATTTGAAAATGTCTCTTTGAGGGTTTGTGTTTGTTTATCTCTTTTTAACAAGTGGATGTCTAAGGCAGTGTTTTTTTTTTGGGGGGGGGGAGTCCTCACCCAAGGCTATACGGAGTGTTCCCGGGCCAGGGAGTGGGTGCGGCGATTTAAGACACCCCAGCACCGGGATGTGAACTCCGGTCTATATTTTACCTTTGTGTCATATATCAGGTTGCCAGGCAATGGCGTTGCTGTGCACACACGTTAACCCGTTCGGCCCCTGATAATGCAGTGATGTAATTGAAATAAATTAAGGTCCTGATTTTCGATGAAAATAGCCCATTGGAAGTTTGCTGAATTTGCAATCATGGATTCCCCTCCCCAACCAGAATAGAAAGTCTGTGCCTATGATTATCATTAGAATAGTGATAATGATACACTTATTTCATTTCTCGTCCTCATTTTTGATTCGTGATTTTGGACATGGGAATCTGCAAAACTTGGATTTTAATGTTTACATTATTATTATTATTTTTAATGCTTAATTATTATTATGAAACTGTATCACACAGTAAACTATACAATGTTGATGTCTTCCTTTTGAAAAAGGTTTAACTGTGGATAAGAGACTTACCAGAAGACCACTGTATGAACTAAAAACATATCTAGTTACCAGAGCTTTTGTAAATTCTGTACACATTCAGATGATGGTTCCAAGGTTGAACAGAATCAGAAAATAATAATGAAACAGAAACATAGCTGGTCGAGCATTATCATGTCCTCAAGCTCCAACTTGCTGTTCAGTAATTTATTGTCTCCAGGGTCTAATCCCTTGATTGCTGTAGAAGCCACATGTTGCCAAGGTTAAATTCTTCCAGAGTTGAAAAAACAACAACATGCCTTTGTAAATTCCTAACTCTTTTTCAATGACATAAAAACAATTTCTGTATATCACTTATTATTTTGTGGTTTCTCGTAAGAATTATCTAATGATGTAAGATTTAGTAGTAAATATTGAAATATGTAATAAATTTTTAGACTGAAGCACATCCCCAGGCCAAAAATGCAAGTTTGCATCCTTGGTGATCAACAACATTGTGATGAGGCAAAAGCCAATAATGTACCCTACATGGATGTTGAAGCACTTAAGAAATTGAATAAGCAGAAGAAGTTGGTTAAAAAGCTGGCTAAGAAATATGATGCTTTTCTTGCAAGTGAAGCTCTTATCAAACAAATTCCCAGGCTACTTGGTCCAGGTCTCAACAAAGCTGGTAAATTTCCTGGGTTATTGTCACATCAGGAATCCATGATGCAAAAGATTGATGAAGTTAAAGCCACAATCAAATTTCAGATGAAAAAGGTATTTTTATTTATATAAATCACAAACATTAAGATATTTTATTAAATTAAATTACTTGTAATTAAAACATTACATTACTGTTAGTAAAAAAGACCGTATTTAAAACTTGAATTTACCCAAGATTATAAAAACTTATTATTTCTACATGATTTATTAGTATAAACTCATATTTTATTTCCCTCTGTTATTTTCCTATTTAGCAGACTACAAAATGCCACCTTTAGTGATATGAGAATAAACATGTGAAATTGTTTCATATGGCCTTTTGCACTAACAGTAAATATAACTATTTCTGTTTTTAAATGTTAGTAATAAAAAGTTCATTTTTTGAGAGATGTTGATATTCATTACATACAGCAAATCGGCCATCAATTCATCTATACTTATTACAATTCTCTCTTAAAGGGTTTTAGTGGTTCAAAATAAAATATTATTTTTAGAAACATTAAATTGTTATTTCTCATCATCTTATTTAATTTTGGGGTATAAATAAGTTAGTGTGCATACTATATATCTGCAATTAAAGAATCCTGTAAAGAAACCCTCAAATTCAGGCCATAAGGTGTCAACCTCACATGCTGGCCAGATGAGTGATCCTAATTTTACTGAATAGACCCATCAAGTGATCTTAACAACTAATCACAATAAAACAAAAAAAAAAAAAAGTCAACTACTTCCTCATTATTCCTATTTGTAATTCAATTACCTATATTTTAGGGTCTATAATATTTGAAAATATAATCTAAAGGGGGAAGTAGTATTTGAGATTTGTAAAAAAAAAAATGCACATACAAGAGTAAAAAGATCCATCAACTTTCACAAACCTTAAAAAATCGAATTAACAGTAATAGGTGTTATATGTACTCTATTCAAAAACTGCTGACCTCATATGTATAATATAAACATAAAGTCAGTATATGTTCCATATACCACTTCCTTCATGATCATTATGCCTTATGTTCTCTTCTAAATTTCATAAAGATTATGTTCTTAACAATTACGTACAACAATTTTAATTTAATGGAATAATTGAAGGCCAAACAAGTAAACCTGTTTTGAAATGTTTAGAAAATTATTTATTGTTTTATATGTTGACAATTATTTTTTTGGAATATTGTCTAAATTAAATAATTTAGCCTAAATATTGTATTTTTTTTAAACATCAGTGGCTATATATTTTCCCATTCCTCTGGTAATTTATGTATACCACTTATTGCATTAAAGCCGATCTGAAGGGACTGGGTTTGGACGGCGAACGGTGGAGAGGGAGGTGTGTAATAAGCGATTGGTGGTGTCTGCATCGAACCTTCGGGTTCGCTAAGCCTTTTGTTATTATTATAACGGGGGCAAACTATTTCACTAGGACGTGAAATAAAAATTATTTTATTTTTACTTAAAAAAGATGTGTGATAACAAAAATTAGCTTAATACATTTGGTCCTTCTAAAATATACGTTCTGTCCGTTCCAAGACGCAACCTATACTTGAAGGACATATTTATACGTCCCGCCTGGTTATGAAATGTCACTTTATGACTTATAGCAATAAACTGATGATATGTAATTTATAGTAAGAGACACTATTGTGATCATCAAAATTTTCAAATTTGAGTTTAGGTTGAAAATCTGTACCAATTGCCGAAGAAACAAAATGGCACCAATAATGCTGTTTAACTGTAACTACATTGACAACCAGAGCCATTTATAGACAAATTCTGGTTTCCTATTTACATTTGATGAATAATATCTCTCTTACCTTTCTATGTATCTTATTCACTCTAATTAATGCATACTGTTAGAGTTCTGCTTCTATTATTCTAGATATGCCATTTATTTAACCTACTTTGAGTAAAATTAGATAAACAAATGCCTTTTGAAGCAGGAAATTTTATATTTTTTATATATAATTAATTTTTTTATATTTTAAATTAAGATATTTAATAATCCTTATCTTAATGTTTCTTATATGTTTTCTTTTTTAGGTTCTCTGTTTGTCTGTAGCAGTTGGACATGTTGGTATGACATCAGATGAATTAGTACAAAATGTCCATCTCTCAGTAAACTTCTTGGTTTCGCTGCTTAAAAAGCATTGGCAAAATGTTAGGTCATTGCACGTTAAATCAACTATGGGACCTCCCCAAAGATTGTACTAATTTATTTTTCTTTTAAATAAAATGACTACATTTTGAAGTTATCTTTTTTCTTCTTATGAACTTACTTCCTATTCATTTTATTTTAGTTTTAGTCTTCCTTAGCTGCTAGCAGTTACTATGTACTACTACTTAAATACTTATTTCATTAGATTTTTATCTTAATTTTGATTTTCTTTTATTATAATGAAATACAGTTGATTCCTTATTTTTTAAATACATCATAATGAATATTAAAAGTATTCTCAATGAAGGTAGTGGTTTTAATAGGAATTAAATTTTATTAATTATTTAAAGTTATAATGGTGGTTAAGACCACTTCCTTTAGAGATTATTTAAAGTAGCTCTGGGAATTGAGGTTTACATGATAACATTATTTCCTTTTTGTGATAAAAATAGGAGCTAATTTAATATATTTGTCTTTATTAATGTATAAATGAATTATTAAGTACAGAATATGCTATCATTAATCATTTAAGTGAATAATTTTATAATAATCTACTGCTTAATGGTACTTTGCTGATTCTAATAACACATCATTAATAAATCATACAAGTGTATTAAGGCCAATAATAGAGAAGTTAATTAATGTATGGTTCATATAGGTGTGTGTATTAGCAAATTATATATATATTTAAGATTTCACCTAACCTAAGAGAGAAAAGAGAGGTGTTATGATAAGTTAATTAGAAATCCTACTGTCTGACCTATCTTGATGAATGTTTTTTTCTATTTAATATATTTGTGCTTGTTGACTATCAGCAAATGTGCTAGATATTCAAGAAATAATGACATGACAGACAAGGGCAAGAGAGTAGGACGTAGTCAGTAGCATCTCTTCTGTAACTTGTTTCAATTACTTAGGTTTAAGGAAGTAAATCTCTCACCAATCGCACCTTCTTATTAAGATTGTCGCGAAAGAACTACGATAGCTGTAGCCATATCTCTTATTAATATGTTACGTCTGTTTAAATTAGTGAAAAACCATTGGTAAATGGTCCTTACAGTAGCAGTCAGATCATTCGCCGATCCAGGACATCCTAGGATTAAATAGTCCAGGACTCCTAGGATTTAACCCTAATGCTTCTTATATATATATTTATTACATATATGAAATGTTTTATTTTTTTTAAAGTGATTTTTGAAGTCCTATTTAATGTAGTTACAGGAACAATAATACTTATCATTTTCATAAAGCATGGTTATATTTTATCATTTTGGAAGGAGGGGAGCCCTTTACCCCAAAATTAATCTCCTGTAAATCTGCCTGCGAGTAGTTTTTAATAGAAATTTCAAAAAACAGATTTCAAGAAAAAATTTATGGTGATCTGAACTGATCTTCAGTGACTCCTTTAAATATATCAAATCATTTTTGTCAACTTTGAGCCCAAGGTATTTCTCATGGTCAAATTCTAACCTGCCATAAAAAGTTTTAATTTTTTAGATTACAAGTATTTAGAATGGCTTCAGCATCATCTCTCCCCACCACTCCCAATAAAAATGTTGGGAGGGTGAGAATATCATTTCATTCCCTCCCCTCCCAATAATTTGAAAAAAAAAATGAATGAAATGTGTTAACCCAAATCGATTAAGAAAATAGAAAAGTCGACTAGCTGGCTAGGAGATAATAAAATAGAAAAATCCTAGGATTTTATGTTTCACTCAACTCTCACATGAACGCCTCCATTTTCATGTGATTTTCTTATAAATTTTCAACGATAAGAGTTGGATAAAATTTATTTAATGGGTATAACTATAAAAAACTTTATATAGAATGTTTTATTGACATCTTTATGTAACCAGTTGGACTGCGAAATCATATTTTTATTTTAGGGTTGTGCAAATTAAATTAATTTTTAAAGGAAGGAGATGGTCCAGGGTTGCGGTCATAAAATGCTTGTTGGCTTTCAATAAAATAGTTTTACCACTATTTAGCCTTTTGATGACCGCAACTCCGGACCATCTCCTTCCTTTATAATGCAACGGTCAATCATTAAATATTCAATATGACTCATAAATTAATTTTTCAGTTTTTTAACATAATCCTTTTTTAACTGGAAAAGTTGCAGAAACATACCTATGTTATGAAGACCCCTATTTCACAATAATTATGTTGAATTTTTACATATAATATAATCAAGAGATTTGATTCATTTGTAAATTCCACCTATAAATTATTATGGATTGTATGCCTATTAGTATATAACAATATTCAATTGTTATTATCCATTGTTAAGTTTACTAAAATGAAATGAGATTTTCATTGCCTGCCATAGATAAGTCGAAAGTTGTCAAATAGATAATATTGGGATTTCACAAAGGGATGATTTATGAAATTATTCACTAATTTAATTTTCTAAAAGATTACATGACAATTTTTTTGGAATAAACGGACTTTGATACCTAATAATTTAAATATAATATCAAATCTACAATAAAATTACTAAACTACAGTAAATGTATTTAAGGTTGTAAACATATGATTTATACATTCATGAAATATTTTTATATTTCATTTCTTCTTTCACACAAGTAAAATGAAATTGTTTAGGTGGATTGGTTTGCTTTGATTAGATGGATTTGAAATACTTTTTTTTCAAAATTAAAATATATTTTAAAATTTTACATTTAGTTAGTGAATTTCATTAATTTCCTTGTAAACGTGATTTCCATCAAATAATCTTAGTTTTCACAAATTATTATTTACATTTTTTCATCACTCTCCATTACCTTCTAGTACTTTCTATATTAGATATTGTTTTGTTTTTTTCTAAAATTCTTTGCTTTCCAACGATTTGTTATATGTATACCTTCTGACCACTAGTGGATCCAGGATTTAATTTTGGGGGGGGCTTCAGCCTGGAAGTTTTTTTTTTTCATATATATAATGATAATTACATTGGAAAAACAGAAAGATCTTAACTACCTACATGAAATGGTGTTCAAGTCCTATTAAAATGTAATTAAACTAGCAATAATACTTTAAGATATAATGTTTTTATATTTTTTACCATAAAACATGGTTACATTTTACAATTTTGGGGGGGGGGGTGCTTCAGCCCGAAAGCTCTCCCCCGTAAATCCGCCCGTGCTTCTGACTAGTATTTTGGGAGATTCATTTTCGACGTAAATGAACATTTTCCAATTATCAAATTCTTTCAAAAGTTATTTTTAACATTTTTTCGGAATTACTAAAATAAGAGATTGTTAATTATTTAAAATAAGCCAAATTAGAGATACTTTAGAAGAATACATGGTGAACATTGGGCATTTAAGCCCCATAAAGTGACATCAATGGGGATAAGACCTAAATGATATTTAGGACCACTTAATTATACAACGATACACCGAGTTTAACCAAATTCCTTATAGTCGTTTTTGAGAACATTGTAAATATATTTATAACCGTTGATATAAACTGGCACTTCCGGTTAGCCGATTTTAAGGAAAAAGTTGCTGTAAGATCCAAGCTATATATCTCTCTTAAATACCTAATATCAATTTCGTGCGATTTATCGTTTTTGAGCTACTGTTCACGTACACACACACACAGGCCATTTTACGGTACTTGTTTTTTTTTGGAATTAAGTGACTTCATAACGCGTATTTCCGTTGAAAACTCAGATTCGAAAATTTTCACGATTGCAATACTTACCCTTACTATATATTACATATATATGGGTAAGTGAAAGTAAAAAATATTGTAACATCTTTCAAAATAAAATTGAAGCAATATAAGGGTGTCCAATCCCCTCAAGGCCAATGGCGCAAGAACTTACCTGCCCCTCTCCTCCAAAGATATTTTATTGCTTACATTTTCTTAAAAGCAGAATAAGCTAAGGTAGGATTAGAAAAATCGTTGATAATATACAATTACACTTGCTGCGGTCTGTTCTATGTTTTCCCCTTGTCCCTTAAGACTTCGTAACCCCATCGAAATTTGCTCCATCCTAAAATTAAAAAACCCGTCAAAATAAATACCCCTCAGATATTTTAATGGCGCAATGACACCCCCTTCTGGGCACCCCTGAAACAATATATATCTGTCAATCTTTATAATTGACATTATTGTGTAATTATATCGAGTATGGAAGAGAGGGGTTAATGCTTAGCAAAATAATTGGGGCACTAGCAGATCCAGGATTTAATTTTGGGGAGGGCTTCAGCCCGGAAGCTTTTTTTTTCATATATATAACGATAATTACTTTGGAAAAACAGAAAGATACTAACTACCTATATGAAATGGTGTTTAAGTGATTCTTGAATTCCTATTAATTGTAATTAAACGAGCAATAATACTTTAACACATAACTTTTTATCCATAAAACCTGGTTACATTTTATCATTTGGGGGAGGGAGCTTCAGCCCGAAAGCCCTGCCCGTAAATCCGCCTGTGAGTTGGGGCGATCTTTGGACGTTCACCTCGAGGCGTTTTCAACCTTAGTTCCGACATACTCACTGTTCCAATTAGAGTTGAGAACATTATCAATGAATGGGTGGGGAATACGCATAAAGTGGGGAGGCATTTGTTATCAGTGTTTGTTGTAATGTACAGTCGGAGGGAGTCTTATGAGACGGCTTCCAGCTTCGGCTATGGCTCGTCTAGCTGTCAAAGGAATCGCCGGAAAGAGCGGCTGAATACGGAACTTCTGAAGGCCACCTCCTGCCTCGAAACGGATCAGGTCTTGAGGTCGGTTGTGTATATTTATCAGTGTAATTTTATATTTGACTGAATTACTTCAAAGGACATAACATATAAGTTTTAGCTATCGAAATATTATTTTAGTTTTTCAAAGCAATATTTTATCTAGGCTTCTTGTTAATTTTTATTGGCTTAAAAATAGTAGCGGATTCAGGATTTAATTTTGGAGGACGGAATATTAGTTAGAAAGCCATTTCCTTGAATCTGCTGGTGTTTAAAAATCCATGGTAGTTCACTGAAGAGATGGAAGAATTAAGATTGTCCCCTGGAAGATACCCAAAAGGGGGTTTTATTCTTTTTAGAATTTTTGAGGGGTTACATTTCAACGGGGTTATGAATTTTCGGAATGAAAAGTTCCATACTAAGGGATAAGGGGAAACATGGAACAGACCGCAGCAAGTGTTTTTTTATGAAAAGGTGAGCAATAAAATATCTTGGGAGGGGAAGGGAGTAGGTTTATGTGCCATCAACCTTAGTGGGGGGATGGCAACCCCTGTTCCCTTGGCCATAATCCTAGTTTCGACTTTGTCTTTTCGTTCTTCTAAAAATATACGTATATTTATTTATTTTTTACAATGATATTTTATTTAGTAGAACTGAACTAGTCTCTGAGGAGCATTCTAAAAAAGAAATTTAGTTTTTCCTTAACTCAGGGCTCACCAATTTGAATGATAGGATTGGTGGCATATTCATTTTATACTTCCGCTATAGCTTAAGGTTGAGGAAGTATGAAAATCAGGCAAATAGATTTTTTTCTCATTTTTAAGATTCCTCACTCAACTTGGAAGTCACCCTCATCTCTCTAATCTTTTAAACAAAAAAAAAATAGCTCCGAGAGGAAAATAACGAAAAAAAAAATATTTCGTACTAACACAAGCATTCAATGTACAAACCGTTTTTTGATGTTTAGTGATAACTTGAAGAATAAATCAAAACCTTTTTTTTTTTTTTTTTTTTTTTTCAGCATACCTATCATTTCTGGCATGCGGGTTCAATAAATCAAAACATTTTTTCTATGTTTTTCCAACAGCTAAGATTTTGTTTGTTGTTAAAGAAGTTGTCTAAAATCTGTTTATCTTTATAACTTTTTATTACCATGAATAATTCTCCAAATACTCTACCTGGGCTCTAAGGTCGAATTCTAATAATTGAAATAAAAATGAAGTAAAAAAAAAAAAAAAAAAAAAAAAAAGACAAATACCACACATTCTTTAAAGTATGTAGATAAGTGTTGAAGTAAGGAAAAAAAATCGATCAGTTATAACTGATTACTTCTTTCACGTGTTCTCTTACGAATTAGACTGCATTCAACAGAAAACCAAGGAACCAATTCGCAAAATATGCGAAAATGAATTAGAAATGGATTTGAATTTAAATAGGCTCATAACCATTTTCGTTGTTATTCAAACAAAAATAAAGTCCACCCATGAATAAACTTCAAACTGCATGTGTGGTTCTATTTTCTATCAACAGTCCATCGGTGAATTGTACACATTTATAAATATATGTATGTATAAACATAGTTTATTGATAGGCTCTTTGGTTTGGCCCATACTATGCTTATATAGATTTATTTTTTGTTATAGTAAGATAATCTGAAGAGTTGACCAAAACATTTGTATAAAAAACTATAGCCGAAGCTGAGATAGCCATTAAGATTATAATTTAATTATAAATTTACTCAAATATTAACCTGTCATCGATAAGATAAACGATGTTCTTCAAGGTAACTTTTTTTTTTTATTCATGACTCATTATAAGAAATGATTCCTGGAATGATATTTTCCTCATATTGATACAATATGAGTTCTAGTTTTCGGATAGTTAATCCCGCATACAACCTTATCTTCATTTAAATAATTATTTAGAGGATTATTGAAAAACTGTGTAATGAATTTTATGAGGTCAAGTTCGTTAAAAATTAATAAGTATATTCTGAGTGGGAAAACTAGCATAAACTTTTTTCACTCAAGAAATGAGAAACAGTTCCACACTGCAGAGCTTTATGCATGAACCCCAATCAAGTCTTCCTTTTGTTGAGTTTAGGTTCAAACACTTGACTTGTGCTTAGTAGCACTAGTGGATCCAGGATTTAATTTTGGGGGGGGCTTCAGCCCGAAAGATTTTTTTTTTCATATACATATAAGGTTCGTTCGGGCTTAAAACAGGGGGATTCTCTTTCGCCTGTCCTGTTCAATTTGGCATTAGAACATGCCATTAGGGAGGTAATGCGAACCGAGAAAGGGTTGGATCTGGGCGGGACAACATCCCTGCTGGGCTATGCTGATGATCTGGTACTGTTAAGCGAAGACGTTGAAACTATAAAACTAAATACGACAACGTTGATGAAAGCCGGTAAAGAACTAGGACTCGAAATAAACGTGGATAAAACAAAATATATGGTTAGCTGCAAAAATGGCGATACTACTGGTGATATCGATATAGATGGTAATATGTTTGAACAGGTAGATAAATTTAGGTATCTAGGTTCTACGATAACTAGAAAAAACGAAATTGAAGAAGAGATTAAGGTTAGACTGAAGACGGGGAATGCTTGTTATTTTTCTGTGACAAAACTACTTAGTTCGCGCCTCTTGTCCCGAAACTTAAAAATTAGAATCTATAAAACAATTATCTTGCCTACAGTTCTTTATGGATGCGAAACTTGGCCGCTTACATTAACGGATGAGCAGCGTGTTAAGGTTTTTGAAAATAAAGTATTGCGTAGAATATTCGGACCGAAGAAGGATGAGTTAACCGGAGAGTTCAGACGGTTACACAACGCCGAATTGCGTGAGCTGTATCCGGGTAATATAATTGAGGTAATTTCATCGCGGCGAATCAAATGGGCTTGTAAAGTTGTTGGGCTTAGTAACGAGAGAATTCCTAAAAGGTTAATATTTGCTGTGCCGAATGGTAAGCGTCCGAGGGGCAGACCGAAGCGAAGGTGGGAAGATTGCATTAAAGCCGATCTGAAGGGACTGGGTTTGGACGGCGAACGGTGGAGGGAGGTATGTAACAAGCGATTGGTGGTGTCGGCATCGAACCTTCGGGTTCGCTAAGCCTTATTATTATTATTATTATACATATAAGGATAATTAATTAGAAAAAAAACGAAGAAATTAACTACCTATGTGAAATGGTGTTTAAGTGGTTTTTGAAGTTCTATAGATTGTAATTACAAGAATACTTTAAGAGATAGTTTTTAATAATTTTTTTCTGCAAAACATGGTTATATTTTACCATTTTGGGGAGGGGGAGCTGCAGCCCGAAAGCCCCCCGTAGATCCGCCTGTTGCTTAGTAGACTAATATCAATTAGTCTTATAATATTATGATCAGTAAAACTCAAACGGAATTAGTTGATATTAAAACAGTTTATATAGGGTAACTTTATTACATATGTTTTTATTTAATGACACACTATCCAAGTTTTTTTTTTTATATAATATGGAGTTTCTGGTTTATAATTGTACACTATAAGCTTGGTACTATAATTGATGATCTTACTTCCAGTATTCGATCGTTTTGCAATACTTGATCATATACTTGGTTGCATAATTTTAAAGTTGCAACATGTAATAAACTACACTACATGTTTGGATAATCAACAATTTCCCCCAAATGGTATAAATTTTGTGTAACTTTGTTGTTTGCTGAGCTGTTTCTATTTCGCTTTCCAAAAATTTCCATTTCATTGTTTTCGAACTCATCCCTTTATTTCGTCCATCAAAATTGATGTCCATTTCCGGCATCATATATATTTATCATAAAGCTGTTCCTCCATTATCCGATTAACTATCTCGATTTACAGAATCATTTTAAAAAAATCTCTGTTGAACATGTTTCTTGTTTTGTTTTTCATGGTTTTTGACACCCTCGTGTACTCCAAGAAGGACACAGCAGGATGTAGGAGCATTTTCTAGAGGTAAATTTAGATTTATATCGAACCACCTCTAACCACCATTTGGTATAAAAGTCAGCTCTATCCGAAGCTGGAAACGAAACGATATTCTACGGCTGCCAAATTGGCATGACTGAGACCATGAACCATGTTCAAATAGGAAAGAGGCGCTACAGGCAGCCACGATTACCATACGATAGCAGCTAGGCTCGTGTTGTTTATAAACAATGTGAGGACAATGAATTTGCTATGTTGTCGTCGACAGGTAAAACTTTTACAAACTGGCTTCTCACAGGTCATTGCCCGATAAAATATATTTTTAAAAAGATAAAACTGATTGAGGATTTTGTCTGTCGCATGAGTCTGAGAGAGGCATCTAAATATTCTTTGCCAATATGAAGCTCAGAAATTTTATAGGGACCTTTAGACGAAAGGAAAATTCTAAAGCGATGGAAATCGGCAGCGGTGCCAATCGCTTTGTTCTCGTAACAATGATGATGATTATTGCAATTATTGATGCTTTGTTATCTGTATAAGTCGCTGTAAAGTGTTTATCTAACCTTTTATATCTGATAGTAGAGATGAGTCACTTGTGTAAATAATTTTACAAACCAGGTTCTTGTTTTTGGCATATTTTTAATATAGTACAAGTTTTTTTCGAGTGATAAAATTCCACTTAATTCCTTTAAGAGACGGATCGGTGTAATCGGAAGTTTTGAGATATTTTTCTGGAATGTTTTAGGATAAGATTATTTTCATTATTTTTTGTTTGTATTGATAGACTGTGTACAATAGTTATAACTAAGGGCCTGATCGGAAAATGTAAATTTACTACAAAATAGATCGTAAAAATCAATTTTTAATTTTATATCTAATATCTAAAAGATCTTAAAGTATTTATTAACAATAGTATATAGTACAAAATTATTTGTAGAACTTAAACATTGTTTAACATGAGAAACATAAATGGACATGGTAACAACATTAAACCATAATGTTCACAAAAAATAAATTTTTAGAACTAACAATTCTTAATAAAAATATCTGGTGTGTCCACTCACACGACTTTTCTGCCTATTTCAGAAA